ATAAAGTCAAAATCATTCCATCTGTATTGAAAGCAGCGTCATTCCTCTGGAACTGGAAGTGAAAGGAATCGATGCAGGTCTCCACCTGGATATGACTACCACTCTGCTTTAAGTTTTTGTTTTGACACTTTATTGCGGCCAGAAGATGTATGTTACAGTAACCAGTAATGGAAAACACAAAAACGGGGCCCCATTAATGGATTTTTGGGAACAATAGGAGGCTGTGAGCTCTGGGAGGTAACGCAAACCTGCACAGAAACACACAGGAGATCCAAATAAGCAAAACGAGCTTGAACCGTGTTTACTGTAGACAGGGAAGAACAAATGGTCGTGGTATTTCCTTCTAAATACCAATACATCATTACTGCATTGATTAATTGAAACATTAGTTAGACTGAGAACAATTTCCAGCCTCTCTGTTGCAATTATGTTCGCCTCCTTTACAGCAAAATTAAGTCTATTAATTTATGAAACGGGGAGTAGTAAGAACATTTATTCATTATCTGCTTTTACGTCTACATGTTTTTTTTTAATATGAAAAACAACCCTCCTATATGGAGAACAAAATCACATTATACTCAAGATCCTGCAGTACTTTGTGGCCACTAGGGGGCCGTGATAATAGAGTGACAGATTAGTGAAATGTTAAAAGAGGTTTTCAAACCACCTACCACAGAAGTTTCGGAAGCCAAAACAATTAGAGCTCCTTCTTGTGAGTGGCTGCTCTTCAGCTCATAAGCCCCGCCTCCTCCATGTGAACAGATGGGATATGAATCAAACTTTATAATTAGAATAATTTAAATGTTAAACATTAGAAGTCCTGCAAACATTGTGTTTGCTGGTCATCTGTTGGCATCTACAGTAGAACCAATGCTTTTTACTTTCACGTTGACTGGGCCCCATTTGTAATCATCTTAAGTATTTATCAATTGAAACAATACGAGTTAGCGAGAGTGTCTGTTTGTGGGCGGGGCTTGCTGGAGCAGAGAGTGAGGGGAGACGAGGAGCTGAGGGGAAAACTGGTTGGGTGGGGTAGTGTTTACATTGAAGATTTCTCCCCAAAACTAACACTTCCTCAGATCCTGACTACCCCATCTTTAACCAACCTGAACGATTTTTGGAGCATAATCAATAAGTTGTGCTTTGGCAGTGAAGGCTAAAGGTTTCTTTCGCTAAATTGGTTCTAGCAAATGCTTTGGTCTGAGTTCTTATGGAATAAATTTAGTAAAAATTTACCATGTTTATAACATTTCCACACTTATACGATCTCCAAAACCATCTTGGATACAAAATATTGATCGTAGCAGCCCTCAAGAATTGATAAAATCTAGAGAAAAAAAATTGGACAGGAAAGACCTTCAGTGTCAGCATATGCTACTTGTGCAACAGCTCTAATGTGCCCAAGGTCATGCTCCATGTGGGCTGGACTCCAGAGATGAAGGGTCAGCCTGCCGGACACAAGTTTCATTCATAATCAGTCTGCCAACGCTGGCTGCGACCGGTGGGCGGGAGGGGGAGAGCAAGACTTGGCTGCCTGTCAGGACCAGCTGCAGATTAAAACTCCATCGATCTGACTGTAATTTATTTATCAATTCAACTAAAAATTAAACATTGACCTCGTTCTTTGAAAATCCACCCTTTTTCATCTAGTCGCACGCAGTGACTCGCATACCAAGCGAGCAGTCGAGAGCTGGGCCTTTTTATTCCGGAAAGTTAGGCAAGTCTTGGTGAAGCAGCATCTTTCTCTTTCTTCGTCCTGCTTTAAGGTTCAAACACAAGACTATTAAAAGCTCTACACTTCAGCTCCTGCATCGCTGCATCTCCCAAACCCTTAGGACTTCTACTTCTGACAATAAACAACTCACACGTTTCTCACTGCCATAGCAGAAAACCTCAGTTCCTCTCTCCTCCATTCGTATTCTCGTCACTCCTCCCGCTCTTCAGATCTTTTCTTCCCTCTCTGGCTATCACTGGGTGCTGTCTTTCTGGGTGCTGTTACACACTGTAACTTTCTTATCACCACATCAAAGCCCTGTCTCCTCCCTCTGCCATCCCCCCCTCTGTCTCTGCCCTTCTCTGTCCCTCCCCCCCACTGGATACAGATGTGCCGAGCTTTTCTTGAGACCTAAATCCCGCTGACTGCGAAAACAAACACTCAACGCATCATTAGAAAACTGTTATCCTCCCATCTCCTTCCTCCCACCTCCCCATCCTCCCTTCCTCGACTCTGCCCTCCTGCTCGGACGGAATAATAAGGTTACCTCGCTCGCGGTCTTGTCAAACAGCCTCTCCTCCCTCGTCCCCTCACCTCGCGCCCTGCTCTTTGTCGTCCTCCTCACCCCTTCCTGAACCCTCCCCATGACCGGCCCTGTAATCCAATTAAAAGCACATTAGGGCCAAATGAATAGCGGTAGATTTAATTAGCTGCTGACGAAGGGTTGGCTGGATGGATCGCTGGCTGGCAGGCGAGGTGGGTTGATGGGGCGAAGGGGCTCACGGGGGGGAAGAGGAGCAATGTTCGGCTTCACCCTGCTTATGTCTTGCAGATGAGGAGTGTGAGCTGTAGCTGGTTTTGCATGCAGGGCTACTGTGTGTGAAATGGGATTTATTAGTTCAGTCAGGAACTTTTAAGTACTACAGGAAATAGTCTATACCCAAAGGTATGGTAACTCTAATTCATTGCTTAAGCCCATATGCTCGCTCAGTATCCAATTTGTTTCGTATTTCCAGTGAAAATTTCAAGTCCCCTGTTTAAACCGTGTTATTAATGAGAATAAACTGTTACCCAGCTGTGTTAAATACTTGATTCTGATTGGTCAGAACCTCATAACAACAAGTAACCCCGAATTTCCACCGGATCCGGAACGTCTACGAACAGGCCATATCCGCTGATCGTAGCTGATCGTAACCGTTCAAGTAAATGTGTTGGTTTCCACCGGCTTCTTTCTGTTCCGCTGCGGATCGCCGGATTCTGCAGGTGATCGCAAGAGTTCTTTTTTTTGTAGCAGCCTTAAGAACGTCCACAAAAAGGCTGTATCTGCCGATTGTAGCTGATCGTAACCATTCAAGTTAATGTGTCAATTTCCACCAGCTTCTTTCTGCTCCACTGCGGATCACCAGATTCCGCAGCTGATCGCAAGAGTTCTATTTTTTCCGGATGCCGGAGCATGCCGGATAAATTCAGCACAGATTAACCCGTGCTGAAAAGGAAGTCGGGCACAAACACAAATTAAAACATCTGACAAGTCTAGAAATAGATTTCCTCCTCTGGAAGGACACAATCTACTGCTTATATGGTTAGCCTATGTGGCTAAAGACAACTTGTTATCACGTGGTTGCACGTGAATCTGCGGGGTCTTGTGATTTCGGGGTCCTGCTGTCCATAATCCGGTAGGAATTGGCGTACAGCGAAAATCACGGCCATTCCGGATCAGAGCCAGTCCGGATGCGGTGGAAATCCCGGTCCCGAACGTAAGACCAGGTCGTACGTTCAAGGTCCCTGTGTGGCACCAAAAACAAGTACAGTCAAGTCAGTTTAAGCTAGGCTAGGGCACATAAAGGGCATTGTCGTTACCCCAGATCGAGTTGTTCTGGAGGTCTGGTGACAAAATAAACCCCTCAGGTTTGGAGAAAAATCTTCTTGAGCGCTACATTTCTGACTTCTAGTTTTACAAAGAAAAAGGAAATTCCCAGAGTCTGTAACATGCAGTCACAGCAACCAGTAAATCTGCATTTAGCCACAGTATTATTTAGAAAATTTGCAAGCTAGTTTTTGTGTGCGGAGTGCCTTTCCACTGACTTTGCAAGCAATCGCACCCCCTCTAGTCCTGTCTCTAATTGACATTGAGCGCTCTTTTCCTGCTTAGATAGCAGAATTTGGTTGACTTTACTCAATGTGTAAAGGATTTTGTTGCTGCTTAAGAAGCCGAAAAGGAAAAGACTGTGTGTGGCGAACTTTTTAAGGTGCATCTTTTGGCGCTAAGACATCTCTTTCTGGCTTTCGTCCTCGGCTCTTTCTGAAAAAACTGGATGCAACCTTTCCCTGGCTACAGCCTCCCAATGTGCGCAGTCAGCAGAGTAGTCAGCGTAACCCACTGTGGCATTTGCATCATGTCCCCCTGTGTGTGTGTGTGTATGTGTGTGTGTTCTGCTGCTAATGAAGAGAGACAGGCTCTGCTGGGGTCCTCTTTTCACTGCCACCAGGGGCTTTCAGGTACAGTAGGTGGACAGTTGGTGTGTGTGCAATGCCCGTTTGTGTGTTCATGCATGCATGCATGCAGGCCGTCTTTTACTTGTGCACATACATGGCTCTGCGTGTGCGTGTGTGAAATGAGACCCAGGTCCCAACCTCTCCATTTCTCTCTGCAGGTAATAAAAATATAGAGTGCCCTCCAGATCCCTTTATAGAGAGAGAGTTGAGACCGCAGCGAAATCTAGGACAGGCTCCATTGATTTGGAGGCTACAGTATTACTAGCCATCACGGCCAAGGCAATATGAGAGGCCTTTTTTAAATCACACGGCTACCTCGGGCCCAGAGGGACAGAAGGAAGGCACACGAGGAGAGAAAGAGAGTGAGGAAAAAGGGGGGAAGGGGGGAGGGATAATTGGGAAAGTATCCTTATTTAGTTTCCTCTCCATGCCCTCGCCGTGTGGAGAGGAATAACACATTTCTACTCGCGTTTCCTCTCCAACAATGCCGTCTCGTTTTGCAACACTGGCGATCAAATCTCTGCGCAGAAGATGTAACACGAGCGGCATTGTGATCGCGTTTTCTTTTTTTTTGTTATTTGGATTCGCATTTACATTTTCATTTAGCGGGGAGAGAGCCGGCGCTCTGTGGGGTGTGTTGCTCCACTCGTGGGTCCATTAAACCTGTTAAAAGCCTATTGTGTTATCCGCCAAATGTCAATCATAAAGGGGGCGAAGGGAAGAGGTATTCTCGGCGTTTGGTTTGCATCCAGCAGACCTGGGCTTCCTCCGCTTCAAAGGTGTGGACAAATGGGACAAAAAGATGTTTTCAGACTCTTCTCCTGGATCGGGCTCTTCCAGATCCCAGAAGAGCTTTGGAGTACTCCGGGTCGGGCCAGGATCCGACCCCCTCTGTCTGGCTAAATAAGATAAGCCCCTGTCATTGTATCCCACCTCTCCGCAGCCCTGACCACATCAAATATTCATGGGCCACAGCAGACTCTTAAGTAAACTGGCCAATTTGTTGCGGAAGACGCGCATTAAGATTGGCTGCGGAGATACGCGACCGGCCCCTCAGGGGACGCCCCAGACAGGGGCGGGCGGCTGCCATTTTGGCTCTCCTGTCTCTATTGTTGCCACCCGTCCGAGCGGTAAGGGACGGTAAAAGGAGGGGGTCAGCACGTGGCGGGGCGACTGACGGTAATGGGAAGGGTGTGAATGCGAAGGCGGGGCCGGGAAGCAGGAATGGATGGGAGATAACGGGAGGTCACGAGGAGCTGTCGTTCATCCGGGTGTATGTTAAGAGAGGGTCGAGGAAGAGGAGAGGAACAATGGAGGAGTGAGGGGGAGTCATGTCTGAGTGACAAAGGAGATGAAGTGCAGCAGTGAGGGCGGCTTGATTTTAGATGAGAGGGACAAAGTGGGACTCTGATTTTTTGGCACAGAAGTGAGAACTTGAAGTGACCTATCACAGGGAACCAAAAGGTCCAAATAAAATAAAGAGTGATGTTTCAGAGAGAGGAGAAACTACATTTTAAAAAACAGTACAGCAATAATAAAAAGTGCATAAAACGGGCTTGACAGATATTGAGCTCACCGTAGATATCAGGTTTGCAAATCCTATTTACACAAGAGACATGTGTGACACCAGCTTTTGGAAGTACAGAATACAATTGTACTGGTACTGATACAGATACCAATACTGATACAGTTACCGATACTAACACTGGTGTTGATACTGTTTGTGGCAATTTAACCAATAGCAGATATCTGTACCAGTGATTCTGATGCAATTCTTCAGTTACTGGTATATTTTAGCCAATTATAGAGATACCAATACAGATAACAATGCTGGTGCTTTTATAACAGTAAATTTACCAATATCGGTACTTTTACAGCACTTTAACTGAAACTGATACTAATGCCTATACTTATACAAACACTGATACCTTATTATTTGTAACTATTGCATCAATATGAGAACAGATACTAAAGCCGATACCAACATTTTTGTATCTGTTTACTGATACTGATACTCAGAATACAAATACAGATACAAAATCCAGTTTCATCATTTTTGTATCTGTTTACTGATACTGAAGCTCTTTCTATGAGTTATGAAGATGAATATACGGATAGTACTACTTTTACCTAGACCCATACTTATTTTACTTTATAAACGGATACCAATACTTTCTGTGGCTATTCAATAGATACTGATATAGTTAAAATGAACAAAACATCCTCTTTTTTGTAGTAATTTCACATATGCTGATACTTTTATTGCATTTTTTTCTAATATTTGTAGGAACATCGATACTTTTGCAGCAACTTAACAGACCCTGATACTCATACCGATACATGTACCAGCATTGAAACTTCATTTTGTGGAACTATTTTACCAGTATGAATACAAATACCAATTTCGTCACTTTTGTATCTTTTATTCAGATAGCAATACAGTACTAATATTACAAAACCGATACTTCAGTTCAACCAGAACTGATACAGATACCAATACCAATACTTTTTATGGCTATCTTAATAGTTTTATAGCTTTTTCATTGATACTTATACAATTAGAGTACATGCATGTTCTGATACTTATTAAGTATATTGACCTAAACCAATACTATTGCAGCAATATGAGTACAGATACTGAGGCCGATACCAAAATTTTTGTATCTGTTTACTGACACTGATACTCTTTCTCTGAGTTATAAAGATGAATACAGATTGCACTACTTTTACCTAGACCCATACTTAAACGGATACCAATACTTTTCTTGCTTTTCATAGATACTGATATAGTTAAAATTACCAAAACATCCTCTGTTTTTGTAGTAATTTCACAGATGCTGATACTTTTGTTGCATATTTTCTAATATTTGTACTGACACCAATATTTTTGCAGCAATTCAACAGACACTGATACTCATACAGTTACATGTTCCAGCACTGAAACTTTTTTAATTTTTTTTTATTTTATCATTTTCGTATCTCTTATACATACACAAGAAAGCAATACACACTGATATTTCTAAACCGATACCTCAATTCAACCAGAACTGATTCCAGTACCAATACTTTTTATTGCTTTCTTATCAGTTTTGTAGCTTTTTCATTGATAATTATACAGTTAGAGCACATGCATGTTCTAATAATTTAGTATATTGGCCTAAAACCAAAACTGATACAGATACAGATTTCAGTTTTTACATCAATACTGATACAGTAAACAATACTTTTACCACTTTTCTGTAGCAGAGTTACAGTAAACAATACAGATAGCAATACTGATACTTTCTGTGATGATTTTGCCAATACTAATATCAATACTGATAGTTTATGTATGTTAATTTACATGGATACATAAAAGGAGACAAAAAAAGACCAAGACCATCTTTCAGACAGCAGGGCCATGACATTTAAGTTATGGAAGTTTTAAACCTTAGTGCACATTTTCACATCATTACAGACAAAGGCTGTGTTACACTTTAAACTTCCTGCGCATTGCGGAAGAACCATCTTTTCACTTGTCACTGCGGCGCACACACCCATTCAAACAAACGCACCAGTTGTTCAGGAACACTTTTGAAAGATGGCTCATGCAGCGTCTCCAAACAGTGGATTTCAAGGATAGCCCATCTCCACATTACGTCTCCCTCGAGGACACAAGTTGACAAATCACTAAAGCGCGTTTTTATTTTGCTTTATGGGCGCAGAAGTTGAGCGGCGGCTGGGGAGAGACACAACTTTACGCTCGGCGATTCCCTGTAGGGCATCCGATGGAAATGAGCTGAGAAACGTCTGTTAGGAGGCGGGGAGAAAAAGAAGAAGAAGAGGGGGAAAAATAAGTAGATGAAGCTCATAAAATCCCAACTCGTAAAACTGGTGAGCGGATCTGAGGATTCCTCGAGGCGGGAGAAGAAGAAGAAGAAGATGAAGATGAAGGGTTGAGAGTTGAGCAGGGGGAGGGGGGTGAAATCCTGGAAGGCAGGCGACGAGGGCGAGATCACGATCTGTGGCCGCCGAGCGGAGGGCAGAGATGGCAGGGGCGCAGCGAAGGCCTGGCACAGTTATTAGGTCACTTCCGCAGAGAACCGGCGGGTGTGTAGAGAGCGACCGGTTCGCCGGGTGACCCCTGGCAGCCTGCTCGTCATCTGGCGCCGGGTGACTCTGGGGGATTGGGCGAGGAGGTTGTTGTGAATATCAAATGTGACATTCTGCCTTTTTGCTTACATTGAGAAAGGAGAAAGACAGAAGGAGTGATGATTCGAGGTGAAAATAGCCGCCATTAAAACCCCGTGGAGAGATTTTATTAATTTAGGCGCATTTAATACCCCCTCCTTGAATTGTCGCTAAATTTCCCAATGCAAAGCTGCTTTAAATCATAAATAAAACCCGCTTCACTGCAGAGAGGCGGCTTATTTTTACACCCGCTGAGAGGTTTGATTGTCCCCTTTTTTGGCGGTGTAGTAAACGCCGCCATTAACATGCTAATAGCCGTGCGGGGCGAGTCCCTTATCATGTATGTAAATGAACACATTTCCTGGATCTATGTTGGCCAAACACAAACAGTTAACAATATGCTGACTTCATGTTAACGCCCCGCTCTATTTATTCATACGGTAATTAAACAGTGCCGACACACATGATTCCTCGTTGATAGCCTCGTTAGCATTAATTAGCTCTAATTACAAAAAATGAACCGATCTATCGCATGTGTACTTTCTGACACGAATCAGAGTCCCAGCATCTGGATTTAGACGAGTTGTCAGGCTTTTAATGATAAAAGACATATGGCAAATATATAGATTCAGATGTGTGGGAGTTTGGAGGCCCGAGCGGTTATTAAAGTAGGAGTAGAAAATGTTGAAGAGAGGGAAAAAAGGTATGCATGGAGCGAGCGCGTGTGGGTGTAGATGAGGATTATTCTGAGCTCTGCCATCTGTAAACAGGCGGACAGGTTTGTTTTCCAGAATGATGAGGCAGAGCAAGTAAAACAGCATGAATAAACACTGAAAGTCAGCAGAACATATCCATCAGATGAGATTTTTTTTCCTCTTATTTCTGTTGTTGTTGTTGTTGTTGTCGTCGTGGATTTGTACATAAGGGGTGCTCTATTTGTGTATGCAAAAGAGAGAGCGAGGCAGATTTCATTCCGCGCGTCTCTGCCCTAGTTCGGGTTCAAGGTGCGTGGCACAGATTTCACGCAGTTTCGGGTGCCATATAGCGATAAAACATAAGAACAAAAAGGAACAAACAACATGCTTCCCTGCCAGATTGTAGGCGCATATTGTGAGGAGGATTTGAGGACATTTTAACAGTACATCACCAGCACAGAGTACACTTTGTATATGTCAGGAGTCATTTTACGAAGCAGACGGGAGAGTAGAAAAGAAGTTGGAGTCGTTGTTTTGGCCCTAAAGTGGAGCTGTATGAAATATAAACTCAAACTGATCAATAGTTGTTGGAAATTGTATAAAAAGTTTAGTTTTAACGCTCAGAACCAGAAAGGGAAGAGGACGTGAAAGTGCTAAGTCTATATAGAGCAGTACATCACTCTGTCATCTGCATAGAGTGAAAGTTTGGACGAGAGACATATAAAGAATGAATACCAGTGGTCCCAACATAGACCCTTGTGGAACTCCTTTTGTTACATATATTGTTACAATGTTTGGACTTTGTGATAAAGCTTAAGAAAGGTCCAGAACAGGAGATTCATGAATGTATTATCCCATTTTGTGTTGTGTTGTTCGCGAACGATTCATTCAAAAGAACCAAATCTTTTAAGTGAGCATACTGAACGGAATTACTTTGTCGTGATTCGTTCGTTTCTCACTTCAGTTGAGCTGTCAGGTGAGCGAGGGTCTGCACGCACCGAGGCCTGAATCACTTGGTGAACGAATCATGCAGTGAACACCACTCTCTGGAATCATTTTTGTTTGAGGGATACACTTATATGACCACTGTTCCCCGTTGTTCTAACAAATTTAGTAGGACACAGCATGTATCAAGTCGTGTATAAAACCTGCAGTTTGAGAAATGTGTGACTGATCCTGTCATTGCAGCGATTTGCGAGGGAACTGTGCATGTTCAGTTTGGATTCTTCTGAACGTTCAATGAACGAATCACTCACTGAGCCCAATTTACCAAGTAGACAACTAGCAAACCACTGGGCAGTCCACTTAAAACCTCGTGATTTATAAATGAGTCAATTTTTACAAATCTGTTTGTCAAAACAACACAGTCACAACACTCTTGTCTACCGGTCCCAGACGCCATGAATTGAACTGAATCCTGAACCGTTCAGAAAGTCACAGGCTCCTCCCGTCAAGCGCTTAATCTTCGGTGATTCGGTGAACAGATATTTTGAACGAATCTTTTTAATGAACTGATTCTAATGGGTTCCTGAATGGCTCTTTTTGAGACGCGGGGCTGTCAGATTTGATTTAATGTATTTTCAATCGTAGTTTAACTTTCATTTTGTTTATTTCTAATTTTAATTGATACCCTTAAACAAATACTAAGCCTAAATATGAAATTAAAATGAAGTTCATCTCTTGAAAATGCGCCGTTTGTAGTCTTTGAATGTATTTTTCCTGCATGCGAAAGTCAAACATTTGCCAAATACGTGTCTCTGTGTGTGTGTCCCGGTGTAAGACTGCTTGTGTATGTGACCGACTCAGAGGTCATATCCATAAAAGTCGAGGGGACATTTTGAGCGAGAGAGGAAATCCAATTAGGACCCCGGTACAGTCGTGGTGGCATTTAACAAATAACTCTCCTCTGTCTCTCTCTGCAGCGGTCGGGCGGGCGGGCGAGCGAGCACCCGGCACACTAATAATAACACACTCGCTCTAAGTTATAGTCTTATACTGTATTATGTCTCCTATATGTCCGGGAAGAGTTACGTTTCCATTGGCGCCCATGATGAAGGCATTAGTCAACACACACTGTAACGACCAATCATCTGTGGTTTTATCCATCATGTGTTTATGCATTTGCGCCCACACACACACACACACACACACACACACACACACACACACACACACACGGTCGCTGAAATATGTGTATTATCCCAAGGTGGATAAAAAATCAATGAAAAGCAATATTCCTATTGGATTTAGTTTATGCCATCGACCTATTTCGGCGAGTCGGTGCGTAGATCATCTGTGCAGCGGTGAGTGGATGACCTGCTAACCTCCATCCAGGGTCAGCGCATTAACGCTTACTGCTGCTGCTCCTGAGATAGCAGGTTTACCTGTCACTTACCTGCCAGACTCTCAAGGAATTTGAGGTGGATGTCCTATCGAAGGGAACGGTAAAGGTGAAAGGTTAAATTCTCAGAAGGACTGATTTAACCCTTAAAGGCATGGTTGACGATTGGAGGGATTGGTAATTATTACGAACCTCGTTTACATGGCGATCATGGTCCTATGGCAAAAACATTGACCAATGGGCGCCATCCATCCCGGACAGGATTTTTTTTTTTTGGAGGATGGTAGGGGAAGGTCCCACCCGCCTTCGCCTCTGATTGGCTAGAAGTGCTTTGCTCTGATTGGTTATTCCAAATGGCTGTGAAATGTCATCATCTATCGGGTTAGGAGATTCAGAAGTGCGATAATGTTCTGTAATGTTCTGTTCGATGTACAGAGCCGACGTTTCCAGCTTTTCTAGCCAATCAGAAGCGAAGGAGGCGGGACTTTCCCCTACTGTCCTTCAAATAAAATATTGCATCCCAGACAGCTCCTAATGTTCAATCTCCCGCTCCGCGTCTCCATCCAATCACTTCGCTGTGTTTGACACACCCCTCTCCCGTAGTTCCGACTCGTCCCCTCCCACTCTCCCGGCCCTCCTCGGAGCTCTGAGCGGGTAAAAGTAGAAAGAAGACGCAAGCCGACAGAAAAAAGGGCAGAGTCGAAGAGGAAATGTGACCAAGCGAGGAATCAGATCGTCAACCATGCCTTTAATATTCTTCTATTGAGGATATCAAAATGAGGCTTCAAGCTGACTGGGGATTAAGTTGAAGGATTTAACAGCGTGTCGTGGTTCTGGCGAATCATTTGGGTCTGTTTCCAATCAGCTAGCCGTACTTCTGTTTACCAGGACTGACACTTTTAGAACCTCCCCTCGAGAAAACTTTCCACCAACACACCAAGCGATGCCCCCAAAGACCATTTTAAACCCCCTTGGGTCAACTGTCACCATGTCTTTCAGTCCTCTTCCCACCCCTACTGTCTCCACAACCCATACACTGGAACCCAAAGTGACACGGTGGCAAGAGACCGACCTGGCGACTTGTGGCACCGCTCGTCTGGGAAGATAATGAGTTCCCATAGGCCGTAGCTAGGGCGCCAAGTGAGTGTGTGCATCGACTGGAGATGCGCGTGTGTGTGTGTGCGTGTCTTTCCTTGTTACCGAGACGGAGACAGTGAAATTCTTTAAACTTTCAACTTCAAATCGCCCCAGTTTGGTGAACCCCCAGCAGGATTTGGCTGTAATGAGGAGTGGTTCTGTCTGCTGCCCTCTGTCAGTTTCTCTCATTCTCTCTTTCTCCTCCCGTCTCGGCTCTCCACAGTTGATTGTACAGACAACAGATCACTCCCGGGAGACCTCGCCCTAAAACATTATCCATCATGTTGACAGCAGTGCAGCTCCGGAGTCTTAAAGTGAAGAAAATATCATGTTCTACACATAGATAAACTCTTCCTTCAACCTCTCCTACGCGCTCTTTTTCTTTTCCTGCAGCACTACATCTTCTTCAATTTTACCGACAGCAGGTATTTGACGAAGCAGCTGGCAGGACGAGTATTACAAACACACAAAAATCACAGTTTTCCAGAATAAATACCACCTTAAATCCATATTACCTGACAGTTACTGGAGCACCACCACTTTGGCCAACAACGGAGATACAAGTCAACAAGAAATTGCTGGCAGTATGTCACCCGGGCTGTATATGTCCTTGTAAAAATAAAACTGTACACAGACAAGTGTGGACAAGAGGGAAGGGAGGATATATGATGAGGATGGAAGGAAATAGGACTCTAGGGGAAAGACCCGCTTCTCTTATAGGTTCAGGTTTACAGCTTGGGGAGAGACTTGAGGGGAAACTGGATTTTCATGACGGTAAAGCCCAATCAAAACCACGCCAACCATTAAAATAAGTCACCCAGTTTTAACAAGTCATATATATTTGAATGGTCTGAATGTAGACACAAAATATGGAAATAAAATCTAAGGAATAACATCTAATATTGGGGTTTGGTATTGTTTTAACTTAAATAGCCACTGGATTTGAAATAAAGTCCGATTGTATGGAGGTCTCTAGAAAAATTAGTCGATTTTAACAGTCGGTTTTATTTTTAAAGGGTCCAGGATAAAGTGAACTTTTATATGAAGGTTTCATCTCATCATCTCCAAATTTGGTACGCCCATTTTTGACACATTAAGGGTGAAATACTCTAAAAAGATTGAGAGTAGGTCAAAGGGTGTGGTTTCAGCGGGGCGTTAAAGTTGGTTATTTCGATGCTTATTTGAACACAACTGCATTCTTACATTTGCAACCAACCCTGCAGCCTTCCCTGATTTCCTTCGCACCTCATTGCAGGATGACAACCAACTGCAAAAAGCCGATTTAGTTAGCAAGCCAATCTCTTTGAATACTTTTGATTTATCTATGTTTCATGCTTTGACATTCTTACAACTTCACAGGAAAGAGGGGAGGATTTTTGCAAAACCCCTGAATATATTCAGAATTTGCTTTTTCACCCCCGATGGCTGCTATTTTATAATTCCCAATTTCTGCAATATTTGCGTGAAAACCAGGTCGTGGTTTAGGTAATGGAGGATTTTGGCCATGGCAAAACTCCACATTTAACCATTAAAGTCAGAGAATATTGCTTTATGCAGCAGCACTGTGATTTTGAGGTGCAGAATCCTCAAGAAATGGGCCTCCTTTTTAGGGACACTAGACTGCATACCCAGAAATAGTCTGACATGTAGACACAGCCCCAGTTTTTTGAGCTGAAGAACTTGAATGACCTCCAGGCTTGTCAAAAACTCTCCAAACTCTTTGTATTATGAAGCAAAAAATGCATGGCCGTCATTGTGCAGGAAAAGTTTTCATACCCGACAAAGCATCGGCTGAAATATTTGAACAAGTTTGAGAAAGTCAACTTGGTTATCTCGCAAGAAGCATGCAGCACAATTTCTGAAAAAAAAAAGGACTCAAGTGCACCTTATACTTTTTCTTTTTTTCCCCAGACATTCTGACTGCATACAATTACGATTCTCTCCAAGGTCTGGATAGGCTGAATGAAGCCGAAGGTAAGAAAGAGAGGATGGAGGACGAATGTGTTGAGGTGTGTGACGACTCTGTAAGGAATGATAAAGAGACAGAAAGAGAGACTGCTGGTTTTACTGCACCAAGGCCGACATGCTTGGATTTATAGATTCCAGCGTGAGTGTGTGTATAAGTGTCCTAACTCCTACTGCTGACCTTGTGAAACTCCTAAAAACTGTTTGAATCCATTCAGCGCGCCGACACTGGCCATTTCCAGCAGGTTTTATTAAGTGAGAAGCAATACAAAAACATTTTAAAAGGCTCTTAAAGGACCGATCTGTCCTCAGAGACTGTTATGCAGCAATAAATCATGTATCTGTGATCTTCAAGGCACTCAGGAGTTATTTGGTGATTAAATGTCGCAGCCTCGTTCTTTGATGTGTCCAATTTTCTTTCTCTGCAAAGAATTTCTCTTTGAGTTTACAAAATAAGACCCCGCTCTTGAACGAATTGCAACATAAAAGGATTTCTTCAGAGTCAAAGGACGGAGAGAAAACGCACCGACTCAGGAATTGGAATTCACATGGAGATGTGCTACGGGGCAGATTTCATCATTTAGACCGAGGTTTACTGATTCCCAACAAAAACTCAGCCAACAGTTAAGATGCTGAAGGAAATAGATGTAATTACTGAAAGCAGTAAAAGCACTTAGTATGATTATTCAGGCGATTTATGACTGTAATTAATATTATGGTTATTAAACGCTCATGCGACCATGTTTGAGTCATGACTGCCCTCGCTAACTCGAGAAAGGGAAGCATTTAAATAAGTTTAATGGCAAAAAGAAAAAAATACACAGCCTGTCCCTTAGTTTGTAATCAGTTCACAATGTGCATTTATTTCATATTTCCTTTCACAGCAAGACAAACAGCAGCAAAAGTCTAATTTTATTCACACAAAGGGAGTAAAGATTGTTCATTTTCCAAGCTTTGCCTTAACCCTGTGAGTGCCAAATATTGGGACAGCTTGCAAGCTCTCCATCATGCGCACTCTTAAACAAATGCAGAAACAGAAACAGCAACAGATATTATGAGGGATGAAACTGAATCCATTGTGCATAGAGTACAAAATCCAACCATTTGATTTAGCTGCAAAAAGATCGAAAGCCAAGGTGCACCTGTCGTTTTACAGGAAATATGAGCAGACTCAAAACGCACCTATGAACAATTGAGAAGCAAAATTCAACGTCAATGTCAAAATTACAATTTTTTTTAGACTCCAGGACAGTTTTTCGTCTTTTCCTAAGTCCACCTTAGACTTGCTCATTGTTTCAGCGTGCATTTGTGGTGTTTTTAGGATATTAATCTGAGTCAATGTGGTGACTTCCACGACAGTCATGTACAGGGGCGGACTGGGACCATAATTCAGGCCAAGAGTTTGACTCCATCCAGGCCAGGCCGATACACATTGACGTGGAAATGCTGGCACCGGCGAAAAGTTTTGGACATTTAAAGCCAGATTTAGTGAATAAAATGCAAATGTGAAGGATTTAACATTGGCTACATGACTGCAAATCTAATATGAAGTAAAAACAAAAATATGCCTCTGTGCGCACCACTAGCGGCGGCAGATCGGATCCGGTGGGCGCTATATGCTTGCATATTTCCCTACCGGTCCGGAGCAAAGCGGTTCCAGATCCTGTGGGTTAGCCGGGGACAGGTCATCCAAAACGGGAACTGTCCCCAGAAATCTGGGTTGTCTGTTCACCTTAGTCTATTCCCTTTCTCTGACTCTTTTCTGACATTTTTAATCTAATGTTTGACATATTCTAGTAGCACACGTCTGAAACAAAACACAAGAAATATCCAGAGTGAGTTAAAATCTAAATGCACGAGTCAAAACCTGCAGAACAGCATTCTGAGATGGAGTGCATGTAAAAACTGTCCTGTTGTGTTTGTAAAGAATGTGCTTACTGTAAATACAGCATGTACAGCCTTGCTTATCCACGTGCGTCACACTCTTAGATGGAAATCTGCAGTAACGAACGTCAGAACCTCTCTTATCTCTGCTCTGTGCGCAGTGAAGACACAGTCCATGTCCTTTTCACACAGGAGAGAAAAAGAAAGTCACATGTGTCCTTGTCCCCGCGTGGAGGCACTTGTCATTGTGCAGCAAACGGCCTATGATCTCCCCCCCTCGCTCTCTCGCTCACTAACATAAAGCCCCCTCAGGCTCCTCGCTCGCCCACCTAAGGTTTCAAGGTTGCTGCTCGGCTGTCACATTCTGACTATTCTCTGTGTTTTTTTTTTCTTCCTCTTCTCTTTCCTGAGCTGTGAATAGAGCGATCACCTCCCCCTCACTGCCGGCACTGTGAGCAGATCATTATGCCCGGATCGGGCCGAGGTAATGGAGTCTTCAAGTCACTTTATATACATGCTGTCTTCTTCTTCTTCTTCTTTTACTGTGCGTTTCCTGACAGTACACTTTCCTCCCCTCTTAGCTCGTCATGTTGTTCTGCAGTTGTCTTCCCTTTCTTATTCTTCAAAGTCAGTTCGGCGCTCACCTGTAACTCCAAACACACGTTCATATCTTGATCTGAGCAGGATTTTCCCTCATATTTATGTAGAATAGCATCACTGCGTTAGCTTACCGAGGTCAAGAGTGCATGCAATGATCAGGTTACGCCGACCATTTGGAACCACTGAAGTTTATTCTTTATTTAAATGGTATCAATCAAGACATCTCCTGAGCAACTTTCACTCTTTACGCAGATGATAGAGTGATGTACTGCTCTACGTAGACTTTGTACTTTCAGTTAGCACCCTTAGCTGGCAAGCAATGGTATACTGTATTATTATGAGTTTTAACAGCTCATTACAGCTCAGACTTCCTCTGTCTGGAAGTTCGCACCAAGGACCCCCTGAAAAAGTCTGCGAGGAGATTTCAAACAAACTCTCCTTTCGAGATCCAACTTTTGTATCCAAAGTGAAGAGTCCACCTTAAGGTCATCGCCATCTCCTGAGCTGATTCGTTTTTGCTGCTCAAACAGCAAATGATGCCTTACAAAGCTGAGCAGAAGGATTTATAAAGGGATATTCTCGTGTAAAATAAATTTAGGGTCAAACACACTGCAACTCTGAGTTAGACACCCCCTCGAGAGATGAATGTTGCCGACCGCTTGCTTCTGTAGTTATACCAACTTTAGTAACGACCGCAGGATAGCAATACACAGCGGTCTGAGGAGCCAAAAACAAACCTCAATCAAAACGCCACTTTATAGCCACAAATAATGCTCAGAACAGCACCTAACTTCATCAACAGGACATATAGGGTCCTAGCCATAGTCCTAGCCACCAAACATCTTTTTAGCTTTGCCTGATTTCTTTAGCAGAGAGACTAAACACAACTCACCTACTCTCTTCCAACAGCCGCTTGTTTGTAGCGAGACCTCAGGCGAGTCCGTCGACTGGGGTGCCGCAGCTCAAGAAAGAGCGTTAATAATCATTTCTTGATCATTTCCTTGAAGTAATAATCACCATATTAATCATTTTGCACTGCAGACGCGGTCGTTCTTCTGTCTTAGCCTCTCGGTCTGATTGTATTTTCATGAAGAAATGATCACAAATGTTCTTCCTTGAGCTGCGTCACCCCACAGTAGTCCGTAATGGACTGGCCTGAGGTCTTGCTACAAACAAGCGGCTGCTGGAAGAGAGTAGGTGAGTTGTGTTTAGTCTCTTTGCTAAAGAAATTACGCAAAGTTAAAAAGATGTTTGGTGGCTAGTGCTGTGGCTGGGACCCTATATGTACTGTTGATGAAGTTAGGTGCTGTTCTGAGCATTATTTGTGGCTATAAAGTGGCGTTTTGATTGAGGTTTGTTTTTGGCTCCTCAGACCGCTGTGTATTGCTATCCTGTGGTTGTTACTAAAGTTGGTATAACTAGAGAAGCAAGCGATCGGCAACATTCATCTCTCGAGGGGTTATCTAACTCGGTGTTGCGGTGTGTTTGACCCTTAATTAATTTTACACCGGAATATCCCTTCAAAGTCTAGTTTTTGGAGGGTTTTTGCAACAAAATGACTCACTATTTTTCAGACTTGGATTAATGACCCTGTAAGATAACACCTCCCTCCTTGAACCTGTTGTTCAAAGAGTATTTTTCGCACAATTTTGCAGATGCTTCGACCCTGCACAGCCCAAAATCCCTCAATATGCACCTGCAGACTCACACACACACACACACACACAGTCTTTTCCTTTAGGATAGCATCCGTTGGATGAAAGGTGCTCCCCACCTCCCCTAACCCCTCCCCCCTCTCTCTCTCGGTTGTCAAACATCAAAAAGGAGAGGGTGCTGTCTCCAGAAAGACTCACCCAAGGCTCAGGGGGGAGGAGGAGAAGTGAAGGGGAGTGGGTTTCTTTTTCTTTTTTTTTGAAGGGGTGATAGAAAAAGGAGAACATGGCTGACGTCGGTGCCTTATTCATGCCCCACACACCCCCTCCCGCCGCCGCCGCCGTGCACCGGGCGAGGACAGGGTTCCACTGATTAGTGCCAGAATGTTCTAAAGAAAGCGAGAAGGTGCCATGCCGCTGCCTCTAGCGAAGTTACACAGAAGGAGAGAAGAAGTGTGTGTGTCAGTAAAAGAGAGAGAGGGGGAGAGAGAGGGCGAGAGAGGTAGATTCAAAGCGCTGGCGCAATGATTAAGTCATTGCTTATACTCGCCTTTGAGTGTCTTGTCTTTGATGGTGTGAAAAAAAAGCCCCTCCCACACAGACATCATTAAGGAACAGAGGAATTGTCTCTCAAGTTGGGGGAGGCGGGGGAAGCAGTGGCGAGCGTGACGAGCGAGGTCGGTGATGGCGGTTCACATCACGACTGTTTTGTATCACAGTTTTACTCGGCGGCGTGGCATCACCTGCTGAACCGCTGCTTAGAGCGAAGCTCCACAAAGGTGCTACTTCCTGTCTTTTTAGTCACTTATTTGATGTGCCTGAGGTAGACGTGTTACTGGCTAAAAGCTCTTTGATTAAAGGTGGGGTCGACAGGATTCCGTTAGAGAAGCATCTTTTTTTGTGGTGTTTATACAAAAAAGCTTTTAATATCAGTCAATAGCTATTAGTTGTTGATGACATTTGGGAGTATAACGATATCGCTGTTTTTTTTTTTTTGTCTGTGTAGTCAACATTTTAAATTTTTGAGCGACCTGCTCCGCCTCCAACCTGATTGGTTGTGAGGCACGGTCCACGTCCTTGAATAACGTTCACGATCCCATCAAAGTTAGCGTGCTGCAATATCGGACGGTAGAAAAAGCCGGGTCAACAATGATGGGGGACTCTTCGGGATCTTATGGAACCTTAACATTACTACATTACTGAACTTTAGTTACTCTAGCTAACACACTGTGACACCGTCTGTAACACTAGCAAAGATGTTTTGATCTTAGCTAGTTAGAATTTCAAACCGTGCTAACTCACTAGTATTAGCTACAAGCAAAACGGTAACACAAGTGAGTGTTTTTTTTGCCTCACTTGCTAACTAGTAAGGTTCGGACAAGAGCTAAGAAGCCAGGTCAACATCAGCATAAATAATGGGGGACGCTTCGGGATCTTGGTGACCCTGTAACCTTTCTGCTGGACAGGTAAACCGCTTTAACAAAGTAAGACAAGTGTCTGTAACAGAAGTGTTTCTTGTCAAACGGACCTGCTGTAGCGTGTTGTAGCGCCATCGCTAAACTGTCCTCCCTCGGGTCCTGGACTATGTCACTTTATCCTCGTTGTAGAAGTCCTGCAAACATTGTGTTTGCTGGTAGTCTGTTGGCATCTACAGTAGCACCAATGCTTTTGACTTTCACGTTTGACTGGGCCCCATTTGTAACTATCTGAAGTATTTATCTGCATTATATCTGAATTTAATTGGAACAACAAGAGCGAGCAGGAGCGTCTGTTTGTGGGCGGGGCTTGCTGGAGCAGAGACAGAGGGGAAACTGGTTCGGAGCGGTAGAGTTTACATTCAAGATTTCGCCCAAAAACTGGCTCTTCCTCAGATCCTTCCTACCCCACCTTTAAACGCAAAAGAAAAAACACTTCTACATTCAAAGTTGCGCCATAAAAAAACAACAAAAAACCATCCAATATGGCAGCTTGTGGTTTGCCCAATGAGTCCGCCATCCATTGGGGTTCTGTGTGGAATAAATCGGTCGACTATTTTGATAGTTATGCTAACTGTGGCTGCAAAGACTGAGACTGAAGTGGCTCGTCATCGTGAATCAATTGTTTGGAGTGTTCATGCATCCGCCTGCATTTGTTCGCACACATGCATGAGCCGCACGCCATCTCCATGACTGATCCTGTGTTTACTCGTCCCCGTCATGAGTGCGACTACCAAACTATAAAATCTACATTAACCGGTCGGGGCATTTGACACAAAGAGCCGTGCACTTGATCATGTCAGACAAAAGTAGATTGCGCCTTTTGATTAATGTGTCAGTCAGGGAGGCCATGAATAACATTAGCGGGCGCATGTCGGTGCAGAGTTCTGCTCAACAGGAAAATACTGTTTGCAGCTCGTAAACGCTGGAATTTTCCACTCTTTGGGTTGAAAAGCAAGAAATGATGCAGGATGATATGGTTTAATGACCACTAAGCGCCACTTTAGAGGCGAGAATGAGCTTGATAGTCCCACTTGATCCAAAAAGCAGGTATCTCTACTCAAATGTTGCAAGCGTTCTGGTGAAATATCGGGCCGTAGAGACAGAGGAGAACATAACCGGTTTGTTTGTCTTCCTTTATTCCCCTGAAGATGAAAAGCGCGCTGTTAAGTCTGATGTTGTTGGTTCTCCCCCCCGTCAAAATGAAAGACTCGCAGACTGACAGCCACAAAAGGGCTTTTTGAGATTTGTTGCAACTGCAGGAAACCGCCTCTCCCTCCAAATTTGCCGCCTGACAGTGATGGAGCGCCTGTCTAATACGGCGATGTGTTCGTCCACAAGTGTGCGCACCCGCAGACACAACTGGGAGCGCGTTCAAAGACTCGAGAGCTGTCTGACAACATCATTAGTGTGTCTGCATCTGTGTGTATTACGTCGCCTTTCTTCTCTATCTTACCCTCTCTCTCTCCCCCGCGTTCTTGCTGTCTGTCTCTCTTGACGGGGGGAAACAGGTGGAAGAGTTTTCACGGGGAACAGACATCATACGTTCCCTCTGTTATGTCTCAGAAGCAGATCAATGTGGCGGGGTGGAGATACTCGCTGGCGCTCAGTGACAATGGGGGGAACGCTTAGATAATTCCCGGTGCAGGCGTGGAGTCTGAGCCCGGCTTGTTCAGTGTTTTCTCTCTCCCAGTAGAGCTCGGCTAAGTGTTCATCCCACAACTGTGGAGCTGGGACTGCATCAAGAGTCTCTCAATCAGGCTTCCTGTTCCTGCAGGGTCGCATCCAAATACCAGGACTACGTCTAGTCTTGGAAAACATAAAGTAGAGCGGCGATTTCCAGCTTTGTTGGCGTGAATCTGCGAGAGAAAAGGAAAAGACTCAGAAAAGGAGCGAGGAATCTGCACTGGAGGGATGAGGAGCACAACAAAGGGTACAGCGAGAGAAGAAAGAGGTGAAAAAGACAAGGAGGTAAAATTGTGCTCTTCACCGCCAGGCCTCGTGCCCCCTTCTCTCCACACGAGAGGGGGGCCTCTGATGAGGTGTTGATTGCCTGTGGGCACAAGTGGTTTCTCCAAACACTCTAAAAAGTGGCCTATCCTCTGATTAGATTCAAGTGTTATGACGGCAAATAGGCCCCGACACTCGACTATACATTACAGCTCGGAGATAGACCGTGTGGCGAGGGCTTTCATTAAAACGGCGTCTCGTAAAGACCCCGGACAGACCCAAAGGTCATTTTGAGAAGAGCGCGAGTTATCGTCAGGGCTTTAATATCCAAAGTCATCAGCTGTTTTGTTGTGGTCTCTTTGGGTCGAAAAAACGTGTTAAATTACTCCAAGCCTGTGGGATACCCTCCAAACAGCGATGGGTCACTGTGATGGCGGCGAGTTCGCCACTACAGCATATAGCGTGTTCTCAAGAGGGCTGAAAACAGAGCGGATATAGGACCATAAAGGCCACTCGTGGGTAATCTAAGGACTTAGAAAGCACATTAGCTTGAATGTATGGCGATTGTTCCTCTTTAAGAAACCCGTTTATGGTTTTTCTCATTTTCTTTGTTTCTTCTTGCAGTTTTTTACAAGGTTAAAGTCAGTTGTTATCACTACAGGAAGTTGAATAGACATCATTTCAAAATAAACAAGCATATTTTCAAAAAAGTAAAGTTCATTTTTGCAAGAATAAAGATAAGAATAACTTTATTGATAGATATTTTTATTGACATATTAATTTATTAATATACTTTATTTATTTATTCTTCTTTATTATAATTATTATTATCAATTTTATTTAGTTTATTTTAATATTGTTTTCTGTATTTATTTTATTATTATTATTTTTTATTTATTTGTTTATTTATTTATATTTATTATTATTATTATTATTATTATCAATTTAATTTTGTTTATTTTACTACTATTATTATTATTATTATTATCATTATTATTATTATTTATTTGATTTTGTTTATTTTAATATAGTTATGTCATTTATCTATTTTATGATTATTATTATTATTATTATTTATTTGATTTTGTTTTTTTAATATAGTTATTCCATTTATTTGTTTTATTTTGTTTATTTTAATATCGTTATTTCATTTATTTATTTTATTATTATTATTTTTAAAATTTATTATACTTAATTCATACATTGAAAGTAATTTCAAATTAAAAGTATCACAAACAACTTTTTTGAGGTTTTAAAAAAAGACTTTCTCCTACAGGGCTGCTCTTGTAGACGATGCATTACTTTGCTTTTTCTGTTATTCTAACTCCCAATAATAAAAATATGTCGTCAGTTCGACTAAGAAGTGTCACATAAGTAAAAATGTCGCTTCAATATTGCATATCTGCATTGAGTGAGTATGTGTGGTGGATATAAATCATGCAAAAAGCACCTCAGACGGCTCTAAATACTTAAACTGGTGTAACAATCTGTCTTTTTTACATCCTCCTGTTATTCTCCATCTAATATCAACATTTCTCGAACGTGTTCAAACAAGCTGTCAGCGTAAAAATCCAGAGTTTGCTAAAAATCAGATTTCCGTAGGAGTGATGTTTGTTTCAATGCACAGTTGAAATGTGGGACAATAGAGATAAACAGCTGCTCAGAAGCACACAGTCCTGTACTGATCCGCAGTCAGTCCCACAAGCCCAGACTGACATCTGTCTGCAAATGTATGGACGCACAAACACACATGCACATGCACACGCACACATACTGTCTGTGATGCAAACCGCGATGTACACAGACGAGTGATGAATATTTAAGAGGCTTGAGTCTGTATGTGTTCCATATATGTCACCATCAGCGTCTCAAGAGCTGGTTCGAGGGCAGGGGGCTGATGAGCAGTGTGTGTGTGTGAGTGTGTGTGTGAGTGTGTGTGTGTGATGGTGGGCTCAAAGTGGCCATCTTCATATATCATGTAGCTCCTTCTTGCCAAGAGCGCTGCTTCTGTCAAGTGCATGTGATGAGCACCCACAAGACCTCTCCGCTCTTCACCCCCTCATCTGAGTGTGTGTGAGTGTGTGTGTGTGGAGAAGAAGGAACAGAGGACATCATGGGCATCTGCTTTAAAGAGAAAGCAGGTCAGTGGGTTAGGTTGGACTGTATGTATGTATGTGTGTGTCGTATGAGGGGCATCGTATATCTACGTTGGGGTAAATGAGTATTGTATAAAAATAAACAAAAAAAGAAGGAATCTAGAAAAATCCATGTTTGATTTTTAAATTATTAATTTGCATTTTATTGCAGTAAATTAATATTCGATCACCTCCCAACCTTTCAGAATTTTAGCTCTCACAAATCTGTTAGGTTGTCATTAGAAGGCCCTCCAACTCTCCATTCGTTACCTGGATCAGCTGCACCTGTTTGAACTCGTTACCTGTATCAGCAGCACCTGTTTGAACTCGTTAGCTGTATTAAAGACACCTGTTCACACTCTCAGTCAGTCAATCAGACTCCAACTTCTCTACCAAGACCAAGGAGCTGTCTAAAGCGGGGTACACACATAAGGATTTTTTAAATCTTAGGAGATTTTTTATCTGTTACAGACCCCACAACCGGGAAACACAAGACGCAACATGGAAGAGGACACACAAGAGGAGGGAATGATGGTGGTTTTGGGAGTATTTTTGACAGAAAAAAAGAAAAGACCGTGGAAAAATCCTGAGGACAGCGTGAACGTGGACTTTAAAGTCTACTAAGCGAACTAAGGTGAGTTGTTCTCAAATTAAGCTAATTGCTGCTGTGATTATTATTATTATATTATATTATGTGATGATCGCTTTATTTGGTTCCTTGTTACTCAGTCAGCTCGCTTCTTGATTGGTTGCAATCCGTTTCACGTGACAATTCACAGAGTCATAACTCGGGAGTCGTCGGCTTCTCCCACACGTGAAGATTTTTGGTTGTAAATATTGAACAAGTTTAATATTTACAATTGTTGGCTCCGACCCGTTTTGGACCCAATTATCGGGACAAATTCAATCTTAATACACCTCAGACCAGAGGATAATCTTATAGGATAATCTTAGAAGACATAAGATAATCTTCCGATTGTAGTCCTTGGTCGGGAGGGAAAAAATCGGGACAAAAACAGCCCGATTATCTTTATGTGTGTACCCCGCTAAAGTTGCCAGAGAAGTAAACAGAATGTCCGAATGTGGAGCTAAACGCGGAGCTGAAGCAGCAAAAAAAGATGTCAGCCTCTGGCCGGTGGTTCGGGTATCTCCAAAGTGACACCGAGCATTAAAGCCGATGTGTAAGGTATGTCAGCAGTTGGTGCCCTCAAAAAACGGCAACACAACAAATCTGTTTAATTATTTAAAGAAGAACTTCCCGAGTGATTATGCGGAAATCATGAAAATGTGAGCGGAGTCTGCACAGCCTGAGTTTAACTTCAACTAGCGGTGCAGCCAGCAGACCAAAGCAATCAATCCTATCATCTACGTTTAAATCATCTCATGTTTAGATTTTAAGGCATCTTCATCATCTCTGAGGGGGCGATTTGTTTATTTTGGGTCTTGCATACCTGTAAAACACTCAGGAATATAAACTAGTTCACTGTATTATTTAGTATTTATGTATATAGTAAATAACAATTTGCTTTGTTATTTACTTTGTATGATAATAAAATGTTGAACTAATCTCAAATTTTTTCAGTTTTTAGTACATATGCGTTAAAACTGGCAGTTTAAAAAGATTTTTTCCACTGTACAGTTCCTAAAATTTGACTTAGAATTACATTAATACGACCACATGAATCTTGTTCCTGATACACGGCCCAGAAATGGTTCTGATCCGGTCTTGTTAAATGAAACGTTCACCGCCACCTCCTTTGTATCAACAGGAGAAGAAACTAACAAACTGAAAATGCCATAAACCATTAAAGCTAATTGACAGCTGCGGCTTCTTTGGAGGAGAGAAAATGTATTCAGCTCGATATCTTCTCGCTGAGACGCAGCCACATGTAAAGGGTTAATGACACGACTGGTGATGCCTCGCTTTCCACAACACTGCATGATGGGTAAACGACACCCCCCGCGGAGTTTGACAGTAGCTCGCAGCGGTCCGTCACCTCGTGTCCACTCTCAGCGGGACGCCTGGCACTTGTGATGTTACGGGAGATGCACACAAAAACCACAGAGCTGCTCCACAGACTCCGATGTCGCTATTCTTACTGATCTGAAGTGAAGTTAATGAAATAAGAGAGCCGTCGTCTGGAAAACGAGACACTGACTTAATAAATGCTGGTGTTAAGGTAATACTTGTTTAGGCGATACCTGGGGACGTATTATGAAACAATAACAGTTGTATTTTCAGATTTATTTAACATAGATGTGAGTGTCATAGATGTGTAACTCAGAAAAGACTAGACTGATATTGTAATGTTTGTCAAAAAATGGTGACATGCTCCTTTATTGTGATAAACATGGGAAATCGTGTTTATGTAAATCTTGTGTTGTTTGGGTTCTGACTTTGCAGTCTTTATTTTGGCGTTATGGTCTTTGTTGGTGTCGGGTTCTGTTGCTGTGTGGGTTTGAGGTTCCTTAACAGCAGGGTTGGTGTGAGGTTTGAGGATTTGTGCAGAGCTGGATTTCTTGTTGTTTTGGTTCTTATGAGTTGGGGGTTCTGATGGTGTTAAGGCTCAGATGGTGTTTGGGTTTTTGTTGTTTGAGTTTTTGGGCTTATTAGGTTTTTGTTGTTGGGGTTCTTGTGCTGTTAAGGTTCTTATGATGTTAAGGTTCTGATGCTTAATAGGTCTTTGTTGTTTGGGTTCTTGTAATTTTGGGGTTCTGATGTTGTTTAGGTTCTTATGATGTTTGGTTTCAGATGCTTTTTGGGTTCAGATGTTGTTTGGGTTCTTATAATTTCGGGGGTTCGGATGTTATTAAGGTTCTGATGTTGCTTGGGTTCAGATGTTGTTTTGGTTCAGATGTTGTTTGGGTTCTCATGATGTTTGGGTTCTGATGCTAATTAGGTTTTTGTTGTTTGGGTTCTTATGATTTTGGTGTTCTGGTGTTGTTTGGGTTTTTGTAGTTTGGGTTTTGATGTTGTTTGGATTTTTTTAATGTATAAGATTCTGCTTTTTTCTGGTTTTACAGTTGGTTTCACACTTTTTTTGTTCCAGTATTTTTGTTGGTTTGGTTCTCAAGATGTTTGGAGTTCTGATGTTGTTTTAGTCCCCAAAATGTTTTGGTTCTTATGCTGATTGGGTTTTTGTTGTTTGGGTTCTCATTTTCTTTGGATTTTAATCCGTTTATTTATTGGGTTCTACCCTTTTTTCTGGTTGGGTTCAAACCCTTCTGGTTCCAGTATTTTTGTTGTTTTGGTTCTGATTGTACTTTGGGTTAAGATTCTGCAGGGTTCTCTTTCTTTAAATGAGTTAATTTGCTGTTTGGGTTCTAACTTAATCGTCATTTTAGTTTAGTTTTAGTTTCTAACTTTATTTGGGTCTCTTCCTGTTTCGTTCCTTTTGTTATTTAGCTCTGACAAGTTTGGGTTTTTATTGCGTTTGTTGTTTCACTTTTGTTGTTGTTTGGGTTCTTTTTGGAAGATGAAGTAAAACCAGATAGTTTCCTCACTGACTTTTGAGCTGTAACCAGTCCTCTCATTGTTAATGCAAAACACAATCCCTTTACATGTTCTCTTAGGACGCTGCTGTCATCACTCCCTCCGCCTGTATTCTGCTCAGGTAGCAGAGAAAACACACCTTTTCTTTAGAAAATCAAGCCCCCAGCCAGGTTGTTTACCCACCGAGTGTGTAACTTGGTAATGTGGCTCCTGTACGAGAACAAGCTCCACTTTATGGCAGATATGAGGTGGAAACAATCATGCGATACATTGCCCTCGTCCGTTGAGCTCGGCTCTTTTGTCGCGAGCTTCTGTTACTGAGCAATCTATAAGTACTTAGCTGCTAAGGAAATTAGCCGCTCCACCGGCTGGAGAATGGAGAAATCATTGTGAAGCCGGTATGCCTCTGTGCGCCTGTGTAATTGTGTTTCCAACGAATGTGCACTCAAAGTAGGGGGCTCCTAGACCCTCTTTTCCTCCTCTTTCCAGCTCCTACTCCTCCTCTTTCCCTCTTAACTAAAACCGTGCACCCCTTTAACATGTAAGCACAAGCTAGCCGCGCACCGGGGCCACGCCGGCGCACCGCAGCCAACCTCATTACCGTGTGATTATGCGAAATCAGCAGAGAGGAGCGAGAGAATCAAAGCCGCCACTGGAGATGAGTGAGATGTACAGTAAGTGTCCCTGCCCCGTTGGATTGGCGGGGGAAAGATTAGAGGACTCGCTCCTAGAGACGGGTGGAGATCAAATTCTCTCTCTTAGTTTGCCTCCCTCTTGGGCGTCAAAATGAGTCTCGGTGATGAGGCAGATGTCGAAGTCTATCCTCCTGGTTAGGAGCAGGTTTGGGCAAGCTTGGAAAATGAGGGAGATCCTCTCTGTGATAGCCATAAAGAATTCTGGGAGCCCTGCAGAGAGGAGTGGGTTGAAACGGCGTCATTTATATTCAAGGACAGCTGCAGCCGAGGAGTGGGTATAAAATCGATGCAGGGGCTTTACCTCGTCTCATCCTCGCTTTTTTTGTTCCTGCTGAAAAGGCGGCTCGGCTCGCTGTTGCAGACCCTAAATTGTGGCTGAAATGATGTTTAGGGGAATTGCACACAGGGATGATAAAAGGGAAGGCCGGTTTGCACGCATTCATACACAAATAGGCGCGCGGATACACACACGAGCCACACACGCGGCGGACATCAGTGCTGCGTGAGATAACAAGACCATATTGAGGATGACCGGAGGGTTAGGGGAAAGGCGGATGAGTGAAAGAGTAAGAAAAGTGGTCACGCTCGGCTTCCTTTTCGCCGTATAGCCGCCCTATCTCTCCACCGCACTGACCCTCTACACCACCAGCTCAGCGCCTTATCAGCGCTTTCCTCGGTGCCTCGTTCTTTCTCCCCCCCCCCAGCGACCCCGCGGAACGTGATGCTTGGAAAACGCAACACCGGATATAGGTTGAGTCATAGAGCGGCACTATCACCGTCCGACACGTACCCCCTGTCGGGGCGCAGTCATCGAGCAGTTCAAGGTGCGATTAAAAGTGCAGATTGCTCCTCCTCCCCTCAAGCGTGTATCGACATATGCTCGCCCAACACACCTTCCCCCCCCTGCGATGAAAACGCACAGTTATGAGCTTGCTTAAGTGCAGCCTTTAATTGAAGTGGTAGATGCAGGTAAAGAGCTCATTTATATGCATTTCTGCAGCCTAAAGCCATTGGTTAACACACATGCAAACACACACACACACACACACACACACACACACACACACATACACACAATGGCAACAATAGTTATTGAAGCTGACGGCGGCCTTATCCGCTTAATCCAAATTTACATACACCACTTCCGTTTGGTATTTCAACAAAAGCATTAGCTCCCCCCTCTTCTCCGTCCGCCATGCAAATAACCCCAACATTGAGCTGATTGTCGGGACGGCGGCTGGAGGGGGTTTCCGTGCCAGATAGTTTGGACTCCAGAAGACGTGGACCGGCTCAAGTCAAATGAAGCAGCAGGAAATACAACAGCTGCTGCGACAAAGAACCTCCAGGTTTCAAGATAGGCTGACGGCGGATTCGGGGTGATTACAGGGGATTATAATCTGTGTTTGGAACTGGAATTATTGGCAATAGAAGTATTCTTGATGATGGTTACGGCAATATTGGGGTCCACCCTAAATGACTTACCCGGGATTTCCACCGCATCTGGAATGGCATTGATTTTCGCCGTACGCCAATTCCTACCAGATCTGTTTGTGAGGCAAATTTACGGACAGCCGGAATCGCAAGAACTCACAAGACCCCGCCGATTCACGTGCAATTGCGCGATAACAAGTTGTCTTTAGACACATAGGCTAACCCTACAAGCAGTAGATTGTGTCCTTCTAGAGGACGAAATCTATGTCTAGACTTCTAGAATCAGCATCTCCTCATCCATGGTGTCATCGAGGGGAAATGACATCTATAACACTTTTACTTGTTTGTCCCCGCCCATTTGCATGGTGTGAAATACGATCCACCTGGAACATGGAGTGTTTTATTTTGAAAAGAAGTTGGATGTTTTATTTTGTGTCTGTGCCCGACTTCCGGGTTAATCTGTACTGAATTTATCCAGCATGCTCTGGCGTCGATCCGCACTGGAACGGAAAGAAGCCGGTGGAAATTGACACATTAACTTGAATGGTTACGATCGGCAGATACAGCCTTTTTGTAGCCGTTCTAGTTGCGGTGGTAAATTGGGGGCAACATGTTTGATATTTACAGTAAGATACCGTTATGATCCCCAAGGATGGTTGAGATCAGGAAGCGAGGTCACTGGAAGGATGCACAACAAATGCAAAAGCACAAACGACATGAAGCCAGAATCCATTGATGGATAAATCGAAGGTTCGTTTGGACCAAAACCGGACTCCTTTGACTCTTCCCAGGCCAGTTTTGATTCAATATACCCTGAAAATCTAAGGGTGAAAAGTGGGAATCGCTCTGTGGTGAGCCATACAGGCAATAATAAGTAGACATTACTTTATCCAAAAGGGTCATGATCCAAAAAGGTTTAGGACCAATGAAAAAAGGATTGCTATTAAGTCTTTAATGGGCCTACAAATAATGTCAGGATCAATAATCGTGTTAATGTTAGCTTTAAATTTGTCGGCATACTTCACTGTATGTATATGACTCTCGCTGAGATCGCTTTAATAATTCGGGATGGCACCATGTGTGGATGTGACTAATGTGGTCTGTGCAGGACACACATTGTCCCAATCAGTCTTTAACGAATGCACAGATCCTGGCATGAATAATTTGGAGTCCTAGTAGCCCTCCTCGGGATGTGCAGAGGGGGGGTTGTTGCAGAATCAATAGCCATAAGGAGTCTGGCTCCCGTTAGCTTTCAAGATCTACAGCCAAAGGACCCAGTCATCAAAAGTTAATGAGCTATTTAGATCATGCTGTTTCCTCTGCTCTCTACTGAGAAAACACTGCCGGACCGGAGAGAAAAGAGCCCCGGCGCGAGCGTGTACGCGTGTGTTTCATGCGCTTTATGTGTTTCCTATATATCTACAGAGGGAGATTGGCAGCTGAGAGAGAACAAAGCAGTGGAAATGGTTATCATGCGTGTGCAGTTGTGACTCGCATTGTTCGGGGCGAGTGCCTGACATGGGTTGCAAACCTTTTTCGGGCCAGTAATGCGAAAACAAAGCCTGTTTCTGACTCCCGAGTGTGAGGCTATGGTCGGGCTGCTCAGGCGTTGCAGCAGACATATGAATTGGCTGTAGCCCTCAGTGCTGTCCAGTAAAAAAAAAGATGTATTCTCAACTTGAGCTGAACAGAATGAGTGCGAGTAACTCTACATAATGTGTCGATGAAAAGTCTTGGATTTCTCAAACTTGTTTTCTTTTTGCCGTCCCAAAATTTAAACAGAAATTCAGAGGAAAGCTTTTGGTTTACTAGTGGTTTCCCCAATTTATTGCATATTTGCTGCCTGTGAATTGCACTTTGGTTCTCCTGTTTTTGCAGCTGCCTCAGTAAAGTCCCCTACTGAAAATGTTGATCACTATGGGACCAACCTGGCTAAATAACGGTAAAATAAATTCTAAAACACAAATAAAAGTAAGGTAACTAACTCTTCTGGCGAACCAGCAATTTGGTGCCCAAGACCTCTTTTCTAGTCCTGGTTTATGTGCACTGGACAAGAACCAAATTATTAAGAGAAGCATGTTTGCCTCAATTACAGTAGTTGGCAATATGACCCCACACGTCCTTTTCTCCCTGGACATATCCTCTTTTTGGCGGCTGTCTGGCGAAGTGTATGAAATCCTTTAAATGTCTGCAGTTTTGTACAGAAGTTCTGAGTTTGTGTCAGGTGGACTTACTGAGTTAGAAGCATGTAAAAGACACTCGATCTGACCTGAAAAACGCTCAAAATTAACTTTGTCTCAACAGGGTTGCAAGGTGTTCACAAGTAGCTAAGGGTTGGTCATCTTCTGTCAAGTCTGAGCACACTGTCTCACTTCCTAGCAACATGTTAACTCAATTCAACTTCTAGGAGAAACTCTTGAGCATGTGCAGAACGCTTAGGCCAGTTTCACGACACGTTTGAACGGTCACACCGCTGCCTTCAGAAGGAAGTGAGAAGACACAGTGAACTCCAACTTCAGGAGTTTTTGCTTCAGTTTGGTAAAAATATTTCTGAAGTTGGTTGACAGGTTAGATTTATGTAAATTTGCCTCACAAAGACGTATCATTTCTGGTTAAACTTGAAGTTGGAAATTTTTTTTCTCCTGTTGAAATCTCTTAGTAATTGTGTGATTGTCCTGCAATGATCAAAGACGTTTTTTGTTGTTGTGAAGGAGTCATGATGAATTCAGAAGGAAAATAATCTATTGTTGTTCTTTTCCCATCAAATTGAATAGATTTTGTCGAAACAACCTCAAAATATTTCAGTAAAAACATCATGTATTGTAAAATTTCTTAGATTCAATCCATTTTGGCCCCCTAGTCTTTAATTCCAACACATTTATATCGCTCCAATTGTCAATTCTTATGCCATTCATCACCAATTTCTTCAATTCTTCTGCATTTTTATTACTCAGATCTTTGTTTCTAACGCATTTCCTCACTCAGATCTTCAACTCTATGCTTTGTCATCACTTTAATCTTCATCTGTCATACGTTTTCCTCCAAAATTGAGCAATTTTAGTCTGACGAACAAGTTAACAAGAACTTTAAAGTCTATCTTCAGTCAGGCTTATGCAGCAGATGCACTACTTTGACAATCGTTGAAGGACTGACAAGTAGAGGAACCTTTTCAAGATTGAAACTTTGAATTTCTGCGACTTCTCCTATTGATTAAAGTTTTGAAGGTTTAAGTTTGTTAAGAATTTGTTATTATTGGACTTTTTGGTATAACTATTCACGCCACTTTTGCTGCTTTTCCCCTCTTATCTGTTTTCACATCGGTCCGTTCGTTTGGAGGCTTTTCTCTTTGGTGGTTCTCCAAGAACTCGAGGAACTTTCTAGCTTTCAGCAGGGGTCTACAGGGAAGACATTAACAGCACATAACCATGATTTGAATCTACGATATACCATGTTCATTAGGCTCATTATTGCTGGTACACCTCAGGTTTGTTGCCACCTATTAAATTATGGTCATTCAAGAGTCGTCTCCCTCACTCCTACCTTGCTCCCCTGGCTCCTTTATGTCCTCCTTATTTCCTTCCTCCCTTCCTGGACTCTGCTAACGATGCCTGAAACAAACCGACCAACATGTCACCCAGGACTCCTGCCCGGATCCCTCGCTGGCTGTTTCCCTGGCTACTGGCCTTGTTAGCGAGTCCACACATAAACGTAGCGGGGGAAGAAGTTATAGCGGTCTGAATTCCCTTTAGGACACTGGGAAGTTGCAACGACCGGGGAAAATGTGAGTATGTGCAGCAGGAAAGTAAGAGATGATCATTAAGAATTAACATTATTCCCACTGTGGCTATTTTGAAGACTTGGGGACTGCAACACGACCCGGTAGACTTATAAAATATATATAACTCAAAGCAGCAAAGCAGCAAGCAATTCCCGTCCTGGATGTAATGTGAGCTCCATGTCGGCGCCGTGGGAGCGAGGTGAAAACTTTTCCAACTACAAATTTTGACCACCTTGCCAGTCAAACATCTCAGGGAGGAAGAATCAAATCGTGTCGAGCCGAGCAGAGCATTGATTTTCAGGATGTACCCAGCGGAGGAGGTTTTATCTGTTGTGCTCTCCACGGATGCACATTAACCTCCAACTCGCTTTGAATCACATGGAGAAGCCCCGGAGGACCCAAACCCACCAGCGACGATTAATTGGTCAACCTTTATGTCGTCCTGCTTCTCCCAGCCTGCTTGGCTGCTTCCTCCATTTGTCTCACCGCTCACCACAGCCGCCGCCGCCGCTGCTTTCTGTCTGTCTGTCAGCTGGCTTTTATGCCTTCCCCTCTCTTCTCCAGCGAGTTTCCCACAAAAACCAAATCCTGCAGCTTGAGAATCAGGCATCAGGGGTTCAGGGGGAAGAAGAGATGAGGGATGAAGTTTGGCTTACTGTTGGGCCTGGAAACTTTTCAGCATAAAAGCTCTCAGAGAAGGCGTGCTGATCAGATCACTGATCGCTGAAGGTCATTATCTCTTTGTTGTTGGACCAAATCTGCAGACCGGGCTGGGAAGTAAAGTTCAAAGCAACCCTCTGTGAACCTGCTTTAATGGACTAACGATGACTGGAATGACCTTGTCAGTTCTTTTCAGAATTTTGCAGGACTTTTCTGTGATTGTTTTATCAGCTTTTTGAAAAGGATGCACTGCAAAGGAGTGATATCTAGGAGTTTTTGCATTTTTGGTTAAACTTGTTGAAGTTGGTAAATAAAAAAGTTCCATCTCCTGTCCAAATCTCTTAGTAGTTGTGTGATTGTCCTGCAATGATAAAGGACTATTTTTGTTGTTGTGAAGGAGTCATGATGAATTCAGAAGGAAAATAATCTATTGCTGTTCTTTTTCCATCATATTGAAGCTGTTTTTGTCGAAACAACCTCAAAATATTTCAGTAAAAACATCATTTATTGTCAAATGTCTGAGTTTAAATCCATTTTGCCCCCCTAGTCTTTCATTCCAACACATTTTCATCACTCTAATTGTCAATTCTTGTGCAATTCATCACTCATTTCTTGAATTCTTCTGCATTTTTATCACTCATATCTTTGTTTCTAATGCAGATATTCAATCCAACTGTAAATTTTCGTGCATTTTTACGCTCTGGTCTTTAAATTCATTACATTTCATCGCTCAAATCTTCAATTCTTTACTCTGTAATTGCTGTAATCTTCATCTTCTATATGTTTTCCTCCAAAATTCAATCCCAATGCACTTTTATCAATCGATTTTCCAATTCTTAACTCCAATATTTAACTTTTACATAATTTAATGCTCCAAATTTCAATTTCCATGCATTTTTATCTCTAAAAACATAATTTTATTACACTGATATTTAATTTCCATGCATGTTCATCCCTCTGCTTTTCAGACCTTTTTAAATTCATGTCACCCTTCGTTACTTTTTCATATATTTGACGTCAATCTGCATTTTTAACGACACACAAGTTGGTAAACTTTAAGTATAACATTAAAAGATTATAGTGTTTACACAACAGCCAGTTTTAAGGTAAATATTCGATCAGAAAGTGTCAGAAAAGATGCATGCTCTGTATGCACTTGCAATACCGCTACGACAGGAAATGAAGACGACTTTAACAGAACCAGGACCCTGAACCTTTGTGATCTAAACTCATGTGTTTCTTCTTAAATGTCCTCTAAAAAACAGGCCTGTGTTCTCCTAAAGTAAAGAAGTCTGGTATCCTCTCAGGATGCTGTCCTGCACACCTGCGCTGCTGTTTTAATTTTGTCTGATTAGACCTCTGCTTCTTCTGAGGCCGGGCGGAGTGATTCAGGGGGATTAACCAAAGCAGGAAAGAAGCTGCGAGGTAAAGGTGGAAAACTGTGCTACAAAACTAATAAGAGGCGAAGAGATGGAGATGTCACTCAAAGAAAGTCCGCAACAAGGTCCCTGATTGGACTTTTTTTTAAGTGAAGGCCCCTGTGCGAGTAAACCACCAATTTTGCAAAAGAAAGAGCAAAGAGGAGTGGGAAAACCGCGGTGATTAGCAGCTGAATTTACAGTCCGCCGCGGCCCGCTGAAAAGAGAGGAATAAAACCTTTTCAGGATGGAGCTCGGGTCCCCCACTAGGGATGTTCATCGGTCACTGATGAGTGGTCTCTGCAGGACTGGAGCAACAGCCGCTGAATTATTGAACACGGCGGCGTCCCTTAGGTGAGACGCCGCCATGGAAGTCTTCAGTCTCCGGCCCTCCTGACAAAGAGGGGAAGAAAGCTTGATGAAACATGGAGGGATGCTTACAAGCCATCCGTCACGGTACCTCTGCGCTCACACAGAGGCGGGATTGGATTTCCGGCCGGGGGGATTTGTCGTGGTGGGGGTGGTGGTGGTGGTGGTGGTGGGATTGAGCGGTACTTCAGCGGGTAGTTTGATAAAGAGAGGAATGATTGTCTCCAGAGTTTAAAAATCCTCACGAACCAAATATCTCTTCGAGGAAACAGAAAGCACATGTCGATTTTCCACTTTTATGCGCTTGTATGCCGACGACTAACACATCTATGCAGAATCCATGTAGCCTGTCTATTTCTGTGTGTCAGCATCTATATTATTACATGCATGCATGCGGGTAAGTTATGCATCTGAGCCCGGGAGTCTGACGCCCGACCCAGCGCACCAGCAGTAATACCATCAGAGCTCTCCCGCCGAGCACCTGTTTTATTACATTACATACCCCTGATCCTCAAGCTGCATATGAAACCTGATAACAAGCCGCAGTCTTTGATTTACCTGCCAAGGAGACCAGCTTTGGGCTCATGTTGACGGTAAGAGCCGGCTCCACTGGAATCAATTGCTAAATCTGCAGGCTAATGGTGCTTGTGTGCTGGCGTTATTACATCAGATAGTGCGGGCTTGTTGTGGAGGGTGAGGTCTTATCGTACTTGTGGAGTGGGTGTATTGGAATAAGGATGGGGGTTCGAATGAAATGTCAAAGTCTCTTATAAATCGATCTGTTAAGTTACCACTGTACCTTTATTTCCCTGCATATTTAGGTCTTTTAATGACCTTAAAGGTGGGGTAGGCAGGATCTAAAGAAGTGTCCGTTTTTGAGAGACATGTTGAATGTAAACTCTACCCCTCCCTGTCTGCTCCAGCAAGTCAGATATAATGCAGATAAATACTTCAGATGGGGCCCAGTCAACGTGAAAGTAAAAAGCATTGGTGCTACTGTAGATGCCAACAGACTACCAACAAACACAATGTTTGCAGGACTTCTACAACGAGGATAAAGTGACATAGTCCAGGACCCGAGGGAGGACAGTTTAGCAGCGCTACAACACGCTACAGCAGGTCCCGTTTGACAAGAAACACTTCTGTTACAGACACTTGTCTTACTTTGTTAAAGCGGTTTACCTGTCCAGCAGAAAGGTTACAAGGTTTGTAAGATCCCAAAGTTAGCTTCACTGACATTGACCCGGCTTCTTAGCTCTTGTCTGGTCTACCTCCTTTTTAAGCGCCCGTTATTCTGCCAGAGTCTCCGGTATTTACTTTGTTTTCTTGCTTGTTGACAGTCGTGGCCGGAGGAGGATTCAGACAATTTTCTGTACTTTCTGGTTGGTTTCTATGGTCTGATATTGTAGCACGCTAACTTTGTTTGGGCTCATGAATGTTATACGAGGACATGGAGCGTGCTTCACAACACGGGGGAGCAGAATGTTGTTGACAAAGCACAGCGATATTGTTATATTCCCGAATGTCATCAATAACTAATAGCTATTGACTGATATTAAAAGCTTTTTTGTAAATACACCACAGAAAAAGATGCTTCTTTAATGAAATCCTGCCTACCCCACCTTTCAGTAGGTGGAGTGACCCAAGATTGTGGGTACCTATCGGCTCTGCAGTGTTCATTTTGCCAAAAGAGGCAACTCTGCAGAAGAGACGGAGTCAGGGAGACGTTGTCATTCCCTACCCTCGTGTCCCCGTCGTCACCTGCTGCAGGTCTTGGTCGGTGAACTGAGTGCACTTTTCTGTTTCTTTTCCTTGATTGAACAAGACAACAGACGATGTGAAATAAAGGTCCCCCAGCAGGAAATGACCCAGAAGCTCCACACCAAACGTCAGGTTTTACCTCTTTTTCAACTCTTTGATTCCGAGCAGCTTAAACCTTTTTCTTCTCCTGAAACAGAGGCAGGGATTTTACCGCCCCACATGTCACGCACAGCAACGCATAAAAAAGACAAACACACACACCTACTTGCACATGCAAACACCTTTCCCCGCTCCCTCCCATGTCTCCGTGTCCCTTGTGTGCAGTTGCATCAGCAGCAGGGGCCTGTGCCTGTTGTCATGGCGTGAAACATCCCTGTAACCCTCAGCGGGTTCTACCAGCCCCCTCTGCCTCCGCGAAGCACCCCGCTACCCAGCCAGCTGCTTTCCACAGGTGTTGTCGACACATGGCGGATACATCCACGGATAAAGAAACGAAGGAGGAGGAGGTGGGAGGCAGAGGAGGAACAAGCTCAGACAGACCTCGCCTCACCTTGATGGAGCGTGGCTCACGGATCCCCAGCGATGGTATTTTCAGCCCCCCTACCTGCGAACTTCTGCAGGGTTTGCGTCACTAAATGCCTGGCAACCACACCTGGCGTCATCGTCGGGACCCGCGGGAGGAATCATCTGTGCACAAACACCGGCTGCGGGGAAAAAAGGAGCATCTGGAAAGAGATTGGATTGGTAGATCGAATCAGCGAAAGTAAACAGTTTACAGAAGTAGATGGAGTCAAAAAAGGGCAAAAATGATCTTGGAGTGGGACTTTTCATCACATTTGTCAAGAATGTGTGGAAGAGAGTGATCTACTGATGGTCTAAATGGGTCCTGTCTACTTCCTGATGGATAAAGCGAGCCTCTCCAGAGCTCTCAGACTCGTTTGCCTTTCTACGCTTGTTCCCTCTTCGGTCCGATCACGTCTTTATCTCCCCTGATCCCCCAATAAGCCTTTATGTCTTTGAATATTAGAGTCCTGGCGCGGAAGAGTCACTCGGATAGTCAATCATGGCGGGAGTGTGCAGCTACCTTTGATTGCTATCGGACTGTTTGCTCCCTGGAAAGATGACCAGATATGCAAGTGTATTTGCGCGATTAGAATCAGTGCATGTTTGGGAGGATAACTATCAGTGGGTTTTTGTGTGTTTTGGCGTGTTGCAGCTCCAGACAGACATGTAAACATCATCACCCCGGCCTTCCCTCCCTTTCTTCTCCTCCTCCTTCCTCAGATACCGTCTCTCTTCTCGCCGGCTTCACCTAAGCCTCCAGATTGCGTTTTTGACAAGCGCCGATCATCCCTTTCCCCGTTCCTGGCATCCGATACCAGACAAGACGCCGGCGCTGCTTCTTCTTCTTCTTCTGCCGCCGCCAAGATTTTATTAAACAGACGAGGAGAGAGGGAGGGAAGTGGTGCTGAATGAGAATCAGACTTCAACGATGAAGTTGATTTTAATGAAAGCCCCCCTAAAATGACGCCCCTCTCTGCAGGGAGGTCACATTTTCCGGGGATGGCTGGAGAGCACTTTAGCCGGGGGAAAGAAAGAGAGAGAGAGGAGAGGGAGGCGTGCTTGACAGTGAAATGCAGGCTAATGTGTTGTCAAGGCAGAAGACGGAGGAGATAAGATAGGAATCCCTGGCAGAATTGTGGATGTGGGTTGCCAGGGAGCTTTTTCTCGGTAATCTATGCATGCCGGAGATGGGAGCGGAAGAGGGAAACATTATTCAAACACAGGTGAGGAAATGAAAACGGTCAGTCAGAGAGGAGGGAGTGAATCCTTTTGTAATACGCTCCTGATTTGTTCCACATGAGCTGGAAAAGCGAGGCCTGGGACTGAAAGGCCTTGACATGCCCCCGTGTGCATCTGCATTGTGCCGTTCCCTTTTTCAGAGCCGATACTGTGAAGGTGACGATATCAACTCCATCAAAACATGACAATCCCATCATTTTACACACTGGGAGTATTTGGTTCTCTGTTTTTTTCGGTGTATTTAATGGTTTTCGTAAAGTTTTCTCCACTTTTCTTCCCTCCAATCTTCCCTCCTCGCCATCCATCCACTTCATCCCCCCTCTCATCTCTCTCCCCCGGCCTCCTCCTTCACTCTTACCTTTGCTATCTCATTCCTTTCTCTCTTTTGAAATGCCTGTTGCTGATCCATCAGGCTGCTACCAGAGCGTGCTCCCACTCCTTTCTCACACTGAGTAAAGTCTGTCTCGGAGGAGGAGGCGGCGGTGGCGGCGGCAGTAGTGCTGGGAGGTAGTTCTACTCCAGTAGGGTACCAGCCAGTTATTAATTACTCCCCAATTCCTCATCTGTTCTCCGTCTGCGGAGAGAAGTAATTACGCCTCTCCCCCGTTTCTCCCCTCGTCGGCATCAGAAATGACGCGATAACCAGAAACCCAAATTACTCCCGCTGATGAGACAATCATTGAGCGAGAGGGAGCACGCCGGAGATTTTTCAGCCCCGTGGTGCTTCGCCCATCGGGGTAATGGCACCTCGATTCAGTTTCGGATGCCTCCCCTTGTGCATTTGCGGGGCGTTTCCAATTTCCACCTCGCCAAACACGAGAAGATGGGTAAGAGGAGATAGGCAGACTGAATTAAATGATTTTATTCCTCTTTTCCTTTTTTTTTTGCGACCAATAAGAGAGTGCAATCATTGGGCGGTTCCAGCTCCAATCAGCGGTTTGCAGCTGGAGAGGAGCGGTGATGGAAGAGGGACATTAGCGCCGGATCCTCATCTGCCACAGAAAGACAGAAGGAAAGGAGGGTGGAAAACAATCAAGGATGCTTTTTTCTTCCCTTTTTTTTCCCCCTTTGAAGAAAAAAAAAAGGTATCCAGGTGTCAATACACATGCATTTGGATGTGCTCCAAGATTGTGGCTTGTAGAGTAGTTTCATGGATATTAAAGAGAGGTGAGGACGTCTTTGTCGGGGATTTCTTGGCTTTTTGGGCCGACTCGAGTGGAAACTCCATTTTTGGGGTGTCACTTTCCAACACCAGTCGTTGAAATTTGCTTGTCTTGCTCAGTCAGTATACTTCAGTCACCTCTTTGCGAAGGCACACCTGAACAAATGTTCCTCGGTAAATCCGCCTCTTTAAATTTTTGCCACTCTTGCCAAAACACACATGAGCAGTAACCACTGTGTTTCATTCAGGTGAGCCAGTTCCACAGCACACAGTGGGACTCATTAGTCTCACCTGTGGCTTCCAGGTCGAGACATCTGGAGAAGGTGAGCAGAACACAAGCTCATTTACGGAGCAGGCGAACACAGGAAAGCTTGCAAAGAGCATTTTAATGGAAATCTACGTCGAGCTTTCATGCGGTACTTTTAATATTTCAATGAATGCAGAAGCTAAGCTCACTGAAGGCATGAAGTAGGGCTTTTGTTTTTAGCTGACAGAATGCAAAACACTTAATTAAACTTAATTCTATTCAGATAAATCAGTTTAGGAGTCGCACCAACGTTAGCATCCAGATTTGTGGACTGGTGCAAAAGTGACGCATCGCTATCTTGAGGACAGAGAGAGCAAAAACCTGGTTTAAAGTCTGAAGCTCATGGCGCAGTGCTTTCCTGATATTAAGAGGGTAAATAAATGAGTACACCCCTTAAATGTTGTCAGAAAACCTTTAGTTTACTTTCAAAATCAACATTTTCTATGTCAGACTCTACAACAAAATACTTCCCCAAATGTAGGCCATTGATTGCAAACAAGATTTTTTTAAGTTTCATACAAAAAAGTAGTTTGGTTTGCAGTACATTACTTTTAATAGGGCGTGTACTGGCTTATGCTGGGCAAAGTTCACAACATGCATTTTTTTTATTTTTATGCAGAGTTGCATGGCAGTGTCCGACATTCTGGGAGTTTTAAACGAGTGTTTGATGGGACTCCGTCAACAAGCTCTCCATCATGCGCACTCTCAAATTTATGCAAAAACAGGCAAATGCAGGTAACACAGTCCTCATAATGGCCTCCAACCATCATACTCAGATAGGACTGATCTGCATCCACTGTGCACACAGTATAAACCATTTCCATTTGATCCAGCAGCAAAAACAAGCAGAAAAAAAGATTAAAAGCTCGATATTGTCAATAATTTTTCGATAATTAATGACGTTTAAGCTGCTGTACCTCGTGTGTAATGTACGTATGTGTCAATCTGGAAAAATCCATACTGATCCTGCTGATTTGAGAACCTGTTTCAGTGGATTCTGCACCGTTTAACCACCTAAAACCTGTCAGATACGCCCTAATTCACACTTCTGCCATGTGCCGTGTCTAAAAATTGACAAGTCGCTTTAAAAATAAGCAGTTTCTAGAGGTGACATGCCATAGTGGATGCAAAACTAGTTAAATCGAACCCTGATTTCTGTGCTGCTAAAATTCCTGCTCCCCTATAGGAGCTCTTTGTCAAAGCCAATCCAGACATCTCTGAATGCATCTCCCCCCTGCTTCCCTGCTCAGCTGTCAAACTGCAGTTTAAATGGAGCAGAAGAGGGCTAGTGCTGTTCTCTATATTGTATTTCAGTACCTGTCAAGTGCTTATTGATTGGCTGCGGTGGATTAGGATGGCTGTGTTGCAGCAGAGAGAGTGTGAGCGTGCTGTGGGTATATATTTTTATACGAATGTGTGCATGCGGAGCCGCACTGGAGGTCTCTGAAATCACACCGTCTAATCCGCCGCTCTCCAACTTTATCTCCTTGCTACGTCTTCTTTTTCTCTTCCCCACCGGCCCTCTCGCGTACGTCCTTTAAGCTTCGCTCGCTGTCGTCGGCCTGGAATGATTTGGATCCTAATAGTCTTTTTACAGCCGCCGGCTAATGTTGCCATGGGGGAACGTAACGGGGGCCATAACGAGACAATCCCATCCCATATGCAGAGGATATGAGGGGGAATTTGTCTGCTTCAACAGTGACAGGAGCAATCTGTACAGTGGAGGGGGGAAAAAAAACTCAGTGTATTCAGGATTACGGTGCAGGAGCCCATTGAAAGTCTAATGGACTAGTCACATCAAATAGACTCGGTCGGAGCATGCTCAGATGGGTACATGGCGTGCACACACTCACACGCAGAAAGAGAAGCCATTACCAGCATGGGTTGGGCCATTACTCTCTGTCCAGTGCCGGTATGTGTGTGTGTGTGTGAGTGTGTGTGTGTGTGTGTGTGTGTGTGTGTGAGGCCAGGCCATAATGTTTCCAGTCCCAGAGGGGTCTCAGTACAGTACGGCCCTCCTAAATAATTACCACAGGCCTCTTTATATAAGAACAGGGCCAGGCAATAAAGGGACTATGATATTGCATTGTGCATACTACACTGATATGAAGGCGGTGAATTGTGAACTTGCAAGCTTGTCAGGCGGCCATTAGAGGAGACCTGCAATGCAAACATCTTTTGTGATGTTGGAGCGAGGATTTCAGCCGCATCATCACACGTTTGAGCGTCTTTAGAGGCTTTTTAACGCGTTTTTACCTTCTCAAACCAAAATGTAAAATAGCAGGTTATCTGTTTTCATTGGGCGCTCATCATGAACCTTATTTTGTAGGATTTTGTTCAAGGCCATACACTGATTAGGGGTCAATTCCTGAGTTTGGAAGTGTGATTCCTTCTATGAATTTTGCTATTTTCGATGACTCTGCTCTAGGGCTGGGCGATAAACTGAAATATACAACAATAACGGAAATAATTTTGCCCATATCAGTATATTAGGTGTCAAAAAAATAGATAAATAAAAGTTGGTTTTGGATGTGTGCAGGTAGGCTATGGTATCATGTCCCTTTAAGACGTGACTCCACCTCATCCAGTCCGTAACAAAGAGGGAAAGACAGATAAGGAGATGGAGAATGGTTCAAAAGTTGCAGCCTAAGTAGATGAAGTTAATTTTGGAGGGGGTCAGCAGCTTGTGAAGTAGTTATCCATTTTCACAAGACTTTGTTCAAGGTTACGAGTCCAGTTTTTCTGCACAAAAAGGGGTCAATTCCTGAGTTTGGAAGAGCGATTCCTTCGATGAATTTTGCTTTTTTCGATTAAAAGGTAAACAGCGCTCACCACGTCCTCACAAAGAGTCTGTTTTCCTTCAGAGGATGCAGATGTTTGATTAGACGAACATTGGGAGAAGGTTCAGAGGGAGAAAAGGGGAATGTGTCTTTAAAAGCAACTACATTCACTGCATCTGTGAACTAATCATTATTACTGTTTACTAGGGCTGGGCGATAAACCAAAAATTTACCGATACCGAAATTTACGTCAATAACCTGCGTCATTTTACCCATATCGCTAAATTCATCGCCAAAAAAATAAATAAATAAAATTTGGTTTTGGATGTGTGTAGGTAGGCTATGGTCTCATGTCCCTTTAAGACGCTGTCCTACATTAGAGATGTGACTCCACCCCATTCAGTCCCGGTGTGGAGATGGAGGACGGTTCAAAAGTTGTAGCGGCTGAAGTAGACGAAGTTAATTTTGGAGGGGGTGAGCATCTTGTTGAGTAGTTATTGTCCATTTATCGTTATCAAGGTGAACTGCTCAATATATTGTGATATTGATTTGAGGCCATATCGCCCAGCCCTACTCTGCGCTCACAAATGATGTAAAACTCAACGTTTTAAGCCTATTTGAGGATATTCACAGCATGTTTCTCTTGTATTTCCACATTTCCAAGGCTGGTCAGGCAGAAACTGTTTCCAGATCCGGTTATTTTTTTATGCAACAGCTTCAAAAGGTCAGGAGCCATAACTAATATAGTCTGAAACGTCATATAAACGGACTCGTCATGGTTGATTCACACAAAACATGAACCATGGAGCTCAAACTGATGGATGGAGTTGATCCAACATGGACTAAAGAACAAGAAGACGGGAAAACTTCGATTAACCCACCTCTGTCATGAACAAACCGATGTGTGAAAAATCTTGTGTGACAAATCCTACGAAAGAGGATAAAGGCCACAAGAAGATAAAAAAAAAAATGACAGGAGGGTGATTTTTTATTTATTTTCCTTTTCGAGATTAAAATATAAATTTTTAAAAGTCAAAAAATGCATCTCGATTTTATTCATTTCGACTTTTATCTCAAATTTTTAAGTTTTTTCATCTCAAAATTTGATCATTATTCATGACACTTTGTAATCTCGAAATTGAGACTTTTAATCTGGAAATTTCAACTCTAATCTCCTTCCTGTAATTATATTTTTCTCTTCATGTGGCCCTAATTCTCTTTTGTACAAATCCAGGTTAAATGATCACCATATCTTGGTGATATCCCAAATGGAAACCCGGGTCTGAACTGAGTCCAGTTCGGTTCATGTTGTCACGATTCTTCTTGGATCTCTCTGAAATGACGACAACAAGGTGGAGCGACCTTGTTTGGACTGAATCTCTTCTCGTTTCGACCTCCAACAAACATCTGCTTTTAAGAATCACGACTGCTTCGAAAATCTATTTCTCGAATCTGCATCTTGGGCCTTTCAAACCTCCCAATTTCAACTGTCCTCATTTTCCGAGGAAACCGTCCAGCCAGCTGTCGAGCCATCCCCGACGAGGTCACACCAGATGTTTTAAAACTCATCTTTCACCTCATTTGTGAAACGTACATTCAGGTGAAAATGAGGCAATCTTTAAGCGCTCTCGTCGGTTTGAGCAGGTGCGGTTTCCACAGGGAGTGATAATTTCTTTTTACTGATTCGAGTCACGAGTTCTCCGCCTTTCCCGCTCTGAGTTGGGTTAAAAATGGTGTGTCATTTCCTCCTAGGAAAATAAAGTTTCTCCGAATCAGTGGGCGGATGTTCACGTCTCCAAAAAAGATAATTTTGTGGCGTGAGTCTGAACACATTTATCTACTCCAAGTCCCCAAAGCCACGCTCGGTGGAGTGATACATGCTCGCAGGCCAATGTGGCGCACAGGCTGTCTGCTGCCTCCGATTCCTCCCCCAACCAGTCATAATCTGCGTAAGTCATCCTTGATTAACCCCTGCTGAATGACTCTAATTAGAGCCAATTAGCCCGGGCAGGATGAGACACTCACCATGCAGATGAACACAGCTGAGAGACGGAGCGGGGTCGAAGTGGAGGTGTGGAGAGCTGGGAACACGCCGGATGATTGAGGGATAGAGGTGCTTCGGGCGTGGAGAGAGCCGCGATGGAGGCGGGAGAAATAATGAGGCGATGGAAGAGAAGAAGGTTGGTGGAGCAGTGACTGTTGGCTGACTATCTACGGGCATCTCGTCGGGAGGCGCGAACGCACACTTGTAGGGGCGAATGATGAAACTCGTGATCGCTGAAACAAGGTCTCAAGGTCTCAAGGTCGCTGAAACATTTGGGTTATCCAATCCAGGAGATTTTTGAGGTGTGCGCCGGGCAGTTTTGAGGTTACCTTGTATGGTGGATATGAGCGAGTTATGAGAGTATTTTTAATTAGATTGCTCATCTAAATAAGTCTAAGTGAAAATGCACTTTTTTGTTTTGTTTTAACAATAATAAATTTATCTGAGGCTGCCATGAACGCATCACTCTGAGACGGTGCAAGACTCTCAACGTAAATATTATATCTCACGTTTGTTTCCCTTTCATTAAAGTGTTTATTTCACAACAAAAACTGCTTAAATATAGTTTACAGCTTAAACTGACCTGAATCATCCCAAACTGTGAAGTAAAAGTATCAATCCAGTGTCTGTGAGGCTCAGCAGAAACACAGGACTGTCTTCGGTTGTCCGGAAACCTGGAAACTTTGGACAAATTTTGTGATCCGATTCATGAATGAACGTGAACCATCAAACGACGGGAGATTCCCAGGAGAAATAACAATACGGGAGGATGGCGGGAGAGAGGTCTGAAATATGAGAGAGGCCCGGGAAAAACAGGAGTGTTGGCAGGTATGCAATAAATGCTCATACGACTCTGTGTGCTACCTCCATCGTCCATCATGTATACTGAAGTCATGACGACTGTCGTATTTATTTGAGCGACAGACAGGCTGTTTGCGGTTGCCAGGTTGGGTGGCCTTCGACTAAATATGACCTGTTTACAGTGTTTTACCTGGGGTTTCCCCTGGAAGGCTTTGGACATCTGGCACACTTGTGAACGGAGTTGAGTTTGCCACTCACAGATGCCAGAATGAGTGTGTTCAACACCAACGCGTTCATACACAAATAAAGAACAATACGTTCCATCCATCCATCTGGAGGCTGGAGCCTATCCCAGCATCTTCGGGCAAAGGCAGGAGACACTCTGGACAAGTCACCAGTTCATCCCAGGGCTGACATATAGAGACGAACAACCATCCACACTCACATTCACACCTACGGGCAATTTGAAAGTGGCCAATTAACCAAACCCCACTTCTGCATGTTTTTGGGATGTGGGAGAAAACCGGAGTACCCCGAGTAAACCCACGCAGACACAGGGAGAACACGCAAACTCCACACAGAAACGCCCTGACCTGGATTCAAACCCAGGACCTTCTTGCTGTGACCTTCTTGTCTTGTGGCCTAGATGGTGGCATTTCAGGACCGTGCTTACAACCACATCTGCAGAAAAACAAGGAACAAAACTGGGAATCATTGGAGAATATGACACTCATGTCCAAATCTAACCAGCGTTTTAAATGCTAATTATATCCTCCTTCAATTTGCATCCCCCCCTGTTTTTTTCCCTAGTTTTTAATTATAGTTTTTCCCCTCTGTACCCTTTACCCTCCATGTGTATCCATCCAGACTACTAGCCGGGGCGCTCGGAGGCCTTACCTACCAGATACCCATGCCAGCTTCCCCCAGCCCTCCCCTGCTATCGACCAGCAGCAGGGGTTTGGAGGCCAGACTGAAGAGCCCACTCAGCCTGCCCAGTGATTGCCTCAGTCTATCATCAGCCAGAAGATTTCTATTATTGCAGATGGATGATTGGTCTGGCTAGCTGCCGGCCTGGCAAAGCAAGCTCATTTTAGAGCGGTTTGAAGTGCGAGCCCCCACTGCACCGGAGCGATCGTGAGGAGGAGGGGTGACGATTCTGAAAAGGGGGATTTTGGTGATTTGGTGTTGAAATAATGGAGCAGAAATGGCCGTAATGACAAGGCACGGAGACGCTTGGAGCATTATGCACAGAGGACGAGGCTGTTAATGCGGACCGTCTCTATTTCCGATGGCAATTTGAACGCTAATGACGGGGAGCGCTTTTCTGTTAAACAAATAGACGCCCTGCTCTTTGAATGAGGAGTTTGTTTACTGTTTGTTTGGCGAGGCCGGATCCTCTCAATACCCCGTGACGGAACCACTGCACGGATGCTTTTCCTCGCCATCAGAGTGATTTTCCAACTTGAATCAAACATGGAGTCTTATGAATATCTCTGACAAGTTTCTGGTCCCTTTTTTTCCCAGTTTGACCTCTCTTAAACCTTTCACCTAGGGCTGGGTGATAAGGGGAAAATCAGATCAGTCAATATCAATATACATCACAATATTAAAAAAATCACTTGTCAACTTTTTTATAATTTTTTTTTTAAATTTTTTTAATTTTTTTTATTGACATTCAGAATCAGACATTTACAGTATATACGTCATGTCAGCATACTTCTTGCTTCCGTTGTCTGCCCTCGATGACAAAGCAAAATTTTAGGTTATATCTAAAAAAATGTGAAGAAAAACAAACAACTGTAACAACAACAACAATTGAATTGAAAAAATAAAATAATAATGAAAGAATAAAAATAAAACAGATTTTTTTAAAAGACAAACAACCATGACAACAACAATTAAATAAACAATAATAAAAAAATATATAAAAAATATTAAATAAAAAAAGCAAACAACCAAAACAACAATAAAATAAAAAATGATAATAATAAAAAATAAAAAATATTTAATTAAAAAAGGCAAATAACCATAACAACAATCAAATAAAAATAAATAAATAAATAAATAAATAAAATGGAAAAAAAGTATTAATAGGGAGCGCTCTTCCCCACACACCATGGCCACTGGTTTGTGAAAATAAAATCTGGCCTATGAGGCGTGACATATTCGACCCAGTTTTCCTCGTATGATGTGAATTTCTCCAGTTTGTGATTAACAAATGGTGTTCTCTTCTCCGTTTTATAAATGTCCATGGTCATATCAATCTTAACTTGTCAATCTTAAATGTTACATTACTCTTAAATGAAATTTAAAGATTTCAGAAGGTTCATTTTTATTTAAGGACTTATTTTCTGTCAAAGTTGAACGTAAAACTATTTCAAACAGATACACAACTCCAAATAAATTTGAAAAATATTAATTAGAAAACTAAAATTTTAAAGATTAGGAAAGAAAACAACATGTACTCGACATAATTTGCAGTTCACATTACTCTGCTTCATGTCCGACCTCAATTCAGCACATGACTGGTTCAGTGCGGCGCAGACTCGGAGCAACTCCCCTTTTCATTGGCTATTACAGTCTACCAAAACACGGCAGAATGCCGGCCATCAAAAAGCATATGGAAACATCACACAAAAGAGTCAGTATTCGCTGCTGAGTGCCAAAGTGTTCCAGTCATGATTCATCCTCTCTATCATATGACTTTCATACGTCTGCCTCTCCTCCCTGTTGTTATTCTGCAGCAAATCAAATTACAACATCACATTTCAGCCTCAAACACGACTATTTTCAGACTTTCATGCCCCGGGTTGGCAGCGTTGGCTTTACTTTACTGCCTGACCCGAGGTCAGTTTGGATCTGTTGTTGGAGCGCTGGACTCTGCGACCTGCAACCCGAATCAATAGTCTTGAGGGAATTTGAAGTATCCTGCTACATGGCCTCTGCACTTGTGAGATTGGAGAAGTACAGAGGAAATGCAACCCAACATGGTTTTTGATGCAGTATTGATCTCTGCAGCCCAGGCTTTACTGTAGTGCATTACAAAACAGGGGGAAACTGTACACTCCTCGTTTATTTAGTTCAAAGACTGTTTTCGACACAGAATTAGCATCTTGACATATCACATAGATGTAGTCCACTTTGTGTCCGAATGGAGGCGCTCTTGAACAGGATACAGGGTCTAAAAATTCACCTTTTGACACGGTTCACTCTTTGTTTCAGTCGTTTCTCTGACTTCCCTTAAAGGGATATTCCGGGGTTAAATTAATTTAGGGTCAAACACACCGTAACACCGAGTAAGACACCCCCTCGAGAGATGAACTTTAGTAACGACCGCACGATAGCAATACACAGAGGTCTGAGGAGCCATAAACAAACTTCAACCAAAACGCCACAAATAATGCTCAGAACAGCACCTAACTTCATCAACAGGACATAAAGGGTCCCAGCCATAGTACTAGCCACCAAATATCTTTTTAACTTTGCCTAATTTGCCTAATTTCTTTGGCAAAGAGACAATGATCATAAATGTTCTTCCTTGAGCTGCGACACCCCGCTGTATTCTGTCATGGACTGGCCTGAGGTCTCGGTACAAACAATGGCTGCTGGAAGAGAGTAGGTGAGTTGATTTAAGTCACTTTTCTGAAGAAATTAGTCAAAGTTAAAAAGATGTTTGGTGGCTAGTGCTATGGCTAGGACCCTTTATGTACTGTTGATGAAGTTAGGTGCTGTTCTGAGCATTATTTGTGGCTATAGAGTGACGTTTTGGTTGAGGTTTGTTTATGGCTCCTCAGACCGCTGTGTATTGCTATTGTGCGGTTGTTAATAAAAGTTGGTATAACTAGGGAAACGAGCGTTTGGCAACATTCATCTCTCGAGGGGGTGTCTATCTAGGTGTTACGGTGTGTTTGACTTTAACTTAAATTCACGCCGGAATATCCCTTTAATATATCTCTTTGCTGTTAGCTTGTAGCGTAGCTCAGATTTCTTGTCACACTTTCAGAGTGGCAAATGTGTCAAATATCAGACAGGATGGCCTCTGCAGCAAATGAAGAGGATACAGGGTCTAAAACTTCCCCTTTGTCGTGGTCTTTGCTTTCAGTCCTTTCTCTGACTTCTCTTTAGTCGTTAGCTTGTAGCGTAGCTCAGGTTTCTTGTCACACTTTCAGAGCGGCGAATGTGTCAAATATCGGACACAAAGGCCCCTCAAAGTCTTTGATTAGGCGCATTAAAATCACACAAACGGCGGGTCCCAGGCCCTCCTTTTGTCGTCCTTGTCGTATAAATTTGATTCAGAGCCAGATTCTTGACTTTCATGATCGTTTTTCATCCACCTTTCGCTTTCACTCTTGCCTTTCAGTCCCCCCTCCTCTCATCTATTTACGCAGCTTTGTCGCTTTGAACATCAGTGCACGGGTGGCTCTGTGGCTGCCGCTGTCACCTGCTAATGTCACCGGTAATGATGTGAAGCCGCCTCCCCGCTACCCCCACCTTGAAACGGCGTCACAGAGCCCAGGACTCAATCATTTCATTTAAGCAAAAACAAAGTGCGACAGCGACAACTGTGAACCAGCCAAGAGAGGGAAGCGGCGCCGCTTTCGTCTGCAAATCACTCGGCTAACACCTTTGAAGTGGTGACATGCCCCTGGAAAATGTGGCGAGGAGCTCCCGGTTTGGGGGATGAAAGGGGAGTCGGCTTCTCGTCAACTTTTGACCTCTATACGCGGAAGATCAGTTGGGGTTTGGGCCAGCTGCCACTCCAGACATCGCTGCCGCTGCCGTGTTTGATAAACGACACTGAGAGTTTCCTTCTACGTTTACTGAATCGAGCCGAAGAGTAAACTGAGTTGAAATGAACTCCAATGAACTGAATCACGTCAGAACATCCAAATCCGTTTACAGACGGTGAGTACTTCATCTTTTCTTGGTGTCAGGAGTTGGTTTTGCTCGAGGACACTTCTGCAAAGTGGATTAAGGGGACGGATGATTGACCCCGCTTCTCCTTGAAGTGACCTAATCCTGGTTGACCCCAAACAGCTGTCAGCGCCGATCCCCATTGACTGCAGTTTTGACGTGTTTTATTGAGCGTAGCGGCTGATAAATGAAGACGAACTGAGCAGAAAATCAACCACCATCTACTGGAAAACACGCCGGAGTCCTTTTTGTGAATTTGTTGGTTCAGAGTTCTTGTTTCTTTCTCCTCTGATGGATAAAAATCAAACTGTGAAAGTCAGCGTGGCCTGACATTTGGTTGTGGGAACGTTTTTAGTCACGCCTTCTCAGAAAATGGTCTTCAATCTATTTTCAAGAGTCGCATTTACTAAGAAGATCCAAACCAAATCTAAAAAGCCGACTTAAGCGGATAAACTGACTATCATTTAATGTCTTCAGTATTATTTTCTAACCCTTGTTTGCTTGTCAGTGAAAAGACCCTAATTTTTTCCCATGATATAGATATTTTTGTCAACAGAGAAACAAAATTTACCCGTTGTATCCTATATATCCTGACAAATTAAAGATTTTGGCCTCTACATCCTCCAAAATCAGGATTTAGTGGAAATGTTCAGGTTTAAAAAACCAAGAATTTTCATTTTCTGGACGGTTTATCCCACCAAAATGAGTTTGAGCTGGTGAATTTGTTATTTTTTTCCCCTCAATTAAATAATTATCATCCTGCTCAGAGCCACATATTACAGCTAAATCAAAAACTTGCCTTTTTTTGCCTTTATATTCCAATAAATTCAGGTTTTGGTGCCACAGAAGTAAAGTCTCTCCTGTTGTGGTCCATTTATCCCAATCAAGTCTGGATTTGGTGGGAAATTTTTGTTCCTATAAAAGAAAATATCAATCTTTTGTATTTGGCTGAATTAGAGCCAAGTAGCAAACAACTGTGTAGTACCAGGCTGCAGATACACGCAGTGAAAATCTAAGAGTTTTGGCACCAAAGACCCCAATTTCTTCCAAGATATAGAAATGTTGTCAACAGAGAAACAAAATTTGCCTGTTGTATCCCAAATATCCTGACAAATTAAAGATTTAAGCCTTTACATCATCCAAAATCAGTAATTGGTGGAAATGTTCAGGTTTAACAAACCAAGAACTTTAACTTTCTGAATGATTTATCCCACCAAAAATATATATATTTTTTAATTAAATCAACATTATCCTGTTCAGAGCCATATATTAATGCAAAATTAAGACCAAGTACTCGCCCTTTTTGCCCTTATATCCCAACAAATTTAGGTTTTGTAGAGGATTATTTAGTTTTGGTGCCACAGAAGCAAAGACTCTCTTGTTGTGGTCCATTATCCCAATTAAGTCTGGGTTTGGTGGGATATTTTTGTTCCTAAAAAAGAAAATATCAACTTTTTTTCAGGATTTGGTTGAAATTGTTGTTTTTTCGTCCCACAGTGCGTATAATTGTCAGTTCTAGTCTTTGTATCCTTATAAAATGTTAAAATTTGCTTTGTTGGAGGTCTTCTGGTCAACTCCAGTTATCAGCTCTTCGGTCAGCTCAAGGCCCGCCTCAGGACTTTGATTTAAGCCCATTAACTTCAACCGAATCTGGATCGTATCGCTTGATCTTTTAAAATGACATGATGGACCGTAATATTTGCCTGAATCAAACATTTTCAACTCAAAGAATTCAACAAAAACAGCTGAAATAAAGCCCCGGACAGGAAATCAAAGAGGATCCAGTCCAGAGTGTCATCATTAAAAGCAGCAGGACTCTGACGCCACATAAGTTGCAGTGTAATTATCAACCCTGACAGACTAAGGGTAACATTTAGCGTCTGCACAGATCCCCCGTGAGGACTGTTTTCCAACACGCCGCCCCCCTCATTGAATTCAGCTTCAAACCTGTGAATCTATTGCGCGCTAAGCCCTTACACTGATCGCTGATGCGGTGGGCGTGCTGTCAATATTGGCCCATTCACTGTGAGGGAGCAAATCTCCCCTTGACATGGCCAGCCATGCGAGTAATAGCTAGGATTAAGATAGGAAGGTACACACATGAATATACAAAACACTGTATGGCGCGGGAGGATCTGAGGCGGCGCAGTCGGGGGAAATTACCGAGGCCGCATAGAAACAAGATTGAAGGGCTCGGACATGAAAGGATTCATTCAGAGCCGTGACGGTGATGACGGTGACACGTTTTCAAGGCGTTGTGAACATATAGAGGTGGTTTGGGTTTCTGTACAGGTCTAAAAGGACAGGAAAGCGAGCGGCGTGATTATATGGTCAGCAGACGCAGGTTTCAGCCTTTACCTCATAATTACAGCGACCATCACCTCCTGTAGAGAGAGAGTACGTTTGACCACAAAGAGCTTCATGCACTGCAGATTATTCGGTTCTTACCAAGACAAAAAGACTTAGATTTATAAGTGTTAGTGGATAATTTTTCTTGTTTTAAGACTTCTTATTTTAAGTGTTTAACTTTACACTTTAATCCTAAATCAAGCACAGTATTTTTTCTCTTAATTTCTATTTTTTGTTTAACTAATCTTCAGCTTAATTTGTTAAAAATAAGAAAACAAAATATGTAATTGCTCATATTTATTACATTTCACTTATTTTAGGGCTGTAAAAGTTAAAATTCAAGTACTCTGATCTTAAACCAGCACTTTATACTTATTTTATGCTTATGTTAAGTATAGTTAACTTACTTTTGGGGCTGTAAAAGTTAAATTTTAAGTAATCTGATCTTAAAACCAGCCTTTCTGGTTTACTTTAAGCCTTCTAAATGCATTTGTAGACATGCTTATTACTAGATTTAACAATCTTAATTCAAGAAATTTTGTCAGGTGAAATCATCTTGCTGCATGGACAGATAATTTTCCTCGTCTTTAGTACCTTTTTCCTCAGATTTAGTGTCTTTATCTTTTTTTTCAGACCCCCTTTTTTTGCAGTGTGGATGTGGATGCTGTTTGGTCTCACTGTGACAAGAGTCGGAAAATGACGAATGCGTGCAAAGTCTGCGACTGTTTTTGATCGGTTCTTTTCAATTAAGATAAATGCCATGTGGGGACAAGTGCTGTCCCGTAGTGATGGGAAGAACAGTTCTTTTGACTGTACTGAATCTTTAGAATCCGTTCATTAAAACGATTCGTTCAAAAGATTCGTTCACTGAATCAGTGAGTTTGGTGACACACGTCGTTCATTCGCCAAGTCCTGAAGGAAGAATCACTCCCCTACCATGGAAAACTCGCCTCTCTGTGTGTCGCTGTCAGCGGAAACAACAAGCAGCTAGCAGCACGCCCGCTAAATGAGCAGGAGTCGTTGTTCTTTTATATCGCGGGAAAGTGGAGAGATTAAAAATAAACATCGCAGTTCTGGTAGGGACTCAGTGAACGAATCGGTGCTTGGCAGTAGCGAACGACGCTACGCCCCTCCCTCCTCTGCCTGCATCAAGTCATTTGGAAGTCGTTTGTTTCATCACAGACTGACTGACACATATTGTTCATTCGCTGTGAGTAAATCACGAGACTCCACCCGCCTGCTCACTGGCTGGCTGGCTGTGTCGTTCACCAAAGAGTCAAAGGCGGCAGTTCCACTCCTGACCGGCACGCCACGCTCACGGCTGAGCTCAACTGAACTGAGAAAGGAACGAATCAGGTCTCAGACTGATTCCATTCACGTCCGTTTGACACAACACGACTGTTCCTGCAAGAAGTTCAGATTTTGGGGACGAGTAAAACATCGTGCACACATCAGTTCTTATCTTGCACATGTGTAACTGCTTCAAGTCTTATAGAAGTGCACACAAAGGTCTGCACAAGCTGACAGGGACCGGCTCCACGTCCCTCCTCTTACCTTATCGTTTTTGGTGTCGCGGACTGAATAGCGAATCTGCTTCCTAATTGGACGCCAGGCTCGGGGCTTTGTCCTTTGGCGTGATGTGACAAGCCGTTATAAGTGGTTGCTTTCACCAGCTTTCAGTGGAAGTTTAAGACCGTGCAAAAATGAAACAGCGGATCATGCCCACGTTTTCAGCCGACACTGATGTGGCGTTACCTCACGGGCAGGATGGGAGATCGAGGGCGAGGAGGGGAGCGTCTCCGGGAAGAATCCGACAGGGTTTAGGTCCTATTTGTCTCGCATTTTGACGACTCCTCCCCCGCAGGATTGTACGTGCAAATGTGTATTTCCGACTCCGACTCATCACTGCCTAATTGGCACTTAACAGCTGCCCCTCACGGCCTCCTCGCTGGCTGCTTTTCCGCTCACTTTTCCCAGAGTGCAGAGCAGCAGCACCACATCAAACATCACCCAACTGAGAGGGCACTTTCCCCTACACCCTTTTCTCCCCCCCAAAACCTCCCCTATTCCCTTCCCTTCCCTTGCAGCAATCTCTAAGCAGTTTGCACCCAAGACAGCCCCGAGTGCTCATTATCGTTTGTCTCAGTCGGCCTGTCGCTCTGAAATCCGCCCCCTCCTTACCCGTCGCCCACCTCCGCCTTCCCCTCTGGCTTTTCCCCCCACTTTGGAAAAAAAAAGAGCATGAAGAAGACGTCAGGATATTGAAGATGTTCTGCATTCAGGCTCTGAGCCAAAAGAGACGGCGCATACGGCAGACATATGGCCACGTCTTCAAAATCTTATCTTTATTTAACCAGGCCCATCAATCACGGCGAATCGCCTTTTCTGCGAGTCAAAACCACGTTGGAAGACAGATGTTGGAGGACAAGTTTTATTTTCTGTAAACATAAAGGTTATCGTTAGTTCCCTTTTGAGCCATCCAGACTAAAAGAAAATGGTCGGCATTGGCGTGGATGTTATGTTCGAACACATCAACGCATGTGGATGTCATATTACACCAAATGAGGCAAAATGAAGCAAAGCAAAAGCACAGACGCTCAAGGTCCCTCGCTTGTTTCAGACTAATGGAAAGAGAAACAAGCTTCGGAGTGTGCTCCTGTAAACATCAGGTGCTGTTTCCAATGCAAATTGACTTGTTTTTTCAGAGGCCCAATTATGTGAGAGAGGGACAATCTCCTCTTATTCTCTAAACAAGCAAAACTGCTGCGGGAACAGGGGGGAAAAACCCAGTTTTCCATTTTTACAAAGCGACCGAGCTTATAAAATTCAGCTTTTCGTTTGTTTCAACGCTGCGTAAACAAACTCTTAAAACCACTCAAAACCAAAATCTGCAACAGCCTCGTAACTATCCCATTTCAGCCTCTCGGACTCTCTGACTTTTGCTTAGTTGACTAAATGTTTGGTATTTTTAAACATTCAACTTTGACTATCTGATTCGACCAGAAGAGACAGGTATCATCTGCATAACAGTGAACTTTGAGATAGGATAAGTTGAGACAACAACAAGCTACTAATTGGTAGTTGCGCCCCCCCGTAATAACCCCACATAATAACCTGTTGTTCAGGACTGCGCGTAACATGTTCACTTGCTCACCTCCTACCTACCCGGCTACCGTAATGAACATTGTTCTGGTCTACATGCAACATTTTTTTCCTCATTAATGAAACGCTGAAGTCGGGGACATTTCCGGGGACAGTTTTTGCGGGGGACAGATAATCCAAAACAGGTACATCAGGGACATCTGGTCTGTTATGGATAATGGTGCCAAGTAGGGCTGCACAATATATTGTTCAAGCATCGTCATCGCGATGTACGTGTGTGTGATATTCACATTGCAAATTAACTCATCTCATTTCCAGGGTAGCTGACTGAGATACATTGCATGTGACTCTGCATGTGCAGCGATCCACCAATCACATTTGTTCTTTACTCAGTTGCCAATCAGACTACCCTGCCAGCTGTCAATCAAAAATCAGAGGGGAGGAAACCACGCCCCTGTACATGGAGTGAGTCGCTGGCGCTGCCGGTGTTGTGCCGAGAAACGCGTGCCTGCCAAGAATTACTTTCGGAACATTACTCATCCAAATATTAAGAATTGTACGGGTTTAAATCGTATATTTACGTGGAAAATGACGACTTGTTGCCAGAAAGAAAAGGAAAGTCTGTTATGTTGAATTATTTTGGTCACAAGAAGGATGATATCAACCAAACACGTGTTCTGTCTCGGCCGTGCCTCTCATCTGTCGTCACAATAACATCAGGTCATCTGGTGAAAATTCCTATATTATATATCACAGGGTTGAGAAAAATTGTAATGTTAATTTTTTCCAATATCGTGCAGCCTTAGTGCCGAGTAAGATGGTGTATAAAGAGAAAATAAGAGGACCAAGCAGTGACCCCTGAGGAACCCCTGATGTTGAGTGTGTAGTTTGGACACTTCTTAAACAAAGTTCAGTTTGAAGAGGGGTTTTAATGGTTCACATAAACATGTGTTGTTGTCATTGTGGGCGGAGTCAGATGTCAATCATATTCTGATTACGAAATGGTCAAAATGCAGAATTAGCTGCTCATGAACTTGCATTTTGAAGCCTGTCCTTTACTCGGATTTCCTTTTTTTTTTTTTTTTGGATGTCCACACACTCTCTTAACTTTGATTACATTTTCACATTTCTACTACCTAATGCTAATTCCCTCCTCTCCTTGAGTTTAGTGGAGGTTCTCAGGTCCAGGTTTGAAAAATGAGGGAGTTACAGTAGAGTGAATATACAATAAAACGCTGGTATGAAGTTTTAACCCTGGCAATGTCAGCTAACCATATTAGCATTCCCACATGGGGGAAAGGCTGTGAGTTGGAATAGAAATGGGCTGGTTCAGCGAGCAGGGGGAGTCGAGGTCCCATTCGTCTTGTCCTGTTTAAATACACTGGTTAACTCCTGCCAACGGGGAAGCCATTCAGCAAAAGGCCAAGGGCATCTGTCATGTGTTCAGCACATTGATATTGTCCCCTTCCATCTCTCTCTTCCCTCTATCGTTTCCCCCTCTTTGTTTGTCTCCACCGCTCTCCCGCTCTTCCTCCTCTTTCCCCCCCTCCTCTTCTGATGAAAGGAGTGAATATGCAGGGAACTGACATGATTAGCAGCCTCATATCCCCATGATGGATGGTGCCTGCTCCATTATTAATATAGTAAAAGCACCAACTGCCAGGTAAGAGCAATGTCAGCATCCACAATATAACGCTGTGTGCCCACGGATAATGGTGAGCACTTATTTTTATCTATGATATGCATGGGCCTCAGGCCGAGGAAGACGAGGAGGAGGAGGAGGCGGTGTAAACGACTAAGCAAGAGCACCAAGACTTTGAGAATTTCCAGTGAAAACGAATATTTTGCCAAATTAAAGAAATTTTGAGCTTCACGAACCGACGAATAACGATCCAAGTGACCTTAATAATATTTAACGTTTATAGGCTCGCTTAACGATTGATATTTTATCCCTCGTGTGATATTTTTTCAATTAGACTGTGATTTATAACGTTTCTGTGACATTTGCACGCCGCCACTCACACTTTATTTGTACGACAGCGATTTAAGCCCTCCGACCAATAAACTTTGTCAATATAACTCGAGGAAATCTCGTTATATTTTACTGGAATATTCCATTTTCCGAACAGTAAAGCGTTTTAAAAGCATGAATAAATTATGCAGTCCACCGCTGACTTGTCAGGTCGCTCATGTCCTGCCGACAACGCCAATACACGTCTCGGCGTTGTCAACTCAGAGTCATTTATGTAGCAGTCACATGACAGAGTAGGTCGATTGGCGATGACCCCGAGAGTGTGCGGGGCATACATAAGGACGGATTTAGGGTATGTTCACACTGCAGGTCAATTCCGATTTTTTAACCATATGTGACACATATCGGATTTTTCATGTAAGTGTGAACAGTGCAATTCCGATTTTGACGCAAAAAGATCGGATTTAATGAAAAATCTGAAACCTGCAGTGTGAACGTAGCCTCAGATATTCTTGTTCTGTTTTCTTCAATTTGGTAGAAGTTTCTTAAATGAGCATTTCCACGTTTGTTTAAAATGTCAGGAATCGCAGAATCCACTTCGGCTCCGTCCTGATGTGTTAGTGCTTCACCGAACACGTGCACTCATGAAAAGAAGTCTTTGTCTCACATGAAAATGTTTTATTTAGCGTCAAGTGTAACCTTTTCCCACTTTTTGTTGCGTCTGAAGCTCATCCAAAGAGCCCATAAACAATGCATAAAAATAACAGGATTTATCTCGTGAATATTTTACACCTCAGCCAGCCGTGAGGAAATCGGCTAAACAGGACACAAGCGCTCCAGATTGTTGTTTTCTTGTCACTTGACCGGCGACTGTATGTCTGAATTTACGTCCACCGTCTGTCATGTTTTTTTTAGGGGTGAAAAGATGCAGTTCAGGATGAGGGGATGGATGAAGAGCAGCAGGGATAGGTAAGAAGAAAAAGGGAGCGAAGGAAAGAGGCAGGAAAAGGCAAAGAGAGACAGAGTGAGTTGTGTCAAATGGATAAATGTCAGCGGGAGCTTCATCGTCCTCCTGAGCCGAGCGCTCCCTCCCAAAATGCCATGTGTAAATCGTGGAGCCGGGGCCCACGGCCAGCCTTTCCCCCCAGCACTGTAATGAGATTACAGACCTCTACAACACTGTGTGTATGTGTGTGTGTGTGTGTGTGTGTGTGTGTGTGTGTGTGTGTGTGTGTGTGTGTGTGTGTGTGTATCAGAAGAGGAGAGGATACTATTGAGCTGCATGGAAGTGCACAATTTCCGAGTCTTGCACAGGGGCAGGCGAATACATGGCATTACTCACAGCTGCAAACAAGACGTATCCGGGAAGATTCGGACACTTATTTGTACAAGGGGTGCAGTTTTTTTCTCTGAAGTGCAGGTTTAGCATCATAAATGTGCATAAAACACAAAGAAATGCGCTTTTTTTAACTATATGATATCGCATAACAGGAAAAAGTGCAACATGAGGATAAAAAGTTAAAAGAACTTTTATCTTTATTATTTTAGGCATTTCAAATAAAATAACAGATGAGACAAGCGCAACAGGTGCACTTTTTTCAACACTTGGGTGCAATAAAAGGTGCAAACCTGTCATTTGTTTGTATTTGTCACTATTAGACCTGTTTTTATCACAAAGGTTGAAATTAGACACTTTATTTTTACAGTTTATGAAAGTCAGAATCTTTTTTTGCCGTTTTTGAACCTATTTAATTATCAATATAAGTTTAAAAATGTTGCATCCAACCACTTTTCAGGATAAAAGTTGTCATTCCTGTGATATTTATCAACTGAGAATGCTTACAAAAAAGCTAGTGTCGCAAAAAAAGCATTAAAAATATACCAAAGAAATGCGCTTTTTTAAAAATAAAACTTGATTCAGCGATGTGCAAAAGTGCAAAACGGACTTGGAGGTTTTGTACGACTGCTAACACGACAGATTTACAAGGACTTCTAAAGAAAAGGTCTCTAAAAACATCTAATTGTTCTTCTACGTCACTTTTTTTTCTTCTCAGAGTGCGTAAAAAAGTGCATAAGCTGATTTCCATTAAGGTGGGTAAACATAAGACGCATCCTGATGCCTTGTTATGACTATAATAATTAAAGCTAAGTTCACTGGCAGATTTTTGTCAGTATCGTTCACCTAAATCCACCTGCTCTGCTTTAACACTTTAATGCAGAGGTGGGCAATCATGTGCCATGGAGGGCCGAGAGGCTGCAGGTTTTCTTTCCAACCCAAAACTCCACCAGGTGATTTCACTGATTACCTCCAAGCAGAGAGCAGGGACTAATCAGTGAAATCACCTGGTGGAGTTTTGGGTTGGAAAGAAAACCTGCAGCCTCTCGGCCCTCCATGGCACATGATTGCCCACCCCTGCTTTAATGTTGTAAAACTTCTTAAACACCGTTAAAAATAAAAGTCACTTTTTTCCTCAGAGTGCATAAAAAAGTGCAAAAGCTGATTTTCCATCAAGGTGGGTAAACATAAGACACATCCTGATGCCTTGTTAGGACTAAAAATAACCATTCATTAATAATAATATCATATAAATAATAACTGTATGATTGTTAAAGGCGTAACACTCAGCTGGACACAAAAAAATTCAAAGCTAAGGCACATTGTAAGAAAATAACACTAAAATGGTGCATAATTTCATAGTTTTTAATAAGCGCATTAGCAGATTTATGTCAGTATTGTTCACTTAAATGCGCCTGCTTTGCTTCGACTCTTTATGTTTTAAAGTTATATACCACGACAGGAGCCTCAATGTGAAAAAACATTATTATTATGTAAATTCTGTACAGATATAAATATGACGCATGCACATATCTTGTTTTAACTCGAAGTTTCTTTATTTTTTAATGTTTGTCTTTTTTGTATCTTTACTTCGCCGCTTTGTATCTTTTGTATCAATGCTGCTGTAATTTTGGATTTTCCCCTTGTGGGACTATTAAAGGAACATCTTATCTTAAAACACTTCACACACTGTTAAACATAATACTGTATTTTTCGCACTATAAGGCGCACTTAAAATCATTTTAGCATGTCTGAGCACTGCAGCTACCGTAGCCTCGCAGAGTTATTGAATGAGTTCAATAAAGTTTGACTTATCTGACTGTTTTGTTTGGCTTAATGTGCTTTATAATCCGGTGCACCTTATGTATGAAAATAGACGCGTTCATTGATGGTGCGCCTTATACGGTATTCAATTTTCTCCTTAAAGTGCATAAAGAAGTGCATTTTTTATCAACACAGGTCACAAAATAAGCACATTTTTACCATTTTTGATGTATTTTTTCTCTGAAATTCTTAAAGAAGCGGTAACACAACACAAGAACACACACAGTGAATCTTGAATATGGAGAAAATGCGCCTTATACTTTATAATCGAGTCTCTCTGCAGCATCATTACAGTCATATAGATATTACAACTGCATTAAGTATGATAAATTTACCCTAAACTCCTAATAGAGCTTCCTCACACAGAGGTATAGCTCTCATATAAAACTAATGCCTCATGCTGCTCTGCATTATAATGAAATATTTACACAGCAGCCTATTAGTCCCGTTTCCAGCTCCTGAAGATGTTTACACCGCGGCTTCTTCCCTCAGACTAGCCTTTTAGACCTTCATCCAAATCTAATATACCCATCCATAAATAGCTCACCTACCGAGCCCGTATATGGCGTGAGTGACGTCGCACCGTGGCCAGTGGCGTCCTCTCGATCTGCCTAACCCCGCCCCTTTCCGCTCCGGCGCCTCTTAAGTAACCCCTCCGCCGCCCATTCGCCTTAAATGGACAAAGAGGGGAGTTGATTGACAAACAAAACGACGCCCCCCTCGTTTACCAAGCCCCTCCTCTTCCTCGAGCTTCCTATCAGTGTCTAGTTTGGCAACACGGATACGCATGGAGCCTCCATCACCTCCAGTCGCTTTTACGCACCGAGTCCGGTGATGCGCGCAGGTTACGGGGACTCTCACCGCCACGTTTCCAGCCGCTGCACACCGCTTTTGACTTCCTCTCATGGACTAATATGAAAGGAGTGGATGTAGAGGTGTGACACAAGCCAAGAAGGAGGCATTTTTTCTCTCGCGTGTCGTGTGGATCCCTCTTTTTTTTTTTTCGCGTTTTCTTTGCACCGAGCGTCAGCATGGATGTCTTGGCGAACCACAGTATCTTTCAGGAACTTCAGCTCGTGCACGACACCGGCTACTTCTCCGCCATGCCTTCGCTGGAGGAAAACTGGCAGCAGGTACGTGTGTGTGTGTGTGTATGTGTGTGCGTCAACTTCCACGCTGCGAGATGGGGATGCAGGCGTCAACTTTTCCCCCCCTTTTACGCGTGGGATGCGTGTAGTGGAGAGAAGGGGGGGATATTAGGAGATGAAATGCCTCCCATCACTCATATTTCTGACAATCTCCTCATTGATAGAGATGGTGGAGATGTGAGCGCACGCCGGCGCGTAATAAAGCTGTCAAACGCGATTTGGAGAGATGAAGACTCGTATCCCGTAATAGGGACGGAATTGGTCGTGAATAATAGATCCGCATCTCTCAGATTAGCGACTTGTGAGCCCCCCCTCCTCCTGCGTGGAAAAGTCCCCTCTCTTATCCATAATGGATCCACGAACATGTCTGGCTGTGTCCCAGCTTTAAATGCTGGAAAATGTGCAAAAGCCAAAGCGGGAAGTGCCATCTGCATATTCGCTTTAACATGCTTTCACCCTCCCCACTCCCCTCCCCTCCTCTTCTTTCACACACACTTCCTGCATCCAAGTTCAGGGGAGGAATATGGAGAGAGGAGCACGGGGGTCCACGCGGCCACATGGTGATAGATGCGTGGAGAGGAGGGGGAGACTCACCGGCACTTTACACGACCATTACTGATGTTTTATTCCTCTCATTGCACTTCTTAGGTTGTGTATAATTCTATATTTTTGACATTTTCCAGCTTTATCGTCATTTTTTTTCCTCTAAAAACTGAATTTAATTGCTCTTTAAACGCTTCCTCTTCCATAACTCAGCCCAAACTGACAATTATTGCTTTCTTTCCTGCAAAAACGCCGCCATCGTGAGCCTTGTTTTGCACCTGCATCTCCGCCTCTGTGCATTGGCAGTCATAAAGACACTCATTATTGCAGAGAGGATCTTTTTTTTTATCATGTCAGGGTCTAAAATCGACAATTTTTGAAGATATCTGAGTCTTTTTTTTAACATTTTCTCCCTTGGAAGGGATTTGAGCACCTTACCTGGATGTGTGGTGAAGTGATTTTGCATTTAAAATGAGGCTGAGACTTATACTCTAGTGCAGATATCATGATTTCTGAGGCTTATCCACCACTTTTCCCCCCTGAAAATTGAATTAAGTGGCTTTTTTGCACAACATGCAGTCCAACATCATTTATCACCTCATATCCTTCTGTAACTCTTTCCTTATTCCATAATTTTACCTTAAATCACAGTGTTTGTGAGTGTTGTGCTTTAAATCTACAACTTTTTCAGGATTTTTTTGCACATTTTTCCTCCAGGAACCGTTTTCAGTTTCACTTTTGCAGAGAATTCAACGATCAAAGCACAATATGTTCAGATTTGCACATTCTGTAAGGTAATCTTGCAATGCTTCCTCCACTTACTCGATTTCGCTGCACTTTTTTCTGCACTGTATCACCCAGCAGGCTTTTATAGCCCTACAGCACTGAGCCCACCTGCACTGCTGCTCTGCTTTCCATGCTGCACTTGACCGAACGGGGCCAGAGAGAGAGAGAGAGAGAGAGAGATACGAAAAACAAAAAAAAAACATTGCATGGAAATATGACGCCGGTATTGTTCTTGCAATAGGAGCTCCAGTTTTTTGCCCACTTCTCTGCTCCATGCGTAAAAGAGAGAGGAAGGAGGGGTTAGTGACACCGGGGAGAGGAGGGGGAGAAAAAGAGAGAGAAACCGGTGCGTGACCGCGGATCCATTCGTCGTGGCCCAAGCAGCCTAATTGGCATCCTACTGTTCGCCACCGACGCATCTTTTCATAACAAGTCTCCCAACTCCCTCCCTGCCTTTCACTGTCAGTGGATCTTTTAAATTGACCAGGCCTACATGAAACATATGCAGCGCTTGTCTCTCCCTGTTTCTCACCCACAGCCTGCATATCAAGAATCAATACCTAATGCAAATGGAAGAGAGAGAGAGAGAGAGGGGAGCAGCGTGTGCAGAGAGAAAGCTGGGAAAGCTCTTATCTGTGTGTGTGTGTGTGTGTGTGTGTGTGTGTGTGGAGGCTGGAAATGTCAGTTCTTCTTTGACGGTCTGTCTGCGGCTCATCCTGCCAAAGACAACGTCCATTTTGGGATAACAGAAATGATCACGATGTTTAGTTTCTCTTCTTTCTTCTCTGCTTTTATTTTGTAGGAAAATCTGCAAGTTTGATGTGATTTTATGGATGAAAACTTCAATCTGATTCAGCTTCTCTCAGTGCGTTTACTTGCACAGCTTAATTAGACTAAGATCATCATTCGTTTTTTTCGCCCAATTGGACTGGGTTTACAAGCAGCTGAGAAAATTGACCTGAACGTGTCCTCCTCCCCAAAACTAGGGGGCGATACGGGTCTTATTAACGGCACTGTTTCCAGACCTTTTTAAAAGGTGTCTCTGTTCTTAATTTTCGACCGTCAATGTACTTTAAATTGTCAATTTCTGTCAGGACGGAGAGTGGTGGACGTTCTTTCGTGCTTCAGCCGTGTTGCAGTTGCTTCTGAGTCGAAAGTTCTTTAAATGATAGCGTCACTTCTTCTCTGGTGTTTTTGTTCCGGGGTTACGGAGGCGTGGCGTAAGCGCACATGCACTGTCCGATCATACTCCGACTACGCTGGTTACATGGTAGAGAAATTCAAATTCCAATCATATTATCTTATCAGATTTTTATTATCAATCCAACACTGTAGAGATTTGCAAGTTGGGGTTAATTTGACGTCACTCTCTGGTGAAAACAGACAAGTAGCGCACATAAAAATGCCTCAAAGTGAGCTATGACGAATGTTTAAATCAGCAAGAGAAACTGGTAAGAAGTCTGAGCTCCCTGCTCTTCTACCTCCATGTGTGAAAAGCTAAAGCCTGAGGCAGGCAGAGCACACTTCCAAAAAGGCGAGGCGGGGAGAGGATCAGTGAATACTACAAGGACCTGGGTTTGAGGCAGGCTGGAAAGTGGATTTCAGGGGAAGCAGGAAGAGTCGGCGGGCTATAGCTGTTTAATGATCTGGCCTGGGGTTAAATTTGACGGAGCATGAGTTTATAACCTGCCTGAACTAGCACCACACGCAATAAATACCATGTCGAGCTGGGAATTATGTCACATCCGAGTTACCGGTGTAAGTAGGAAAAAAGCAAATCGGAGGCCAAAACAAGATGGCCACATCTACAAAAGTTATTTTAATGCTTGCCTTGTCCGAATATTAGCAAGCACTCAAATAAATTTCCTAGATGTAGCCATCTTGTTTCCGCCTCTGATTTTGCTTTTTTCTGTGACTTGGTCACTGAAACGCTGGTAACTCTTGTGTGACGTTCCCAGCTCAGACATCTGACTCCCGAGGTAAATCTAACGCACCATAAGTTTCCTCTCTTCATAGCGTCTTCTGCGGAGCCTTCAAGTTCAATTTCCCTCACAAATTCAGGTCAAAATCTGACTTTAGAAAGAGAAACAACCAAAAGAGAATGTCTTGGACCTGTCCTCTGCAGACTGTGTCTCTGGAATAACCCGTATTAGGAATAAGATTATGTTGTGTCCGTGTAAACACCGGGATTATAACTTGCCCCCCGCCACTCTTCCCCAAACGTTGCCCAGCAGAGTCGTTCTCGGCAAAGCGATCCTCGTGTTCAGTGTAGCGACATGAAGATGCCACTGAACCCCCCTGAATACATGAATTATGAGTTGTGGCTCTCCTTAAAAGCTCTGCCTCTGGCCCCCGAGAGCTGCTATCCACCCCCTCCCTTCCCCATCCCCTCTCTCTGTATTCCGGGCACAATTTAGAATCTGATGCTTTTATGGTGGTCTGATGGCGAGATAGGAGGCCGTTGTAGTCGGCCCCTAAATGGCTCCCTGAGATGCGATGGCAAGAATGATGACTGTGTCCCCTGTTGGTGTCTGTGAGGCATGATTCAGACGCTTATAGGGGAATGGGGAGCAGAAAAAAGAGGGGGAAAGTGTCGACATTTGTGGCTCCTGTTTGCTCCATTATGAAGCGGGATAGTGCCAAACTGAACGGCGCTGTCTCGAGTCCAAATCCCTGTACAGTTGGTTGTTCAGAGTTGGAATAAACAGCAGGGCTGAGCTGGATTTGGAACAAGCGAGGCTGGTCATAACTTACTCATTATACGTGAAAGCCATTTCCTTTCAAAGCGTGGCGAGCACTTGTTATTTTGCATCTTAATACCAACGGAGATTGTCTGTTTTCTTGGCTGCCTCTCGGGCTCTTTTGTAAACTGGCGTCGTCTGCTGTAAACCTCATTTGGCTTCGTTGCCAAACATTTATCAGTGAATTCAAAAGACAAAACATCTGCATCGGGTTCCAGCTTCATACGGGAGGGTTTTCAGGCTGCGCAGGCGACATCCTCACACCCAGAGCACTTGACCCTGATGGGTAAGCGGACACCAAGAATAGCTGTCTGTCTTTGACCCCGAGACACACGCCATACCCTCCTGCACGTATATAATCCCTCAGGGGTTCAACCCACACACATGTGCACACATGTAGACCGAGTGCCTGGTGCCTATCCAAGCAGAATGTCTGAGCGTTGCTGCAAGGTGCATTAGAGGCTTCTATACGTGTACGCGGAGGGGTCGCACATGGCGCGCAGTGTTTCTAAAAGTAGAAGGAGCAGCAGGGCGCTCCAGCCGCGACCTCCATATGCGAGCTGGTGTGCTCAGATGCTTCCACTTACATCCACTTCTTGCTCGCCGCTCAATAACACGCACATTTCCCGGGTAGCAGAAGCAGAAGCAGAAGCAGCGGCTCCGTCTGAGGGACAGGGGGGTTGGTGGGGCGGCTGACGAGCGTAGAGGTAGAGGTGGAAGGAAGTTGCAGAGCACGCACATTCTCCCCGCTGCAGGGTTTCGCATTTCACAGTCCGGTGGGCTTGAACCCCCCGAGGAGCGACGTCCACACGCAGATAGACAGTCGGGGGAAGAAGAGGGCGTGATGTCCTGACTTAGAGATTGAAGAAGTAGGGTAGATTTTATCCTTTTTTTGGAGAAGTTGCACCTGCGAGACTCCAATTAGGCGCAACGGCAATGCGACCTTTTTCTGAGGAGGGTGTAAGAAAAGAACCTACTGGAAATCTTGTGCTTATGCATCTGTATGTCTGCATACGTGCACGCCGGTGCAGCGCGTCTCTGTTTGTTATGTAATCCTCAGTAGGCCACAGCTGCTTTCTCACACACAGTAAGCAATCTGGGGATCGCAGCCAACCATGGCCCCCTCCTTCCCGTCTCCGTCTTCCTTCATCCCTTGTTCCTCCACTCTTTCTCTCCCCTCTTTTTTTCCCCCCTCTTATAGAATTAGCACAGTATAGATTTTTGATCTCTGCAGGGCTGTTGTGTAAGCTCTGGACTTGTACGTTCTCAGCTCTGTCGCGGCTGCTTTCCCTGAGTCACTTTGCACCAGAATGCGTGACTTTACATGCATCCTCCGAAATAGAAAAAAAAAAGAAAAACTCTCGCTCTCCGTGACCTTTTACTCGCTGTGATTTGATGTAATTTTATGCAAATTAAAATTAAATCAATCCTGTAACGGGCGCAGTTCAGTATTCTGCGAGCGGGAGGAGGAAGGACAAACTGGGAGTTAATCTTGTTTGTCTCCAAAGAGCTCCTGGTGGCGTCTTCGTTCCACGCCTGCGCCTTTATTAAAATGTCACATCAACTGCAAGTGCGAGACGTGGAATTCAGGGAAATCAAGTTTGGACGCTCTCCAAAGATAAATTCGGTTAATTCCCTTTTACTTTTACTGACGTGCGCCAGTTTGCACAAGGCCTCTCCGAATATGATGGACGGTTGTAAAAAGTAGCGCCGCAATATCACCCCAGACGACACAGCGGAGTCTTCTCCTAATAGTTTGTTTTATTCATACAATAAACCAGCAGTGTTTTATGGCTGCAGTTAATTCCCAGACATCCTTTAGAGCGCTCCGACAGGGCCCGCGCTACCTCATGACGCTCAGATGTCGAATATGAAATTGATTTCTCGCGGCGTTGTTTTGCTCGCCTCTAACCCCCGATTGCAGTCAGAAGATCTTAAAGATGGATGCCAAGCGGAATCTATTTGACACGGCCTGGCCCGTGGCGCAGCGAGGCATGAAAGGAAGGCTTTGTGCGCCGGTGCACAATGCTGCATCTCTGGTGGACGCCTTTTAAGTGTTTTCAGGCACAGGGTTGTTATTTGGGGGAGATGCACGCCTTTTTACCGCAGAGATACAGGTGTGTTTTTTTGTCGCTGCGCCGTGCTTTCTCCTCGGATCAGCCCGGTTTATGCGGACACGTCTTCCATGCAGGTGCTCAGGTTTGTGTACCTTGTGTAATGACATGTGCGGGCGACCCCCTGACCCAGTAACATCCATTCCGCCATAAGAGCGCTTCGTGAACTCCGCCACCTCTGTCTCATCACTCAGACAGCTGAGAGGCGATTGCCAGTGATAGGTGCCTGCGAGCGCTTTATGGGCGTTGATGAAAAGGTTGGAAGCGCTGATGAAAGAGAGGACGCGGAGGAAGCATTCATTTGTCTGACGCTCCGGTGACTGGCCCGTCAGAGATAGAGGGAGAGAGAGGCGAGAGGAGGTGGTATAAGAGAAAAAAGGCGAGAAAGGGGGGAGGCAGAGGGAGCGGGGATGGGGGGAGGGAGCGTGGTGAACAAGCACATCTTTATGTATGGCTTCCGTCTGCAAAACGCTCTGCCACCCCAGGTTTGATTAACAGCAAGAAGAGGAGCCAGTCATTTTTTTCGCCTCACACCAGCACACATGGCTTGGCAATGACTTTCACATCATTTGAGGCGAAATCGGGAAGCCGTTACAGCACCTTACAGTGATCCGACATGCTTCGCTGCCGCCATCCGGCTTGGCAAACCGCAGGGAGAAAAGAGAAAGGAAGAGAAGTCTCAGGCACTCATTTTATGCTTAGGAATCACCACCAACTCTCTCTCTCTCTCTCTTTCTCTCTTTCTGCCTTTTTAATCTCATGACTCTCTGGCTCTGTTTCTCTTTCTCGAATTCTGAGAAGAAGTCACAGCTGCCTTGTTTGATTTGCCCTGCTCTCACCCCTTTTTTTAAAGTCATTTTCTCTGCAAAAAAAAAAACTTGAACTCAGGAGAGTTATGCAATCAAACTGTGGCACAACGCTGAATAAAAAGCTCTTTCAAACGGAGCGGGTCGCGAATAAACGGCACGAAAACCACCGGTGAAATATTCACATCCATCAGAACAAAAACTTTAAGACACAGTTTGTTGGGTAAAACTTCTTAGATCAAGAGTAGACCTCAACCAAAGCCAGTTAGCAGTTTTGGGACTTCTTCTTAGCTGGAGGTGTTGATTTATGATACTGATACTCCAAATTTAAGAGTATCCAACGATCTTTTTTTAGATTTATCGAAGCAGAAAGACTCAAAGTTGTCGTTCCAGCTAAATCCCCCACTGTCTTTCAGGGCTACATATTTTCAAATGACATGTAAAATGAACCACTCTATGCAAAAGTATGTAAAAGCATCCTGTGCCCATCCGTTGCCGTGGTTACTTCCCCCCTGCTTGGACCGCGCTGTGTTTAATCATCCAGCCTGCTCACATATTTGTACATCCGCTCTCCAGCAATAGTCACACATTCAAACCCGGTCCAGGCGTTTTATAGCCATCATTGGCTTTGACATACCAAGCGTTGCATCCCATCTTCCTGCCTACCTGTTGCTAGGCAGCCTTGGCAAGCAGGAAGACCAGTCTTGGCCTAGTTGTTTGTTTAGCTGTCAGTCTGGGAAGCTAATCCCACCCCGAGGGACTCATAGCCATCCAGAAACCAGAGATCCGGCCATGTGGACCATCTCCCTCCAAAGACTGAGGGGGGGGAGAAAGAGATGGAAGGTGGGAGAGAGAGACAAGGGCAATTTGCCCTGAGTAAACACCGGTGCTTGTTGTTGTCATCCGAAGCCAGTCATCAATCACAGCCCTAAGCTCTTGGTGGTGACAGCCGCAAGGACGCGCTGTGCTCTGTAACTGGTTGGATGAAGCGAGACAGTCGCTGGTGGAGAGCAGAGCTGAGTCGCCATCGTGGACCTTATTGACTTTATAAGAGTGTGTGTTTTTTGTTCAAGTCTTGTAAAAGGATGTTATCTCGTTTTTTTTTTGGTTCCTATTCAGCGTGTCACAGAGTTCAGCAGAGCTGTAACAATGCCAGCTCGGAGAAGGTTATCATGCTTGACGTTTGGCTGAATTATGTAAGCGCCGGTGTGTCTTTGCAAGACTCTGTGCAATCACGTGGGCGTGCGCTTTGCATGCCAGCCTCGACACTCAGCTGCGGTTGTCCAGCATGCAAAGCTGGTGGTGTTTTTCCACCTGCTATGTCTGGCTGCTCCAGAGCTGTCCGCCTGATTGGCTCGTGTCAGGACCTCTTAACCCTCTCGGTAACCTCCTCCCTGCTTCCATCAAACAAGATATCTTCCTCCATCACTTCCTTACCTTGCCTTTCTTTTTCTATCTCTGTTTTCAACCTTCACCCCTGTATCTCTGCATCATCAGCATTTCTTTTGGATAATTTAAATGCTAATTAGTGTCGCACCTAGGGTTGCGCAGTATGAACACAATCTAATATCACGGTATGAGTCATTTCATATCATCGTAACAGAATATATCACGGTATGTTTTTACCCCCCTGTAAATTCAATTAATGGCTTAAAAATAACCATACTGTCGCATTTTAGGTGAAAAATCTTTAGGTGGTGGAAGAGGTTGCAGGTGTTTCAACCTCCGGCAACGACAGCCACACGACACTCTTTGCGTACTATTGTTTTTTGATCGTTGTCGGGTTTTCTAAATCCAAAGAATCTCCAGACAACCTTTTTCGGAATGACTTTGGGTGGGTCGGGCTTCCTCCGTTTGCTCTGTACTGCCACTAATCTCCGTGTCCGCCATGACCACCGCTAGTGAAGCGGTTTCTTCTTCGTCAAAACTATGCCAAGCAGTCTGCTGGACACGCTGGTGATTATAGGGAGCGCACCCAAAACTTACCAATCAGACGGAGCGAACAAACTCCTCACGACCACCAACCGAATATTTTGTCTTTTCCCTCTTTCTCCATCACTTACCGTAAATCTGAAATGCATCGTACCTGCTTTGACGGCCCGAAACCGAAAATGACGGCTCACACGGGTGGTCCAAAAGAGATAAAAAGATGTTCCCCATTGTAGAAAGCTGATCCCACATTCACTGGAAGATTAAACTGGGTCCCAAATTCCCCTAAAGACACCGGCTTCTCCAGCCAGCTGGGTATGTCATGTCCTCTCAGTCATTCCAACCCCCCGCAGGGCTCAGTTGTCTGAATAAGATACGACTTGTGTCCTCAGGACCAGGCAGATTCAGCTTGAATTTGGATAAGCCTATATGTCAGGGGAAAAAATATTATTTTGACACCCAGCTTTGAAAAAAGTGGCGGTATAAGTGTCAAAGTCGACAGGCTAGAGAGGTGGGAAGATTTTTTTCACCCTGCTTAACTTCTCAAACGGCCTGGGAAGTGCCCTCCTGTGATTTAATGAGACCTGTGGGAAGAGCCATTCATCAGCATGACAGCGTACCTCTGTTTCCCATTGTTCTGCTCTGGTATGTGAGGGGAGCAGTGTGTGTTTTAGCCTTAATGATGGGGCTGGCAACCCTTTGATTAGATGAATCTCCTGGTGCTAATTAAGATTTGGGCTGCCAAAAGACATCTGTGTTTATGCCTTCACCCGCGCTCTCTTCCCCTGTATGGACTTTACTTTGCATTCAAATGTGAATTTCAGCATTTCACGAGTGTTTCAGTCCAAACAGGGGGGTTTTTGGTGGTGTCATGTGGGCTGACATTTGCCCGGGGCTTCAGGCGAAGTTCTCGTGCAAGTTTTTAAAATACCCTGAATGCAAAAAGTTGTTTGTTTCTGTTCTTGGAAAGAGTTTTATTTTTGGTGGGAAAGATGTCGACCAGTGCTTGAAAAACAGCCGTTACTTGTTATGGTCTTGAAATAGAAAATGTGGGATGTTTTGCAAAAGTTAAATCTAGAATGTAAACAAAGGAAACATCGATTCGAATCAGGAATTTTTGCTTTTGGGAGATAATTGCTCAGAAAATTGAGGCAATTTTTAAAATTTTGCGAAACAAAAAGTGCACTAAAAAATGTGGATTTGACAAGTTGGAACCTTTTGATGCGTTTCTCAAGAATTCACCAACACAACAAAATATGAAACAACTTTTAAAACTAGAACCTGTTCAACAAATTTGAGTCTTCTTGCAGAATTAGTTTATTTGCACCGGTGTGAAAGCTGCCAAATGTATAATAATCGCACTGAGACCACTTGAGAGGTGGGTCTCGGTCCGCTTATTTTTGGACTTGGGTGCGGATCAATAGTACATTGCAATTTTTTGGATTAAGCTAGCTACTGCATCCAGTCGCATAGTAAAGTTTGAGTTAAAATTGTTCACGTCTAGCCTTTCATAACAGTGACAGAGTGGAGACCGTGGACAAATGTTATGCTAGAAGGAGGTGCAGGTGAAAATGGAGATCTGGTTGGATGTCAATATTGGTCCAACACAAAAGATCGCAGGAATCTACTTGGTCTCTTGTAAACGGTTAATGGAAAATGACTTTATGAGGTCTTTGGAGATTCCAGTACATCGAGATGACATAGCTGCACCTCATCTTCATGTGATAAGTGTCTCTCAAGTACCAGTCATTGGGTAGGAGTCACCAGTCTTCATTTACCTCCAGGATTTGGTTGATTAAAGGGCACTTTTCACTCGCATCACACATTTGTGTAAACGCAGACCAAACTTGAGAAACTGAAGCAACAATCTAACGAATTGGTCCTTAATTCGGACTACAGGTGTGAACAGTCCCTAATATTTAAGCAAATGCAGAAGCAAAATCTCTGGATTTTGTGAACTATATTCTCCTTCTCAACATCTCTCTAACGTAAGTTTGTGTATTTGGTGCTAAAATGATTAAAACAACCTTTTCAGTTGAAGTGGAGTTCTTAAATTAAACATATGCACCATACTGAGAGACGTCCCCCCTCCTCTAAACTCAGCCGATCTTGTCATATTAATCTTTCACTCCCCAATTCCCCTTTGTGTATTTTCCGGGAAGAGCATTTGATAACTTATGTTAACAAGAACGAAGACATCCTCCCCCTTACTCCCCCCTCCCTCTAAAAAACCGCCTTTCCTGGAATCACGAGCGTTCGTGTGACTCGACAGCACATCGCGGCGCTTTAGTTTAGTTTACAGCTATGTGTTATTCCCTCTATTTGCCCCAGATATTATTTCATTGTAAAGTGATGCCAATTAGTAAAGCCAGTCGCCGGTGGCTGTGGTCTGGCTCCTCCGTTGTTCCAGCGGGGAAAGTTATTTGGGTCGGCAGCTATTTTCAGCCTGTGATGTTGCCAGGAATACTTCAGGGAGCAGCCACTGTTTTATAAGAGAGCACATCAATAATTTTCATTGGTGTGTGTGTGTGTGTGTGAGGAAGAAAGAGAGCTTCACAGACAGAGTTTATTGGGTTTATGTGTGTGTGTTTGTACCTGAGAAGAAAAGCGCCTGTTTTCTCCGGAATATTCAGCGCAGCAGCTGGTGCGAGAACTCAAAACAAGCCGCTTGCCTTTCTGTTGTAACTGTCGCGAACTCCCGATTCATTTAAAGCACATTAATTCGCCGGTTTTTAAACTTTAACCTCCAGCTTTTATCCGAGGTTTCACCCTTTCGCTCCGGCAGCTGAAGCGTGCGCGCATACACGAACTGGCGCCGCACGCTCAGAGTGAAAAGTCAATGAGTTCATAACACCGTCTTTGGTGCATCTCCGCGCCGAGCAGACGAGCAGCGGCACAATGTCGGTATGAAATTGGGGTGAAAAGTCCTTGCACTCGTATGCTTCCCCTGCAGCTCTGCAAAGAAGGGTGAGCGGGTTCAACCTGCCGTGCCGTCGCCACCTCTGCCTCCTCCTCCTCCTTCGCCAGTCCTCCATCGACCCAAACTCACACACACACACACACACACACTCTTTCCCCATCTCTTTCTTCTTCTCTACTCTATCTCGTGGAGGAGAGACCGTAACTGCAGCGTTGGCGCGAGGAGACGTCTTTCAATATTTTAAGCGGCTTGGGCTAATCTTTGTCGCTCAGGTTTGTTCTGAAAGCGTCGCCATGGGAATAAAGACGGAACGGCAGCATCCCACCTCCTGTTTGCACGCTCTCGGATGCACGTAAAAGTCGCAGAACATACACAATCTTGCGTAATTCAACCCCCGCGACCCCTGAGCTAATCCAGCCTCGGCCTTGCGAGACTGTGCCACTGACCTGCTTGTGCTTGTTTTCTCGCCCCCTCTCGGCCCCCTTGTTTGCTCCGTTGCTCGAACTCTGAGGTTTGGTGTTGCGTTGAGTGACAAAGCCTGAGAGTGCGGCCTTGGCAGACACACCGAGGGTTACACAACACCTGCGCGGCACAAGACGCGTAAACCCAGAGGCCAAAACATGAAGCATGTAAGAACGAACATTTTGGCTCTTATCAGCACAAGCAGGGCACCACGCTCGCACTTCACGCTTTCGTGGACGTGATTGGGGTACCGACTACACTTTCTGACTGGCACTGTATGAGGAGGAAGCAGAGTTTTTCCGCTCCACTGTTCCCTTTATCTCTCCCCCCTCTGTTATTTTCAGCCCTCCTCCTCCTCCTCCTCTCTCTCTCTGTCTCTTTCTCTTTCGCTGCTCGCCGCTCTTTTGTTTTCAACGTGCCTTTTTCCAGCCAAGGCCCCATTCTCTTGCCCCGTCATTGTGTGCGGTAATGAAGATTAGCCAGCCTGCCGCACACAATGGGGTCCCCACATCCGGAGTGCAGACTCCCCAAATCCTGCCGCAAGCTGCTAACCCCGCTGTAAAACCACTGTTGTCGCCGACCCCCTCTATCCACGGCACCCACACGCATAACCTCCTGCAAACGCACACACACGGGCACACAAATGCGTCCGACATGCACTCTGCACTCCGCCGTGTTGAAAGCAAATGGCTGAAATGTCTCCTGATTAGATTAGGATGCTTTTGACAGCTGAGAGGGAGCGCTTGGCGACTCATACGCCGATAAACAGCAGCTCACCCAAATCCAGTTAAAGAGAGACAGAGTTCCCCTCCCCGGCGAGTGCAACACGGCTCCACTCGCCGGGATTATACCCCCTCCCATCCTCCACGCTCCTTCTATTCTCCTCTTCTCCCCGATTTCATCCTCCTCTCCATCATTCATTTCCTCCAGTCTCGAGATGCTGCTCCTCTACTCCTCTATCCCATTTCACCCTCACCTCTCCTACCCGCGACTTAACGCCAGAACAAAGACGTTTTCCACACTTTGTCACAAGCTATTTAGATTGAGCCGTAGAGGTCTTTATACGCCGTGCACTTGTTGTATCCTGAGCCTCTTAATAGCGGCTGTATCGCTCTCAAGGTCGGCAGATCCTCGCGAGTTCAATCTGTTTACTCGTAGAGACACTTGAGCGTTTAGCGGCTACATGTGTAGCTTTTGTCCGTGTGGAAACGTGGATTATTCAAATGTGACAGCAGTTTGGGAACATAAATTGCCGTATGTCAACTTGAACTTGCTGTATCCATCTCAGAAGGGTTCCCAAAATAACCTTTTACACATGCAGGCGCTAATTTTGACAGGGAACGTTTGATTTGTAGGAGAAACGGAGGGAAACAGCTAGCTTTGCTATGTCAGGGAAGTGCTAGCAACACTTCTTATCATTAGCAAACACATATGTAGCGCTCATATGAAAATGGCTAGCTTCCTCTCTATTAGCATCTTATGGGATAATTTAACTCTAAGCCCATGGGCGAAAGTGTTAGTTTGCCTTTTTCCCAGGAGTGATGGGCCAGGCTATTTCCTGGCTGGGACTGGTAACCTGCTGGAGTTGCAGTCTTAGGCTAATCATCTGGCAGACTCGGAAAAGTGAAAATAACATAATCAGGAGAATGTACACGGTCATCGTCCTCTTGTTTTATTCCCCGTGATTGATTAGGTGACTGGTGATCCGTATTGTCTTCATCTACCTTAAAAAGAAAGGGAAACAACTCCTCCTCCTCTTCCTCCTCTTTTCCATCTCTGCAGGCAGCAGAGTCTCACTTACCTTCAGATAACACACCACGGAAACAGCTTAATTACACACACGGCCTTATCAGACAACATTAGCCTCGCGGTAATAATCAGGGCCGCCGTCAGCTGCTCTGTCAAAGCTTGGCGACGCAGCACCTTGAGGCGCTTTTACACAGTGCGGGCTTCAAGCTGATAACAGACACTGCCAGTTGTTAAATCACAAATTGCTGACGGAGTTTCGTGGAATAATGCGCATTTGGTTGTAAACCTGACATTTTCTTTACACATAGTCAATTTCGGTTTGGATGGGTGCGCTAATGACACTTGAAATCGCATTCAGGCGGTAAAATTAAGCTTGTTTGTTTGGCTGATTGCTTGGATTTGCATTTCAGGCACTTGAGCTGCCATTTTAATTTGATATGCATTGCAAATGGACATGAGCGCCAAACTCTGATTCAGTTTTTACTCATTTTCAGCAAAGGTATCTTCCTAGGTAGCCCTGAGTTTCTCGAGGTTTTACTCCATGTGTATTTACGGGCGATGGGGGGATCTTCAAAGCACCTTTCATCTCGCAGGAAAGCAACAATGATGGAGCACTCAGAGCGCAAAAAACCTAGTGACCTCTGCCTAATGGAGCAGAAAGACATTTCCCATCACTTTCCCCGAGTAGACACAACAAGAAAAGCACACATCCACATCCTTCACGACACCGGGCGGCTCTCCTCTGTCTTCCCAGTGCGCACCATCAATTCCCCCCAAAGGCCTTTGCAAAATAAGGTTTTTAAAGAAACGTTGAAGGTCAGGTGTTTGAATATGTTGTTTTAAAACTGAAACCGGTCGGAAGTGAGTCTTATACTTGTCTCTGAACCCTTCATTCCCTGTCTGCTATACGTCGCATCAACAGATTCCCATTTCTTCATCTTTCACCTGCCTGTCTCTCCTATCTCCTCCCCGGGAGAGCAGATAAATTAGCCTCCTCTTTGCCCTCTAGCACTGTCTCTTTGTGTCTCCGATCCCTCTGTCTCCCCTTTGCTTGGTTGCTCTGGAGTCCCGTTGGGGCATCTGGAGCGCCAACATCCCTCCTGGCCAAACACCGCACCCCCTGCCGCTTTCTCCGCCGAGAATAACAGGGTGATACAAGCGTTGTCTTATTCCGATCCAGGAAAATGAAGCGCTCCCCTCCCCTCTGACACCCTTCTTCTTGGCCCTCTAGGCAGGTTCCCCCTCCGCTCGACTGGGATCCACCGGTGACGCCATGCTGCTCTCTAAGGAGTCTGGAGGCCGGGGCTCTTCGTAGGAGCAGGGGAAGGAGTTAAAACCCTGAAGGGGAGCTTAGAGGGGAGGGGGAGTGCTTTTTGGAGCTTCATTCTGTGTGTGTGTTGTGTAAGTATTGCTCAGTGAAGCTATAGATTACCGTCTCTGTCAGCTGCGACGGCCACCGCTGATGAGCTCCAGCGCGGTATCATTTCGTATCGATTAGGCACTGCGACGCAAACACACAAAGGCTGTTGGCGAGATGGCTGGTGCCTTGGGCTACTGGTCATTTAGCTGTCACCTCAAAGTGATGGCTTGGCCCAGGCGCACCAGATCAATGGGAGACATAGGCCCCTATAACACACTGTGGAGGGGGATAGGAAACCTGCATAGACACAGCCGGAGAAGCACTTACACACCTGAAAAAGATGGCTCAGTGAGTTAAGTACCAACCTGAACTTTACCTTCGATAAAAGTGCCAAGTGGAAATAACAAAGATGGCCTCAAACAAAGTTGGTAAAGTGAAGCGATAAATAGTAAATATGGGATCAAATGGGTGAGAGACTCTGGTACCTACCTCAGACCCCCAGAAAGGTTTTAGCCAGAGTCGGTTCCCCCTTTTGGAGTAGTTTCCACATCAGTGCAAAAAAAACCTCAACACGCATCAAGACAAGAGACACGGAGCTGATGCTAAATTATCCGTAACATGAACGTAACTCACTTTTAAGTAATCAAACGAGACACAAAGACGTAGCCGCAGTGACAATCAAGAAACTAAGAAAGATCCCAGTTCCACGCGGTATATTATATCTTTATAATCCTGACTGATGGGACGCTGAAAGGAAGGTGCTGCAGGGAATAATGGGTCATCTCTGAAAAGATGTGACAGCATCCCCTTCCCGACTTAACAATAGTGCCGCGTCGCCCCCCTCCAGCTCAGGGACCCCTTATAGTGCTGCCCTTTTCAACCCTGCTAGCTTTAGCGCTGAATATTATTCATAGCACCTTGTCTCTATCACGGCATCTGTAAAAACTAAACATCCTCAAATTAATGAGCCGTATCCTCCCCATTAGGTTTATCTGTTTAGTGGTGTTTTGGGCCTTCCTTTAGGGCATTATGCATGCTCTTCTGTTCATATTTATAACCCAGGCTTTTTATTAGCGACGTAGCGGGGTGCTAACAGTTGGGAGGCAGCCTGTGCTTTGATGGTGATGGCAGGCGGCTTGGCGCGGGCCAAATGTGGAGGGGAAAGAGGATCAGCTGCCAGGCTGAGGGCCCAGTGGTAGACTGGAGAGGAGAAGGAAGAAAGAAAGAGACTTTATTTAACTTAAAAGAAAGCGTCTGAGTTAGCGGAAGAGGGCTGAGTCGCAGCACTCTGCCTCCCTTGACTTTGAGAGAAACGCGTCTTGTGATCAGCGAATGTTTATCACATCTGCAGCGTTTGAAGCCTCGCTAACCTGAGGTGTGCTCAGCGTGTTAGCTCGTGCTAGCGCTCATTTTGTGTGTTCGCAGGAAAAAGGAAAGCGAGTGCATTTGTCTCAGGGTCGTGTTTTTGATTTTTAGCGGGGATTTGGTACTCGGGTTCTTGCAGATATATGGAAATTTGGTGCTCAGATGTGTATTTCTATGCTCAATTTTGTCTCTGCATGTTCATTTATGAAGAGGAGGCAGGAAAAGTGACATTGCTCGTTTGCATCTTGCAAAATTTTTTGGCAAATGAACCAAAATCAGGCTTCATTTCCATCCCTTTAATTCTCTTTGACATCAAGGTTCAACTGTGACCTTGAAAGCTTGTTTTGTTAAGCAGTATTGAACACTATCGGTGACAGATGCTCAGGCTGAGGTAATCATCCATGCAGTTAAGTGCTGCTGTTCTCAACTCATGTCTCATTTTGCAAGAAATTTCCAAAAATGCATGTTGAGAATTCCTGGATGTGCTCAAATAATAGTAGAAATCTCAACATTTGCAGGTTAAACAGTCTTAGATATGACAAAACGCTGCTTTTGTTTCGACTGTTGAATCAGATCATTAGCCGCGTTGCCGTGGTGACAATAGATTTTGATGCAAAAGGCGCTAAAGGAAGCTCGGGGGTGCTATAATTATAATAAAAGTGACACCTTTCAGTAGCACTGCTTCTCAGCTGCGCTCGCACTTCAGTCTCTTTCAACTCTGACCTTATTAGCGCTAACCTTTCCCTGCTCAACCAATTACTGGGAATCTTATGTAACCTTAAAGTGACTTGTAATGAGGAAAAAAAGGCTGGGATGGGTTCATATAAGACGTCTTAATTGATCTTTGTCATGGCAGATAATTCGACATGTCACGGAGGAGACACATATCTAAATGATGACTCCATGATGGCATTTATGTGTGTCAGTTTGAGGGTCCTGGTGTTGTAATTCTTGCCGCTACATGACAGAAACGTTGGGATTTTCTGAAATTCGCAGGACACTTCAGTGGACTTGGATCAGGGAAGTCTTGTTTTGGGGTTTTGACCAATCAGAAACAAGGATTCAAATGCTTCCCAGTAGGGCTGGGCGATAAACCGAAAATTTACCGATACCTGAATTTACGACAATAACCTACGTCATTTTGCCCATATCGGTATATTTGGTGTCAAAACAGATACAAGTTGGTTTCGATGTGTAGGTAGGCTATGGTCTCATGTAATAATAATAATAATAGATTTTATTTGTAACGCACTTTACATTTAAAAACAAATCTCAAAGTGCACAACAAGACAACAATAACAGTAAAAACCAAGCAACAGGGCAAAACAATAAAAAAACAGTCAACATAAAAAACAGTCAGCAGATAACATCAGATAAAATTAGTCGGGGTAGGCTTTCCGAAAGAGGAAGGTTTTGAGTTCTCTTTTAAAAGCATCCACCGACTGTGGAGCCCTGACGGGGAGGGCAGCAGCCTCGAAGGCCCTGTCACCCATGGTCTTGAGCCGAGTCCTGGGTGGGCGCAGACGGTGCAGTTGGCCTGACCGGGTTCTGGCTGAGGTATGTGGGGTGAGGAGTTCGGTGAGGTAGGTGGGGGCTGCACCGTGCAGACAGTGATGGGTGTGAAGGAGGATTTTGAATTCAATGCGAAGGTGAACGGGGAGCCAGTGCAGAGTGCGAAGGATGTCCCTATAAGACGCTGTCATATGCCAGAAATGTGACTCCACCCCATCCAGTCCATAACAAAGAGAAAAAGGCAGGTGAGGAGATGGAGGACGGTTCACAAGTTGTAGACAGAGTTAATGTGGGAGGGGGTGAGCAGCTTGTGGAGTAGTTATCGTCCATTTATCGTTATCGAGGTGAACTGTTTAATATATCGTGAAATTGATTTGAGGCCATATTGCCCAGCTCTACTTCCCAGTACGGGAGCTTAAATCTGGGTAGAATGACTGTCCCAGGTTGCCCCACTAACTAAGAGCTCCCCCCTCCCAGGATTGGAGGTGGAGGTGAGGCTGCTGGAACAGCCGTTGGATTGTCGCAGCTTATCCTGGCTCGCATGAAGGAATCATCCCGAAAGCCTTTTAGGAAACGGACCCTGGCTTTATCCTGCGCCAAGTGATGCTGGCTCCCCAGATCGGCGCTCGTCCAAACAGAGCTGAGGCGAGCCATGAGCGCTCCTCCTTTATCTTGGCTTATTGTGTGCTGCTCTTGGACCTGGATTCCTTTACCCCCATGCGAAAAATAGAGACGCAAGTTGCTCATACACTTCAGGCCACGATACCAACAAATAGACCTGTTTATGCATGTGCGTAGGTGTTCACACAAACACACACACACAGGCAAGAGGTGCATAATTACACGCAGAGCTGCATAATTATGCCACTCACACATGCACATGCACTTGCAAAATTATGTGCGCACACATACCCGAGCTAGCATAATTACATGCGGCCACATACACCCACATGGCTCCACGCGAGGAACCGCTGATCAACCGCATGACCTTCTCCTGTACAATGTTAATGTCACCACCTGCGGGAGGAAGGGGGAGGGCCTGGAAGGAGTGACGGGGGAAAGAAAGAAGAAGATGGATGTAAAGAAAAGCGGTGCAATAAGCCATCTTACCCCGCCGCCCCCTCACCTGCAGCTTTCTTCATCCGTCTTACCTTGTCAAACATCCCCTGTTCTGCATGCACACATGAACACACACTCCTAAGTACAGTATGCATGACTGTACTCAGACTCTACCTCGCTTTGCGGCGCAGAACACACCCCCGTAGGTCGCAACCTAACATTTAGAGTGCATGAACTGGATTCCGCGATGCCCAATGCTCACCCGCCGACAAGATCCTGTTATGGCAAATGTCACACTTCCAAAAAGGATTCACCCCCCATGGAGAAAATGAAGTCAACACCTTTATCCTCCCTTCCTTGCCTCCTTCACCTTGTCCCTCCATCACTACTCTCCTCCGCCTCCTCCGTCTTCCTCTCACTTATCCGCTTCTATCCTCTTTTCCGCTCTCTTGAACTATCTCTACTCGACACACACACACTCACCTTGGTTTGCAGTCCTAAGCGTTTTGCTGAATAAAGTCCCCGTTAACCGGCCGGTTTTAGCGGATAATTAGCGCTCACCTTGGGAGAAGAGGAGACGACGGCGAGGGGGAAAAAAAGACGGAAAAAGGGAAATTGGAGATTTTGGGGGTCGATACAGGCGGAGAATGAGCACAAGGTAGGAGGTTTTAGCTGGGCCTTTGGCAAAAAGGCGTCCTTTTACCTTTATCGTGTCTTAAGGCTTGATTGTGCTCGAAAAGAATGGGGGAAAAAAAGCCTTCTCAATTAATTCACCGGCCGCCGCCATCAAGGAAACAGTAGACCTCTCACATCGCCATGAAAGAAGCGATATTTCAAAGCACCACAGATGAAAAATACAACACGTAGGCGTGCACTTATGGGAGAAGGCACTGTGTTATTATCCTCACTCCTCACTCGAGATATGGTCTTGAGCAGCTTGTTTTAATTTCATGTCAGTATGCAAAATCTCTCTGTTCCTGGAAGAAGACAACTTACCGGCACAGTCGCACTCCCTCGGCAACACACGGAATAAAAAGGTGTGGTTTTATTTTTAGAAGGTGCAAACAAGGAAAGAAAGAAGGGAGGGGGTTGGGGTTGGGTTGGGGTTGTGAGATTGTAAATGTCTCTGATGTGTTCAGTCTGCACAACCTTATTCCTGATAATGGAACTAGCTACTCCGTCTGTCAGTGCCTATTTACACACAAATGAAGTGGCGAGTACCACGCGCCCAGTGGAGCTGCTAGCCTCCATCTCAGCTGTCAAAACAGGTTAGCTGCTACAAGCCGTACACGGCGATCCCTGGGATCAAACTGGCGCCGTCCGTTCCCACATAATAGCTTCATCCTTGGACACAGAGCGCCCCCCACCCCCTCCCTCCTCTTCTTCTTTCTCAAAGAACCTGGCCGGCTTGTTGTAAAGTAATAGACTCCTCAGAATGCCAGTTCACACAAATCGAGGATGTAGCCTTTTTATTTGCCCTCTGCGGGGAGAGGTGTGGGGAGTAACAGGGATGAAGCAGAGCATAACTACAGCTGAATAAATCTTCCTATCTTGGCTCAGTGGAAGCCGGCGCACACATGGCTTGTCAAAGCTCTATAAAATGTTGTTTGATAGGAGTTCTGTACAGTTTAGGACTTCGCCTCCTGCTATCCACTCGGCTCGCTTTCGTTCCGCGCTACAGCGGTTGCAATCAATCAGTGTGTAATCAGGCGTCTTGCTGGAGCTGCCAGGTAATCCTGGCTGTCTGGGTGGCTATCAGTGCCTGTGCGCCTGTGACAGCTGGCAGAGCTGCTGAGGTGCCTGTCTGGGTGAGTGGATGGCACCATGCAGATTTCCTCTCCACAGTGTGTAAAGGCATATCCGATGATCTGATGGCTGTTGAAATTGTCAAGTGGGATTTGAGAGTGTGGATGGGCGTTTGCTGTGCGGATGCCCGAATGCGTGAACTCGACTGAATTGAGTTTAAATTGACTCCCTTTTTTTCCTCTTTCTCTCTTGCAGACTTGCCTAGAATTGGAGCGCTATCTGCAAACGGAGCCCAAGCGTCTGTCGGAGCTCTTCGACCAAGACTTGGACGGCCTTTTAACTCCGGCCTACCTGAAAGAGGACGGCGAGGAAGAGCTGACAGACGAGCTTCTCCCCAGCCTCCCGAACCATCCCGAGCCCCCGAGCCCACCTCCGGTGATCCTCTGCCCGACACGTAAGAGTTTTCCTTCCGTTCCTGCGGTGAAAAGAGACCTCAAACCTAAGCTGGAAAATGCAGAAGGAATGGAGGGCGTCCACCAAGCCCAGCTGAGCGCCGTCACCTCCCTGACACCCCCGTCGTCGCCAGAACTGGGCCGGCATCTTGTCAAACCCAACCAGACGCTCACGGCGTCCGCTGATGGGACGCTAACTCTGAAGCTGGTGGCCAGGAAGGTCGGGCTCAGCGCGGCACGGTTGGTGGCGGCTCATTCGCTCCCCGTCCGGATGAAGGACGAAGAGGAGGGGGGCGCTTGCGTTATCGGGGTGGGGGAGCTACCGGAGAACAAGAAGAGGATTCATCGTTGTCAGTTCAACGGTTGCAGGAAGGTGTACACCAAGAGCTCCCACCTAAAGGCCCATCAGAGGACACACACAGGTGAGAGTTCAAGAGTCTCTCGAACAAAACGAAGGTCAATTTGATGGTTCGGAAATCATTTAAAGATCAGATTTGATTGAAAACAATCATATTTGTTTGAGATTTTGAGATTGAGATTGTTTATTCGATCAAATATACATATAGTACAATTTTAGACGAGGAATTCCCAATTTTCTTGGAGATCGAAAAGTAGTAGGTTGAAGCTGTTTAGCTTGTTTGTACCTACCCTCATTCCTTCCGCATTTTTAATCAAATCGCCTCGAACCAAAGAGTGAGTTTGAATTTCAGACATTTTCTCCTTCTACAAGGCTTTTGGGCATTTGGCAACAAACATATCGTCGATATTTTCAGCTTTCTGTTCTCATCCATCCATCCTTCCTTTTGGCTCATATCTATTAACAAAATACATCTTCTTTGCTTGCCATGCAAATGCAAATGTAGTGAAAAAACACAGTTTTCCCTGGAAAGACAACCTCATGGCGCTCGATGGTAAGATCACCTTAAAAAAATCACTCTTGGAAAATCTCTCTCCTTCCCCACTTCTTCAGGACAGGTCCTCCTTGTCAAGGTTCTTCTCAAGAAGGAAGGGGGGAGGGTTCAGGAGCTATAACTCTCCCGCTCTTCCATCTCAATCCCAAACCACTCAGACCCCTGTCGGGGAGCTGTCCTCCATCTGAGTAACTGCGCAGTGATGGATGGATTGACCTGGATAGGCCGCCATTTCCCCAGTTTATTTCAGGCTCCCCCCGTCCTCTGTGCGTTCTGTAAGTCTAGGTCAGTGGATCTCAATCGAAGAGTAGACAAATATATTCCCGGTTATTCTGATGATGAGAGGAAAGGGAAAAGAGAGATTCTTGTTTGGCATCATTAATTTGGGGGGGTTAGGGTTCAGCACCCCTTTGCCTCTGGGTGTCGTTTGCACCAAACACATTACAGGGGTGTTGATTTGGACTCTAAGGTGTTTCCTGCTTCGGTTTGCTCAGGGAGGTGTGAACAATATGTGTTGAATTTGGCAACAGTGGCTAAATATGCCGCACTCTGTCTCCGCCTAAAAGAGGCAATCTTGGTTAAATACAATTTAAATGACTCCCTTTGGTATTCGTCTCCGCTCGTGCCCGTGTTTGACTCTGAATATCAGATTGAACGAGGTCCGACAGATGGTTCCTTAAACATTCAAGGTACAGAATAAGACGTCCATCACGCCAAATGAAGTTAAAACGACTCAAATGTGATTTTCTTCCACCCCCAAACTTAACGGTTGACGGATCGCCAAAGCCGGACATGCCCTCCTCTCTGGACGGAGCGGGGATATAAATAAAGCCGACTGTTGTCTGTGAGGAAGGAGGAAAGTAATCTGTATGTGTGATCACACCACTGATAGTGCAACGCCACAGGTTGAGGCATCAGCGTGACTGGAACAAAGGGCGCAGACATGCAATCATTGATTTCCCCAGTGTGTCTTGTCTGCAGCCTCAGAGTTGGACTCCACGCCAACTGGGTCGGCTCGGCAAGACTAACACTGCAATACTCAAACAGGCGTCTAAATTATCAGATTTGAACTTGGATTCAAACTGAAAACAAAAAAAAACTTTTTGTTTTTGTGCAAAATGTTTGTGTTGAGCTTTTTATGTAACCTGACAATGAAGGAATCTAAATTCCTAGACAGGATTTAGTCTCTTTAGCTGCTACTTTAGGCGAACCAGCAGCATAAGTCTATGGATATCAATGTAGATTCACCGTTAGGGCAGCTTGTTCGCTTCAAACTTGATAATCTTTGACTTTCAGTGTCAATTTAAACAGATAATCACCCAATTTGAACAACGTCTTATGAGTTATAGGCTAATCCCAGTGGCCCAAATGTACTTTTTGCTGATTTGGGCTTGAAAAACTCAATATAGTAAGAATGCCAAGGTCTGTACCTGGTTAAAAGGGTGTAATCTTGTCATTTTTATCCTGTTTTTAAGCTAATATATTCCTATAGACTCTTGGACTTGCTCTCTCTTTCTCTCTCTCATTTGGAGTTTTCCGATACAACTTTTTTACTTCCGATAAGATACCGATATTGTAACCTTCAGTATTGGTTGATGCCGATATTGATCCGATTTTGGCTCAAATTTGTGCATGACAAGTTTTTCACTCAGCTGCATACATACACGCTCCTACTCTTTGCTACTTTGTTAGTACCTTAGTCCAAACTTGTGATTGCACAGTTGTGATTATGTGGGCTTTGCGTGCTAGATTCCGGGCGCTGCTCGCTAAAAGTGCAAGAGCGTGTATAGGAGAGCTGATTTTGAAGAATTTCGATGCAGGTCGATATAATCCGATATTTGTTTTTTGTTATACAGGACCGACATTTGATATCAATATTGGATTTGGACACCCCTGATAATACCTGAAGTTTGTAATTTGCCGCTGCCAGTTTGTTAGCTTGTCATTTTTAGCTTGTTGGCTAAAAGATCACAGAAGCATTGTCAGTGTTGCTGTTAACTCTGAGACTCATTGTCCCTCTCTCCTAACTTGATTTTCATCAATTAGCCTTTTTCCTAATGTCCGAAAATGACATGCTCCTCAAACAAAAGCTCGTTTTAAACTGTATTTTCTTTCCACAGAAGCTTAAATGGTCATTTTTCAATGATTTTGCAGAAACAATTACCTAAACGATGAATTGGATTATCTTTTCCGTCCTATCAGCTAATTGTTTCAGGACAAAACAGCTCCAGACAGATCCTTGCCCGATCAAAAACCAGCTTGAACAATGGCTCTCAGTGTAAGATAAAACGGTTTCATTTCTGTAAGAATCCTCTTAATTGTTATAAATTGATACAACAGCAGTCGATGGTCCCTGAATGTTATATATTGCACCTTAAAGGGCCTCCTCTCGTCAGTAGCCCGCCCCTAAAGCTTATCGTTGTCACATAAGGTGCTTCTGATAAAAGCCTCTATTCGAAGAACATCTGTCTTGTTATTCAAACCGGGAAGGTAGAATGATAAAAGGGTAAAACGTCGACAAAGGATGACAAAAGAGAAAACAAAAGAGCCGCAGAAAACGCAAGATAGGGAGAAGAGAGTGACGCGGAGCGAAACAAAGAGTAGATGAAGACAGGAAAGAGGAACAGGGAGGTACAGTACGAGCGACCCTCTTCAGAAAAGAGACAGCAGTGCCACAGGCTCCCCCATTCACTGAGCCATTATCCTGACAAGTTTAAAGATGTCATTACTCAAATCCTCTTTTTCTTAGTTGTTATTTCCATAAATTACTGACGGAGAAAAGGCTACGATTTAATCTGGAATTAGACGGGCTGAGTTGAAATGACAGTGCCCTGTAGAGCTTTTTGTGAATAGGCTTATGGGAGATAAGGAATGGTACAATTAGATTTTGGGCAGGGTGAGGGAACGGGGTAAAACTGTCGGGTTATTCTTGCCTTTTCCTTCTCTCTCTTCTTTCTATCCCTCTTTTCCTCGTCTGCCTCACTCCATCTGTTATCCCACTCTTTCTTTCTCCCTCTCATGCATCAGTCTTTCATAACACGTCTGTCTCTGTGAACGCTCCTCTCTCACAATCTTTTACTGCTCAGCTTTTCTTCTCTGCAACTTTCTCTTCTTAAAGCTTTGGCCGACTATTTGAGGGAAATATGTAGCTGCTTTTTTTCCTGAGCAATATTGCACTAGTTTTAGTGTCTTTGTAGAATTGCACCATCGCCATGGTTGCAGGAGTGACTGCAGATTTTTGAATATGGAATATGCTCTGATATCCAGATACTCTAGGTCATGTTGCAACTTTAACATGTATTGAGGAGAACTCTGGCTTTACAGATCACTGACGGTTCTATACAGATACAAAAATACTAGACCACCATCCTACAACATTACTACACTGCAACCCTGCAATTATACAACACTACCACTCTGACTCTCTACAACATCACCATGCTACCATGCAACCACAACACCCACTGCCAAACTACCATACAAACACACTAAGAACCACCAGTCATGACACCGTTCTGCCATGCAACCACAACACCATGCTGGTACATAACCATTCAACCACCCTACCAGACTACAATAATACTGTACTGCTACCATCAGTCATGCAACCACTCTACAATGCAACCACAACACCATACAAACACTCCACCATGCAACCACAATTACTAGCATGTATTATGCAACCACAATACAATGCAACCGCAACACCATGCAAACACTCTACCAAAATACCATGCAACTACTTTTTAATGCAACTTTGCAGCCACTCTACCATGCAACTACACCGCCCTGCCACTACATGACAATTCGACCACCCTACCACACCATCGCACTACTGAACTGCCAAACTGCCACACTTCCACCAGTCATGCAACCACTCTACCATCCAACCACAACACCCTGTTGCTACATGACCATTCAACCACCTTACCACTACTGTACGACGTAACTGCCACACCATCGTCAGTCATGCAACTACCAGTCATGCAACCACAATATATTGAAACGACTACACCCGGCAACCACAACACCATGAAACCACGACACCACAACATCACTTGACCATGCAACCACACCTACTACCACCAGTCTCTTCAAACCACTCTACCATGCAACCAAACTAACTACTACCAGTCATATCACCACACCTCTTTGCAACCTCATAGTGTCAAGTGATGTCTAACCTCGTCTGTTATGTGTTTATTAGCTTTATATGTCCCACATATATATATATATATATATGTCCCCATGTGAATGTCTAAAAGATTCCACAAACCACACTACCATGTAACCACATCCAGGGTCCCTGCTTTAAATCAGCATCACCTTCCAGTTTCATAATTAAGAACAGGCATTTAAAGGTTGGTACCCGAGTTTAAGGGAGGACCCCATGTTTTTAGAGGTCCTTTAAATATGACAAACTTGTTTAAAATCAGCCTCAGGCAGATGTCTAAGAAATTCTAACCCTTTTGCTCGACCAGTTTTTTAGGATTATCGTAAACAAGCTACAGCTGCGATACAAGAAACCATCAAAACTCTGATTATCATAAAAATGTAAAGACGTGTTTGATTTGAAGAGTTAAAATAAATGCTAGTTAATGATTTAGATTGTGAAGTTAAGTGAGAAAGTCTATCTGAGGCTTGAGTGCTGCAGGGTCCCATCCTTCAGCCTTGTTTTCCATCACTCTCTCTCTCTCTCTCTCTAATGCACTTTACTCTCTCAATCTTTCATCTCTTCCTCTAAACCTGTTCCTCTCTTCCTCTTCTCTCCACAATAGCGGCGCTTCTTGTGGGCAGGATCCTATAAAGCGTTCTCCGAGAGCCTCTCTAATGACCTCTGAGACCCGGATGCCCTGCCTCGGCTCCGGCTAATGGAGGGAATGCAATTAACTTCAACACTGGCACCTGAGTGGCTGGAGCGAGTGTGCGCGAGTGAGAGCGTTCGGAAGTCATAGATTACATATAATGGGATTACAGGGACTCAGGAAACACCAAATTATCAGATTACAGATGAGGAGTATGTGATTGTGTGTTTGAAACCTGCATTTTAAAGAGGAAAAGCAGCATTTGAAGGTAAAACGAGCGGATGGCGTTCGCTAATGGGGGTTTTATTTGATGATGCAGGAAAATAACGGTTTCAACAACACGACTGTCCTTTTGTCGGAGCAGAAATAATCCACTTAAATCTTTATTATATGTTTAACAGGCAAAGTAATCCAAAAAGTAACAGAGCATAATCAGATTATGTTGCTGAGTTCAGGCTAATCCCTGGGATTAGGGCGCTGATTGACGTTTTTCAGTCTGACGGGGTGCAGCATTGTCTTTTCGAGGAGTTGTGCATCGCTCTCTTAATCTGAGTGTGAACGTTTGAGGAGGCGAACGCGCACCTGCTCTACTTGCCTGTTAGTACGAGGGCATCTTAAGGGAGAGCGGAGTGGTGGTGGTGGAGGAGGAGGAAGATGGAGAGGGGGGGCTCTGTTGCTAGGCGACGGGGGGCAGCGTATCGTTGGAGGAGTCGGTAGCTGAGTGGTTATGTACTGCTCCAGGCTCTGGTCTCTGAGTGCCCCCCCACTCCCTCCTCACTCCCTCGCTTCCCATTCCTCCTGCACTACCACTACTACCACCACCACCACAACCACCACCAACCCCCCCCACCCTCCATCCTCCTCTTGCCCCGCTCAGCTCTACGGTTACCGTCGCTAGGCAACTGCCTCCGTTCTCTGCCAGTGTGCTCGGTAATTGGCCGGTGGCATGGCGGCGTGCCGTTGCCAGATCCAGCCAGCTGCACTGACTACTGCCTCCTCATGTTTCAGTGCCCCCCTCCTCTCCCTCTACTCCCCCCCACCCCAACACACATACACACATATGTACTCTCCACCCCCTTGCTCAGGTTGCTAGGCAACACATTCAGGCATCCTTGCCTCCCGGGAATTTCATTGGCCAGACCGGGATGGCCCAGACCTGCTGCTCACGGTGTTTCTGGAAAGTGAAGGCAGAATCAACAATGAGGGACAGGCATGGATAAATAGGACGGGATCGGGCTAATTCCTGGAATCTTTCAAACTTTGCTCTATATGTATACTCTTTATGTCAAAATAAACTCACTTCACACATTCATTTGGATTAAAAAGACTCGGTGAGATGGGAAGACATGGCCAAGTCCTGGTTTTTAGGTATGAAATAATACATGGATGTGTAAATTAAAGAGCCTGGCTAATTGCTGGAACTTCAAATTGACATTTCGTCTTCATACTCATTATTTTATCTGACATCATTTTGTGTCATCCATCATGCTGAAGCATACATTAAGCATTATCCCTGGATAGGTATGATGGGATATGGGTAATTCTTGGACCTTTTTGCCAAAATAATTTAATTTAACCTGCTAGAACTGTCATTTTCTGAACCTAATCCATATTCTAACCCATGTTTGAGATTCTGGGTTAAACTGATTTACCTAATCATAAAATGATACAGTCAAAGAGGATAAAAATGCAGATAAGGATTAGATTAGACTAATCCCTGAAATTTAAAATCAAAAACAATTCAACTTTCTATCCTTGATATAAAGTTTTATCTTAAATATTTCCAAATCATACTTTCTGGTTGTGTTTGTGTTAGTCAGAGAGACTAGCTAATTGCTGGAACTTTAAATTGACATTTACCCTCCATACTCATTATTTCATCTGACATCATTTTGTGTCATCCATCGTAGTGAAGCGCACATTAAAAAGCATTAACCCCTGGATAGGTATGATGGGATGGGGCTAATTCTTGGATCTTTTTGCCAAAATACTGTAATTTAACCTGCTAGAACTGTCATTTTCTGAACCTAATCCATATTCCATTTTTGAGATTCTGGGTAAAACTGATTTATCTAATCATAAAATGATACAGTCAGAGAGGATAGAAATGCAGATAAGGTTGAGATCAAACTAATCCCTGAAACTTTAAACCAAAAACAATTCAACTTTCTTTCGAAAACCATACTTTATAGTTGTGTTATTTGAAGAGGACGTGACTAAATCCTGGATTTTAATCACCAAAAGTCACAAAGTTTGTCTTATTTCTTAGCTGTAAAGTTGAAAAGACATAAATTAGAGGCAGATTTATGAATATTTTTTCAATTCAAGAATTCAATTAAAGGAGTAAAAGTCACGGATATGACTAATTCCTGGTCAAAGCAGAAGTGTCTTTATTTGAATTCATTAGCGCTGTTTTGACGCCGTTTCGTGACGGCTGACAGGAGGTCGTACCTTTTTCACTCCTTCATTTATCGCCTCATCACGACTGTCACCTGCTGCACCTTTCCTTTCACTGTCGAGCCATCCGTGATTCCTGTTAATGGAGTTCACACTGACAAGGCTGCTCTCAGTTCATAGGAAAAGCTTTTTTGTGTTGTTTTCTTCCTTGTGAGTTTTTGAAGGGTGTTAATATGAATCTCCAGGTCGACTAAGTGGCGTTAAACGTGTCAAAAAAAGGACAGAATGCACCTTTTACGAGCACACAAAAGTACTGTATGCCGTATTGATTTTTTACCTTCTGCTTCATGACCAAATCTGCAAACAATGAGCGAGTTTCTCCGCCAGCTGGTCCTCCAAATCAGGACTTTCTTCTTCTGCAGCAGTTCATCTATTGATTTCGCTTCTTTCTGATAATCACATTCAGCAAATTAAGCCCGTTTTTGTGCGGCGACCGCTCATGCGGAGCTGGTCAGTGTGTCAGTGCGGCTGATTCGGGTCCAGATGGGATGTGACTGATGCAGGTGACATGTTTGAAACTGGACGCAGCTGGCAGACCGTGGCTTCCTCGCCATTACGCCGTGTGACTGGCCTAATTATCACCACCCCCACCTCCTCCTCCTTCCTCTCTCCTTCCCTCTTCTGCCTTAATCCACTTCTCTCCTACTCCACTTCCCCTCGGTCTGGTCTCACCTCCTCTTCTCTCGCTCTCATCCACCTTGTCTCTAATCCCTCCTCCCCCCCTTTTTTATTTCATGCAACTCCTCTTCACTCGCTCCACTTCTCCGCTGCAAGTTCAGCAAGATCCCAGACCAGTGGGAGCTTCTCCATCACACTCTTCGACACAAACTTCGAATTCGCCAAATGCATCAAACATGAGCCCGAACGTATTTGCTTCCACCGTGGTTTTACCTTGTGATTGCCGGATGAGCGATAAAACCCACTGCTTATGCCTTGTTTTTTCTCCCTCCCCCAGGTGAGAAGCCGTACAAGTGCTCGTGGGAGGGCTGCGAGTGGCGATTCGCCCGGAGCGACGAGCTGACGAGGCACTACCGCAAACACACCGGCGCCAAGCCTTTTAAGTGCAACCACTGTGACAGGTCTGTCAAAACACATCTCAGCCTCCTTCTCCAGCTCCCTTCGATGTTTTCCCCCCCACTTTCCGAGGGGTTATTTGAAGTACTTCCACTCGCACAGCGGGCCCCGCGTCTCCCCATTGTGTTTAGTACACAGTTTGGTTTAGTAAAGCAGCGCTACAAGATGCTGCTAACACACCCCGACGTGTTTGGTGCTGACCCAGTTTGAAAGTGCGCTGGCAGGATTACTAATGTGCGTTCTTCTGCAACACATGCAAGACCAAACCTGCTCTGTGTTTCAATGGGAATCCAAACGCTTTCTACCCACATTAAACCTCTGCTGCATATTAATAGAGCATCCCTCTCACAGGCTGCTGCACGGCCTTGATTTGGAGGCTGTTTTCACTCTGGGACAGAGGTGTAAAATGACCGTAGAAGCCATTAGCGCCATCGCACATCACCGCTGTTGAATATGAATTACAACTTTTTTGAGCGATACTTTTTTAACCCTTAAAGGGATATTCAAGTGTAAAATTTAACTAAGGGTCAAACACACCATAACACTGACACGCCTTGAATTTTGCTGACTGCTTGCTTCTCTAGTCATACCAACTTAGTAACGACCGCAGGATAGCAATACACAGCAGTCTGAGGAGCCATAAACAAACCTCAACCAAAAAGCCACTCTATAGCCACAAATAATGTTCAGAACAGCACCTAACTTCATCATCAGTACATAAAGGGTCCCAGCCATAGTACTAGCCACCAAACATCTTTTTAACTTTGACTAATTTCCTAATTTTACCTACTCTCTTCCAGCAGCCACTTATGTGTAGCGAGACCTCAGGCCAGTCCATTACGGACTACAGCAGAGTTTCGCAGCTCAAGGAAGAACATTTATGATCATTGCTAGGGCCCGACCGATTGAATCAGCCAATTTTACCCCGTTTGAGACTAATTAGTGATCGTCCAAAACTCACTGATGTTCGCCGATATTTTCAGAAATAAAATGCGGGGAATAGGATTCGGTTTCACTTCGAAAATGTTCCACCATGTGAAAAGTTCCCCAACTTATCCTGTAGATGGCGCAGTGACCTCATGACAATCTTCATCCACTAACTACCTCTCTGAAGCAGGCAGCTCAGGGACGCACGGAGGAGAGTGGTCCGCCTCAACAGTAAATAAACCAGTTTGTAAAATACACAATAAGTCAACAAGTTTCAGTTCAACCCACTTCACGATGTTCCCTGCTGTGCTGGTCTCGGTCACGCCGAGTTAACAGTGAAGCACCATGTAATATGCAAGCTAAAATTAGAGTTAGCCATCTGCTATTAGCCTGCTACACTGTTAGCCGTGCCAGTAATGGTAGAATAAACAACAGTACACATTAGTGATCGAGCTACTTCTCTGACCGACGCAGCTCCATGTCTCCGGAAATGAGTAACATGAGTTAAGACGCGGAGGCACTGATAAAATCGGCCAATTAATTGGTATTTGATTTAATCGGTATTGGAATCAACCTAAAAAAATCCATATCGTCGGGCCCTAATCATAACTTCATGGAAATGCAATCAGACCGAGACACTGAGGCAGAAGAACTACCGCGTCTGCAGTGCAAAATGATTAATATAATGATTAAAAAAAATCTGTTTTTTGATGTAATTTTGCAAAATATCCTTAAATTTTCTAGTTTCTATTGTGAGCGTCAATATGCTGAAACTAATGATAGAAATCTCAGCTAACAAGTGCAAAAATAATGAAAACTATTCATATAATTTTTGATAAAACCGTTTATCTTTACTTTTTTAGAGCGGACATGTATTTGAAGAGTGTCCCCGGCCAATGTGACCCCAAATACAGATTACTGTTACTGTAAATAAACCCTCACAGTCCCCCTCTGATTGGAGAGACTTTCCCGTAAACCGGATCATTCCTGGTTTGATCCCTGTGATCCGAGACCAAGAGTGTCCTTGAGGGAGGTAAAAAGCGACCCCGGGAGCACTCTGCCACACATGAAATTCTTAAAAACATGACATTTTATCAGAGAAGGTGACGGTTTTGGGTATTTTTCACTCCTGTTATTGTTTTTTTCAAGAAACTGAACTCCTGCCCTTTTTGTTTACGGTCTAACAAACCTGAAAATATCTCTTTAATCTTCCGCTGAGGTGTCACTTTGAAGACTGACTCTGATGCCATTTACCCACCGCACACTGCTTCTTAATTAGTCGCCCCTGCTTCTGTTTAATTATGAACCACAGCAAAAATGTTAATTTGTAGTTCTCGCTCAACACGGCCCTGATGACAAAATCATCAAACATGTGGCGGCCATTACTGGCTTTGGAAAGACGGAGCAGAGCTCAGACGGAAAAATCTTTACTCCTGTTTTAATTACGCTCTCCTCCGGCTGTGATGAGGCTCGCTCTGACACCTCGGGGATCTCTGAGCAATATTGTCTGCAGGAGCTTCCGTAGTTTTTAAGGCGAAGGGCCCCAGGTGAAGATTTGGAGGATTATTTTGGTATGAAGCTACAAAAATCTATATTTCCGAAGAATACAAGAGTGTTTCCAAAATTGTGATGAATAAAATCCCCACCGAAAACTCATTTTAAGTGATTACTCATAACGTAACACTATCTTGTGTGCGCAAGATTACTTTATCTTGTGTCTCAAAAAAATCAATTTGGCCTCAAGTCAGTAAAAGTGAGTATAAAATAATGATCTTGTGTACTTGTTTGCACAATGTAATTAAATTGTGTGCAAGATAGTTATCTGGTGCACAGCATAATCATCTTGTGTGCACAAGATAACTTTATCTTATGCCCCAAAAAAATCAATTCGGCCTTAAGTCAGTAATTGTGAGCATAAGATAATTATCTTGTGTACTTGTTTACATAATATAATTAAATTGCGCGCAAGATACTTATTTTGTACACTGCATAATCATCTTGTGTGCACAAGATAATTATTCTGTGTGCACAAGACAAACTTTAGGGCTCAGGATAAAATTATCTTGTGCACATACTGTATGTTAAGTAGCTTATATTCACAGGATTATCATCTTGTGATCACAAGATACTTATCCTGTGATGCAACTTGGTTAAACAGGAATAAAACTTTTGTGTAGAATCTTGTGCACACACCTAAATATATCTTGTGCACAAATGTTAAGTAGCCTATATTCACAGGATTATCATTTTGTGATCACAAGATACTTATCCTGTGATGCAACTTGGTCGCACAGGATAAAAACTTATGTGTTCAAGATAAAATAATCTTCTGTGCAGAATCTTGTGCGCTCAATTTAATTAAAAAAGCACACAAGATACTAACTTGTGTTCAAAAGATAATAATGTTGGGCACATGCAATAATTAGCTTATGTCCACAGGATTATTGTCTTGTTAGGACAAGATAACTGCTGGTACAACTTGTGAACGTTAGGGTTCTAACATGCATACACTCATATTATAATTAAGATAGTAACTTGCTTTCACAAGATAATTATAGTTTGCATTATTATTATCATTATTATTATCAATATTATTATTATTTATCTTGTCCTGTTACAAAATTAAAGCTCCTGTGCAACACTTTTTTGTGTTAATTTTGGCGCCCCCTGTAGACCAATCAGTGTCTTTTGTATTTTACTCATTTTGATCTGTTTAAATCTAAATAATGTTTTTTATCCGCCTCAATGTTCACTTCTTTAACTTTTAAAGGGTGTAACAGGGTGTCACTGTTTTTTTTAGCCTGTGTCTTTAAGAGCCAAAAACCCCTTACTATATCTTTATTTCGCCATTTTAAAATACATATTAATTCATGAAGTTTAAGTTTCTTGTTTTTGTTTCTACAACTGTTGATTTTTTGTTGACACCAGTTTTAAATTAGCTCTTTCCACTGAGACAGAGGTGACTGTCAACATGAATCAGTGATCGTCCAAGAGGGGGAGTAACTCTGAAATGAGCCCCCACTCATCTGTCTACCTGTCACACCTGCATGTGCACCTTAGTGAGTGTGTGTTTGTTAGTGTGCACGCAAACAAACACACATAAGGTCAAATGAACGACTCAGGAGAGGTTTTATGAGTGTGTGTTTGTCACTGTGAGAGTGTGTGTGTGAGACAGATGGTAAAGTATGAGTCACGACTCGGGGGCACGACACCAGCTGGCACACCGTGGGTCCGCCCCCCTCACCCCGCCCCTCCTCACCCTCAATCTTCCAGCCCGTCTTCTCTGTCTCCCCTGTTTCCCCCTCTGCCTTCATCTCAGCAGGGTGTGTGTTTGTGAGTGTGTGATGGGCTGGAGGGGACGGCGAGGTTGGGCCCCCTTGTGACACATGACAGAGGTGGGCCCGAATTAGAGATGTGCCTGCAGGGGAGGGAGGGGAGGAGCGAGGAGGGGGTTACTGTATTTACTGTCTGTCCAGCTGATGCCTGATTAAGTTGACACCCTCCTGCCCTCTGCTCCCTCGTTCACACACTCACAGACACTCACAGACACACACATGTGCACGGATGACCGGGACACACACTCTCACAGTGAGGCGGGGTCCCTCAGGTGAAGAGGGATTTCTTTTTGTCCTTTCATAACGAGCACATGCATGATTTAGGAGGTCATATGTTCACTAAGTTACTGCAGTGGGATTGAAGAGGATGCACTGAAAAGAAAGCACCAGCATGTAGTAGAGTCCAAAAAAATTTTGTATTTTTGCAAAGGCTTTTTTAATGACATACAAAAACAATCAAGACTATCAGTGACAAGTTTGGCTTTTCTTATACAGTAGCTATAGTGGGAGAAAGGTCAAAGGAGCAGCCATGTTTTAAAATTTTTTAACATAGAATATTCACAATAAATGAAACCTTTTATAACAAAAAAAACTGAACAGGATAAGATTTTTGTCAAGAGAAACTTCCTAAGTAAGACCGGCAAAGGCTGAGGCACCAAAATTGATACAAAAAGTTCCTCACAGGAGCTTTAAAATAGCTTCAAAAGGGCTTAAAATATTGAGAATTGTATTCCAAAATTTTGAGAGAATTTAAAGCTACTGTAAGGAGTTTTTTAATAGACTGAAATTAATAATAGTGTCTTTTTGATGACAGACAAAAGCAAATAAGGCCATTTGTGAGAAGATTAACTATTAACATGCCTTAAAGTAGCATGAGGGGGTAGGTGTCATTGGAGCAGCTAAAGGAACAACACTTATTTTTTTCAATTTTACAGTCAAATATTTGACATTTCTTTTTGATAGATTACACTCCTAAAGAATATGGGGGACAAGGAAAGCAAAGACTGCTTTATCCACAGATTTGGACCCAAACAAAAAGTTCCTTACAGGAGCTTTAAAATATCGAAAAATGTATTCCAAAATTACGGAGTGAAAATTTGAGTGATTTTTAAAGCTACTGTGAGAATTTTTGTTAGATTGCACTACTGAAGAGTGTGGAGGATAAGGAAAGCAACGACAGTTTTGTCCACAGATTTGGACTCAAACGAAAAGTTCCTTACAGGAGCTTTAATTTTGGCTGCGATTTGTGGTCCGTCCTTTTCTGCCAAATATCACTCCGTCAAAACAAATTGAAATACTGTGAAACAAGCCTCCTTTTGAGCTTTTTTATGACGTTTACAACTAGACTGGCTGAACACAATGGTATTTTTTTGCTTATTTTCTTGAGATCCAACAAATTTCTTGGCTTTCTTTCCAAATCTGAAGGAACATTCAGAAAATGCAGCAATTTGGCATCAATTTGTAGTGTTTCCTTTTTCTGCCAAACATTATTAAACTGAACCACTTTGGTAAACTAGGAAACAAGTCTCCCTCTCAAATATTTCCCAACACTCTAATCACCCGAACACGCAGCTCCCAATTACCTCAAAGAAAGCAACACTTGCTTCCTCTTGGGAGCGGCGCTGTAGTATTAGTTCAGCAAAAAACACTGTTTATCCAGTAATAGTGATGAAAAAGTAGGTCTCTAAAATATGTAAGCATGCGTGGAATACACAAAACGCCAGCTGAAGCATACATTATGTCAATTTTTGGCAATCAAGTTGAAATAATCAACCTTCTTTAACACCCTCGCTGGAGAAAAATAGGCCAGTGTACTTCCAGGGTAATTTCGTGTCTCGCTCAGCAGCAATGCCCCAGCAATCCTGCAAGCCTGATTTCAGATGAGAGCCTTCGATTCATCTAATTTAGCTATCATTTTCCAGCACATGTTTCTGTGTGCTGCTTTTTTATTCCGCCCCCTCTTCCACACTCTTCCAACAGATCCATCTGCGCGCTCTCTAGTTATTCATGGCGCAGCTGAAGTCATTAGGAGTGCTGCTGAAAATGCTGATTATGAATTAGTTACACATATACTAATTGCGTGTGCATTAGTGGCTCAGCACTCACTAGCTAACAGCGACGTTTAGCTCAATCGACAAAACAAACTTCTTCCTCCTCCTCGCATTGGTAACAAGCTAACAAGCCGCTCTCTGTTTTCTCTCTCTCCCTTTGGTTGCAGGTGTTTCTCGCGGTCGGATCACTTGGCGCTACACATGAAGAGGCACATCTGAGGGGTTTGAGAGAGGTCAGCGGGAGTGGAAGAGAGGGGAAGGGGGAGTGGAAGGAGAGGGAGCATCATCTGCGGAGAAATAACACCACGGATCTAAGAGAGAGAGAGAGTGAGAGGGAGGCTGGGGGATGGACTCGACCAAACAACAGATTTCTGGATTGAGATTGAGGCGCCGCGCAGGGACGCCGACTGCAAACCGAAGCACAGACAGGCAGATAGACGCTCTGTCAATCTGCGCTCGAGCAGTTGGTCCATGATTCCACAGCGACACGTCACCACCTCGCAGATGCCTCCTGACGCGTGGACGACACAGACGCTCCATCCCGCCTCTTCGTGTGGCGATGGATGGCGGCCGACGTGCCTGGAGTTGGCAGCCCTTTCGCTGCGTTCGCCATTTCAGCAGCTGGACCGCTTCCAAACTGTCAGCCCTGCTTGTGCAGCGGCACTCCAAACAAAAGCACCAGCAAGTGCAACAAGGCCCAAATGGACCACTTGTGAAGCAGTGTAGCGTGTACCAGAGGGGCAACAGGTGTTTGTATTCATGGGTTTCACGAGGCGTCACGCCGCATTCATCGCCGATCTTTAGGACCAACCTGAGACGTCTGCGAGTGCTACTAGCTATGCTGTGTATGATGGAGTATCAGGGCCAGAGCTCGTAATTTCTCATCAAGTCCCAACTCTTCTTCCAAATTTACGACATTACTCGGAAATTTGCATGCAAACGGAATGCTCCACCTGCTGTTTACAACACAAACAAGGATTTTTAAGTTTATAAAGCTTGATAAGTGAAACTTAAACGCAAAGTTAAACATTAGTTGGCTGATTTTAATCTTGGGTCAAGCTTTGGAGCTCTGTATTGTGAAGAGAAACCTATTAAGAAGATTGTTGACACGGTAGATCGAGATAGGACAACATAGACAACTTTCCAGCGAAATTCAGGAGATGCTGTTTTACACTAGAGTGAAAATATCTCAAGTCATCTTCAAGTCATGCGATTGAAACCCATGAATATACACCAACCGCTCCTCTTGGAAATGCACCTAGAGCAGACCGTCTCCAACAGTAGAAAGAAAGATGGCTCTCCCCCCTGTTGTCATCAAAGGGTTGACCATCGTCTATTGGACGGGTAATACTTTCACGATTTTTCATCTGACCCCTGTCAAATCTATCAGCTGGGCCCATTTTTAAATCCCCCTTCTTCGATCGTAATGGAGGACTTGTTCGAACAGAGCGTTAGATTGGATTTCCAAGTCTTGAGGATGGGAGTGTGTTGCACTGATGTACTGTGAAGACTGATTGAGGTCATCTGGAGGACTGACTTGCTTTATGAACATCATCCATTGAGGGTTACGGTGGATGAGGCTAACTAATCTACTCTGGGAGAGACTGTCCATCTTCCAGAACCAAGCGTCCCCAGAGATGCTCGATGTCTCCTCAGAGTGTTTCCTCCTCTCCTGGATCTCCGCGGTTACGATACGTCGTCAGGAACTGTTGCACAATTGACTCTTTGCAAGCTTTTTTGTTTTTCTTTTTGTAAAAATACCCCCTTTTGTCCTGGACTGTGAGACAACTTGGGGACTCACCAAACGTTGGCTTTCACACGCCATACAAGTGTGGACGGCCACATGCACAAATCGAAAGCAGCGAGCCGACTGCGATAGCACACCCTACGTGAACAAGATCACTATGTATGATAAAGGCTATATCGTTTCTAAGAGAAGATTCTCCTATTTGTTCAAAACAGACATTGAGAGGACCATTTTGAAGAACACATTGGAAATAGATGCAGCCAAAAAACACAAGTGTCTACTCTGGATGCCTGAAATGATCTCTTTGGCCTTTGAGAGTGACGGGCAACCAGCTAGCCACCGGGTCGAGGAGGGTTTTGTCCCGTTCAAACCAACCATGCAGATCTCTTCCAGACTTAATCTCAGAGAAAAGCAGCATTCGACACTCTCCTAATCGGGCCCTATGCACATCCAAGAACATTCCTGCTGACTTCCTGACCATTCATATCTGTCTGAATGCAGATTTCCGCCCTGCTGGACTCTGAAGGACTTGAAGGAAGACACATGAGACAAATTCAATCAATTGGATGGCTCTCCTCAGAGCAAATCAATGTGAATGTATCTGTTGTTAGTCTGTACATGTTGCCAGGCCAATGAAAACCTTTGAGTGTGGTTGGTAAGATCATACCAGACGCCATTCGTGTTCATTCAGTCGTCTCCTTTCACATTAGAAATGAGTGGTTGGGCTTGGAATAACTAGCAAGTCACGGCTGGTGGCTTTTGACATTTAACTGGTCGTTCTGGACCAGCTCGAGGTCATGAGTGCAGATTTCCAGTGGGTGGTTGAAAATGGGTGCAGGGAGGACGGGATCTGCTCGGTCAGCAGTGATAACTGCCCTATCAGCTCATGAAACCACAATCGAGTGAAACCCACACACATGATACATGTTCATACGCTCCTGGAAAACTGGAATTAACCTTATCCATTAAGGCGAACTCATAAACTCTCACAAATTTGCTCTTCATATCTCACGTATGCCGTCAGAAAAAGGCTTTTGGATGACTCAACCCGTGCGCACACGAATTAAAAAAGGCAGCTCGGACAAAAGATTGTCAGGATTCTTGCAAAGTCGCTGGGGAAAAACTGTGTCAAGGTGTTTCTTCTTTATTTATTTAACAAGACGTTTTAATAGTTTGGAGGCAAAGCGAGGCACACAGCAGCCTGCTTTTTTGGCAAGTGAGACACAAAATTGATTTCGCTCTGTATACCAGAGGCGCATTTCAATTTCGGGTGTGAATGCAGCCCAGCTCAATCATATCTAGATCATGATCTGTCTGCAGCGCTGGAAGTAGACGCGGGAACACCCCCTGCATAAATTTCACACTCTAACTCACTTTGCTTGAGTTCGCAACAAACGTGGGTCATTTTACAACAAACATCAGGAGACAGGATCACCATTTCAACTGGTGCAAGTTAGTTTTTCGGCATACTGGGAAATCTGACGGTCAGCAGTTATTGTTTTTTTTTCATAAATATGGACGACATGACTCCATCTCCCCCGTGGAAAAAGTATAAAATTAAAGGAAAAAGACCAAGACATCCAATGGGATCCACACACCAACCGATTCCTTCTCGACCTTCAAAACTTACGCAAAACAGCAACCAATGGGATGGTTCCGACCTTAGCTAGCTTGTTTATCGATTTTGGTGGCGATTTCTGTTGATGCTACGATCGATAAGCTCTCAATCTTGATTAGGCCAATAAAAAGTGGATTTTAAGATACAATCGTTATATTAAGCCTACATTTAGCGATTAAGCCCTCTAATTATCGGCATCCACGTACGCTGTTCTAGTCAGGCCCAAAATCTTAATATATAAAGCTAGCAAGATCATCTTCGGATCCACAAAAAAATTGGGAAAAACTGGTGATCGGGATCCAAAATAAACTTGGTGCCACCTCACTTTAGCTTTCTCTACGATGCTAACTTTTACATATTGACCGGTTTCCCATCTGTTAACATGGAGGCTTTTAGAGCCATACCACAGCCGGTCAACAGGGGGAGCTCCTTCACTTGTAGGGAGCTGTCATGTCATCCACTATTTATGAAGCCATTGGCACGTACACTGTCACTGCTTTTGAAGCTCTTGTGCTCGATATCGGCGTCACTGAAAGTCTTAAAACACTGGTGAACATCTCGTAGTAAAAGATCCCGTTCTGACGAGAATGTCAAGAGCAGGTTCGTGGTTATCCCGCTAAGCCCGACTCTCCAAGCGGGAGCTCAAATGAAGGACAGCGGTTTAACCCCGGGGTTAAATTTGTATCATCATCATCAATGGCAGCTCTTCTTTGTGTGTTTCAGTATTTAAATGGGGCGCTCTCCTGTGGAAGTGAATGCTTTGCGAATGTGTGGGAATGTGTTCATACTCTGTACCGATCCCAAACAGCTGCGGATCTTGGACTGCAAACACTGAATGTGTTGTTGTTTTTCATGTTCGTGGAGACTTTGGGAAGCCGAGACATGTGAATAATGAAATGACAGGCAGTTTCAAATCTGGACTTGACATAAACACACACACACCCCTCCTTGCGAGTTTGCCTCCAGGATATCAAATGTGAATGTGTTTTTTTTTGTTTTTGTTTTTTTTGCGGGAAGGTTGTTTCATGTCGTCTCGGAGGATGCGGTTCGGTTCTGTGTCATCTTAATGAATGATTGTCAATTCTGCTGTGCCTGTGTGTGTTCTTCGTCTGTTTGTATTTGCACTCTGAATTTTTGGAGAGATCACTTGCATATCTGATGTTTTTTCTGTCCGCTTGTACACTACACTTCACACGGTGACCCCTGGGTGACGGAACACTGATCACAAAGTCTGTATAGTAGCTGTTTTTAGCACAAATGTACACACTTCGACATACATGCTACATCTGTCCACTTACACACATTACATACACGCACATGCTCCTTAACCCTTAGATGCATGGGTGATCGGACCCTACCTAACTGGTTTAAGTAGACCTGAATGAGAATTAATGTGTTTTATACCATTTTAAAGAAAAAACGAACTCAAAACAGCGATTGAAGTTTCACCAGTCCGTAATTAAAGCTCATGTCAGGAGTTTTTGCTTCGAACCTAGCTACTGACCACGAGCAAGAAGAAATGTCATCTCTTAAGGGTTTGACAATCTTGTAACTAGCTATTGTCACAATTGTTACAAGGCTAGCTAAAGGCACAAATAAAACGAAATATTGGTACTAGTGCAGGTTGTTTAGCTGGCTAGCTAAAACTTAAAAGCTCCAGTGTGGAAGTTTTTGGTGCCCCCTGTAGACAATGCAGTCAAAGAAATCTAATTTTGTTTACTTTTTACAGTGAAAATTTTTTATTTATCGTGAATAATAAAGACGAGCTAAAGGAACAAATAAAACAAAATATTGGTATTGTGCTAACAACAGAAGACGCATTTGCTAGTGCGCTAGCTAAGGCAACGCCAAAAAGGATGACTCAGCATTTTTTTAAAGTAACCTTGCCAGATTTAAAGTGAATGTGAAAATTACGTAATATTTATTTATTTATTTTTGTTGATTTTATTTATTTTTAATCTTTATTTCAAAATAAAAGCATAGCTGCACTGTTTTATCCTTAAACATATTAAAGCTCCTCTGAAGGGGTTTTATATGGTTAATAAAAGACTAAATTTTAGCATCTTTAAAAGAGATCAACAGAGACTGTTCTGCCCACAAGGGGATGCCAAAATCAACACGAACTGAAAGTTTCTTACAGGAGCTTTAATTATTCTAATTAAAATCTCCACACAGCTGTAATAAATATGATCCTGACCGCAACAGCTAATTTAAATCGAAGGTTGTTTAGCTAGCTAGCTAGCTAAAGCTTTAAAGCTCCCGGGTGGAACTTTTTGGCGCCCCCTGTAGACAATGCAGTCAAAGAAATTTAATCACAGTGAAAATTTTAATTTATTGTAAATATTACAGACTAGCTAATGGCATAAATAAAACAAAATATTGGTATTGTGCTAAAAACAGAAGACACGTTTGCTAGTGCGCTAGCTGAAGCAATGCCACAAGGGATGACTCTGCACTTTTTAAAAAAAATACCTTGCAAGATTTGTAGCGAATGCAAAATGACGTTATTTGTATTTATTTATTTTTTCTTAATTTATTTATTTTTGATTTATACTTCAAAATAAAAGCCGAGGTTTTAAAATGTTAATAAAATAGACTGAAAATTCAAGCATCTAGAGGAGGACTGTTCTGTCCATAAGGGGGCGCTAAAATCGACACAAACTGAAAGTTTTAATTATTCAAATTAAGATATCCTAACATCATCTTAAACACAGCTGTAATGAATATAATCCTAACAGCTCCTAACTTTAAAGCTCCAGAGTGTAACTTTTTGGCGCCCCCTGTTGACAATGCAGACTTAGAAATCTAATATTGTCGACTTTTTACAGTCAAAAGTTTCATTTATTGTGAATATTTCATGTAAAAATTGTAAAAACGGGGCTTCAGCTGCTCAGCTGACACCTACCCTTCGCACCATGAGGATGTAAAAATTGTCAATCTGGACGCTGATGGTCTTGTTTGCTTTTATAGTTCCTTATAAGGGCAATCATAAAAATTTGAGTGCATTTTAGTGATGTCAAAACTTCCTTACAGGAGCTTTAAATGCGTGATACTTTTCATTGACATAAAAACGGCCTCACTGGGTCATTTTCTGATCGTTGTGCATCTAAGGGTTGAAGACAAATCCACATTCATGCAGAAGCACATCCTTAAATCCACACCAACACTTGAAGGTACTCCCAAGTACGCTCACGCACCCTCACTCCGTTCTCCTTGTGTGTTTTTTCACCGTTTTTCATGCCATCTTGTGAGAGTCAGAGATCCAAACTGCAGCTCTCGCTCTCAGTAGAGGAAAAGAGGGTGGGCGGGGGAGGGGAAGGGGGAAACAGGGGAGGATGTGGAGAAATAGAGGAGGTAGGGGGGGGGCAGCATTACTATGTGTGACACCACCTCTGTTTCCACCAGGTCTGAATTTCAAATCAAACGCACCCCCCTTTTTTTTCTACTAGCATTCCCTCACCGCCGCAAAAAACCACCCACCACCCCATCCCCCGCCTCCGCCGCCACCACCTCCATTTTCTCAGATATGATCCCTTTCAACTGTCCGACTTCCCCCTACTCTCTCTCTCTCTCTCTCTCTCCCCCCTCTGTCGTCTTTCTCCTTTTCTTTCGCTGTACAAAGTGTTTCAAATTTATCATTTGTATATTATGACGTATGGGTACGATAATGTTCTTTATTATGGATAAAAATGAGAAAGATTTATTTTTGTTACCGGTTTGTTTCATAATTCCTTTTTTAAATTGGTATTGTAATATCTCTATGCAAGGAACTGTTCGGTGAATCGTTTTTATTTAAGAATGTAATTATGTGTAATAAATGGTAGAAGCAGTTTGGCATGGAGTATTCATGGTTCTTGGCTGGTCTGTCAATGCCGGGGCAACAATACGCACCTAATCACTCATCCCTCCTGCAGAATATTCCTGATTTCCTCTCCGATCTCAATCACCGCGCCATTCAGGTTGCTCACAATGAGCCCCCGGAGCACATTAGCATACCCCTCTGCTGCTAACCTCACTGACCGGACAACTTCTAAAGCACGCCAGCAGAATTTTCCCTTCTTTTCTCTTTTTTTTTTTTTAGAGGTAAATTTGCATCCCAACTGGGCTTAAGTGGGCTGGGAAATTCATTTACGCCCTCCTTTTTTCTGCTATTTGCAGCAAACCTCTCTTGGACGCTCTTTAAAAAAAGCCTCTGATTTATCGCCGCTTTTGATCAAACTCAGGAAAACGGGCCAAAATACCTTCACTCTGCTTGAGCGCGCCGTCTCCGAGGGAGCCGCGGCATGTTAATTACATCTGTTACCAACCAAGGTGATGACTTATCCGCTCCTCCTGCCTTTTGACCATGACTAGCTGATAAAAGGGTAATCGAATAACTAATGGCTAATTAGGGAGTAATTACTCCCTAGTAAATGGCCCTATTCAGTGTATTAATTCTCCTTGGGTCTGGCAGTGAGAAAGTCCCATAAGGTTTTTTGTTTCATTTAATGCTCCCTAATTGAAATGGGCACCCTCATCAAGAAGCTTACATGTATCTGTCGAACTTAATGTTCTTTTATCTGTAATTACAGACAGGCCCGTATTATCTACCGCGCTACACCTACTGCGTCAATCCCAGAGACACGTTATGAAATTAGAGGCGATGGAGTCATTTTTCAATAAAGGTCGCACGTCCCGCGAGCGCTTTTCGATCGTCATTTCCACTCGGCGTGATGGAAATGGGCTTGTATGTGAGTTCACAGCAGAGCTAAATGGTCTTAATGTGTTTCAGCAGAGAGGGGGGCCGCGTGTTCGCCAAAGCGGGGTTGGCGCCGTCGAGCCGGGTCTGCAGATGTCCCAACAAGATGGTGAGAGGAGAACGGTTTTAGCTTTAGTGAGGTGAGTTGACTGTGCAAACATGTACTTCGGATCCACATCAGATCTACCTTTAATAATCGGGCTTACCCAGGAGTTCCACCGCATTCGGAACAGCTGTGATTTTCACCGTCCACCAATTCCTACCGGATCCGTTTGTGGCAGATTACAGACAGCAGGAATCGTGAGAACTCACAAGAACCCGCAGATTCACGTGCAATTGCGCGAAAAGTTGTCTCTTTAGCCACATGGGCTAACCATATAAGCAGTAGATTGCGTCCTTCCAGAGGAGGAAATCTACTTCTAGACTTCTAGAATCAGCATCTCCTCATCCATGGTGTCATCGGGATGAAATGCTGACTAAAAACCTTTCACATGTTAGTGAAATAGAACTCTTGCATGGAAAGAAGCCGGTGGAAACTGACATTTAACTTGAATGTTTACGATCAGCTCTGATCGGTGGATACGGCCTTTTCGTAGACGTTCTGGATGCGGTGGAAATTGGGGGTTACGATGAGTGCAGCTACATGGATTTCATTTGAGGTGGTTGTGGTTGTGGGGGTCACTGGTTCCTAATAACTGTTCATCAGGACTGTGCGCTACATGCTTACCCACGCTTTCTACCTACTCGGCGACCATAATCACCATTGGTCTGGACGACTCACAACATTTTATTTCATTCTTGAAATGCTAAAACTGGCAACGTTTCCGGGGACAGTTTTAGCCGGGGACAGGTCATCCAAACAGGGACTGTCTCCAGAAATTGGGGACATCTCAATTTGAGTCGGTTTGTTAAGAACCCAATTGTTGTGTTTGTGTATATCTTGATTTCAGATACTGGAATAAGCTCTGATCTGGATTTTAACTAACTGATTTGGTAAACTGGAGAATCCTGAAAGTAAACAAGATACTGTTGAAAAACAGACATGATAGGTGAGTTTGAATTTAGTTGGAAGTTGAGATGAAGAAAGTGGAGAAGTCGTCATCCGAAGTTGGTAGAATTGGTAGAATTGCTATCATCATAACCTAGGGTGACCATACGTCCTCCTTTACCCGGACATGTCCTCTTTTTGGGGGGCTGTCCAGCCTTGTCCAGGGGAGTTTATAAAATCCTTCGATGTCCGGGATTTTGTGTGGAAGTTTTGAGTTTGTGTAGCGTGGACTTACCGAGTCAGAAACGCATAAAAAAACACTCAACCCGTCCTGAAGAATCCTCAAATTTGACTTTGCACGACTCTACAACTCTGCCCCGTGTCGTAATGTCCTCTTTGTAGGATTCAGAATATGCTCACTCTATCGTAACCTGACCATTGCATGCCACTGCGACCTCAACTAATTCACACAGTGATAAATTTCTGTGATAGTGGAGATTGTGCTTCAATCAAAGCTGACTTTAGTAGACACTTACAACGCTTAAACATCAGAGAAACTTGTTGTGGGAGTATTTTGAGTCTGTGGGGCACAACCTTAACTCTAAATAACGAGCAAACAGATCCAGTTTTTGTCGTTTTTCACACTCTAAACTGTAAATATGTCGGCAGAAAGGAAGAGGAAAGGACAACGAAACCAGCAGATATCATTATCTGAGGATTGCGATGGCGTGTACCTGATGTAATACCAGCAAGTTTTCAGTAAGTATATCCTTAAACCGAGTCGGACCACACGTGTCTCGCTCAGTTCCCTCTTTTTCCAATCGCCGTTGACAGATGGTGAATCGATGTGCAGACACACAGCGGAAAGAGGTGGATTTGTCTCTCGGTTAATTACAATGGGGGGATCCCGAGCAGAATAATCTGAATAATAGAAAAGCCGGGTTGATAAACAGGACTGTTGAACGCTTGCTTACATGTACTCAGTCACCATGTCGCCTCTGTTGTTCCTGTTCGTTTAACATCAGGCGATAGCATCTATGTAAATTCTCGAGGATAATTGGATTAAAACACGCCGTGATATTATCTCGTCACGGCGTGAATGTAAAGCATTTTGGTTATTATTCAAAGCTCTTGATCTTAATCTGTGTACATACTGTTTACGTGGTCGCCTCTTTTTTCGTTTTACGGCGCTGAAAAACCCGATCGAAGAGAAAACAGTCGGTTTCTCGAATTCCTCGCTCATTGTTTCCACCTCTTCTCGGCCTTGAGCGTCTGCCGTCTCGGCTCGGCCTTTCAGCGCCCGAACACCTGTGCACATTCCAGAAACGCCGCCTTTGTCTCCCGTAGAATGATTCAGCTGCAGTTCGCTGCCGTTGAAGGACGGTACAAACTGGCGTGACGTCGCCTGGATTGCAAAGACGAAAAGAAAGACGGATTCTTCGGGTGAGGGAGGGATTCACAATAAGGGCTCCTTTTTTTTTTTTTTTTCTTTCTCCGGGTTGTGCAACAGAAGATTTCACCGAGGGAGCTGCCAATGCCTGTGGGTGTCTTGTAGGCGTTTGGCAGCCTTATAGGGACGTTATTGTCACATCTGGCAACGTGGGGATGCCAGCGCACTACAAGTTTAAAGCCCCCCTCACAATATCCTCTTCCATGCTTACTCTGCTGGTGATAACAAGAACTCTTTTCTCAGATTACATGGCGGCTAATCTACGAAAAAGAGAGAAAAAAACGAGCTCCAATTGGAAACGGTGTAAGTAGAGTTCATCAAAAACAGGATTGAGGCTCGTCCTACGAAGGGTTGTGAACCATGGATTCTTTGGTTTCATGCCATGAGCAGCCAAGTGCTTAGGTATTTCCAATTATAGGGAATATGTCGAGGCGGCCCTCGGTAATTAAAGCCTAATCATGCTGCTGGATTCAGAGAAGCATCCTCATCAAGCTTTCATTAGTCTGCCTCCTCGTGATGCCCGGCAGCCACCCAACCCCCTTCAGGAATGCTCAGATGGCCTTTTCCCCAAACCAGATCCACTTCTTTTTCTGCTCTACTATTGCCTTTGATACAAATCTTACATTACATAACAGCGAAATCAAACAATCAAAGCCAGTGTTCATCTCTTTTTATTGCCCAGGAACCAATTTTAATCCATTTTTAATAGGTTACACAACAAAAAGTTTACTTGACGATTATGGGAAAACGTATTTTGAGATATTAAAGGCTAAAAATTGGACTGAAATCTGTCAGTAAAGTAGAAAAATAGACTCTAACAGGTTAAATTTGGGTCAAACTGTGTGAGAGAAAGTGTATTAATTCCCCTCATGTGCAGCAGCTCATAAATTAAATTGTCGCCTGAGATCCCGAATCTTAAAAAACCACAAGACCCCATAAAGGATAGTTTGTCATCGACGTAAAACAGTTTCAACGATCAGGAAAAGGTGATTTATTAACAAGCGTCTGTGCCTGTTTCTCCCTCCAGCTCCTGAATTCTTCTCCTCAGATTTATTTGAATAAAACTAAAGCCGAGAGCTGGAGTTCAGAGAGAGAGAGCTGGGTAAGCTGGTGGTCTTCAGCTCTGTGAGAGATCAACCAGAGCGCCGTGTGAGAGCACCTGGCTCGGCTCGACGCTGCCGGTTTGACAGACAGCAAAGACACCTGGAAAGCCGGAGAGAGAGGGAGGGAGCTACTGCTGCTCTACAGGGCCATGCATTATGCACAAGACTCTCTCTCTTCCTCTTTCTCTTTCTCTCTCTCTCTCTCTTTTCCTCTGCCCCCCTCTCTGCAGTAAAAATAGATCAACAGACCTGAGCGTTCAGCTCTTTTTCATGCCTCTCACTTTCACTTGGATCTCACCAGGTGCGGCGGCTGTTGGCTCCCCGACTCGCGCTCCTTCGCCCGAGTGTTTGTGTACCCGCGCTCGTGTTTAAACACGCGTGTGTTTGCACACACTTTGGAGCGTGTGTGTGGATACGCACGTGAGCTGAATGTGCGCGCCGACTGGAGTGAGACGTTTTTATCAGTGTGCCACTGCACTTGGGTTTTAATAAAAGGGGGATATTAGTTTCACAGTGGTGGTGTTGTTATTGTGAGAGAGGATGGGATAAGGGATCCTCGGTGGCATGAAATTTGTAAAACCTGCAATATGACTTCACGTTAAGGATAGAAGTACACAGGTGTCACATTTTTGAAGTCCTCTGAGAACAGGATCCAGTTTTTGACTGGAAACAGCAGTAACCCCCAATTTCCACCGCATCCAGAACGGCTACGAAAAGGCCGTATCTGCCGATCGTAGTTGTTCGTAACCATTCAAGTTAATGTGTCAATTTCCACCGGCTTCTTTCCGTTCCGTTGCAGCTTGCTGGACTCCGTGGCTGATTGCAAGAGTTTTATTTTTTTCAGACGCCGGAGCATGCCGGATAAATTCAGCACAGATTAACCCGTGCTGGATAGGAAGTCGGGCACAGACACAAAATAAAACATCTGGCTTCTTTTCAAAATAAAACATTTGTTCGTATTTCATACCATGCAAACAGGCAGGGATGAACAAGTGAAAGGTTTTTAGACAGCATTTTATCCCGATGACACCATGGATGAGGAGATGCTGATTCTAGAAGTCTAGAAGTAGATTTCCTCCTCTGGAGGGACGCAATCTACTGCTTATATGGTTAACCTCTGTCCCTAAAGACAACTTATCATGCAATTTCACGTGAATCCGTGGGCTCTCATGAGTTCTCGCGATTACCGCTGTCTGTAATCCGCCAAGAAATTCGCCTCATCAACAGATCTGTTAGGAATTGGCCACTGTTCCAGATCGGAGCCGTTCTTGATGCGGTGAAAATTTGGGGTTAAGTGTATTTGAAAGGATCCCATTGGGAACTGGACACTTTAAATTCAAAATATTTTACTTTAAGTTGTAATTTTAGAGTTGGCGAGTCCTCCAGGAGAACGAAAATGGAGCGGACAAACTATATCATGAATCTTTTCAACATTTGAACATCATTGGCAACTGAAATCCACATCTTTGTATGCAGCAGCATCCTGCAAACACATATGTGTAAAGGTCCCCCCTGTTGCTGAGAGCAGAGGCTCCCTGAAGACCATTGATCCGTGTCTATGACCACAGAGGTCCCCGGCTCCGCCCTGATTGCCATCCAAGCTGCTAATTAAACAGTCCTGCTTAACGAGTTCGCGTTGATAACGAGCTTGGAAGGAAAGGTCACCCCGTCAGGCTCGTTTCAAGTGGACACTGTCGTTAACGAGGCTGCCAGAGGACAGGTACACACACACACACAAACACACACATGCAAGAGGCTCATTATCTTAAAGCTAAAGCAGGATTCAAAGAACATGTTTGAGAGTGGATATTAGTTATGATAAAACCAGATTTAAAGGGATATTCTGGTGTAAAATTGATTTAGGGGTCAAACACACCGTAACACCGAGTTAGACACCCCCTCCAGAGATGAATGTTGCCGACCGCTTGCTTCTCTAGTTATACCAACTTTAGAAACGACCGCAGGATAGCAATACAGAGAGCCACACACTCAACCAAAACGCCACTCTATAGCCACAAATAATGCTCAGAACAGCACCTAACTTCATCAACAGGACATATAGGGTCCTAGCCACCAAACATCTTTTTAACTTTGCCTAACTTCTTAAGTAAAGAGACTAAACACAACTCACCTACTCTCTTCCAGCAGCTGCTTGTTTGCAGTGAGACCTCGGGCCAGTTCATTACAGACAACAGCGGGGTGACGCAGCTCAAGGAAGAACATTTATTATCATTTCTTCTTGGAAATGATAAAGAAATGATCATAAATGTTCTTCCTTGAGCTCCATCAGCCCACAGCAGTCTGTCATGGACTGGCCTGAGGTCTCACTACAAACAAGTGGCTGCTGGAAGAGAGTAGGTGAGTTGTGTTTAGTCTCTTAGCTAAAGAAATCAGGCAAAGTTAAAAAGATGTTTGTTGGCTAGTACTATTGCTGTGACCCTATATGTCCTGTTGATGAAGTTAGGTGCTGTTCTGAGCATTATTAGTGGCTATAGAGTGGCATTTGGTTTCGGGTTGGACGTGGAGATGTAGACCGCTGTGTATTGCTATCGTGCGGTTGTTTCTAAAGTTGGTATAACTAGAGAAGCAAGCGGTCGGCAACATTCATCTCTTGAGGGGGTGTCTAACTCTGTGTTACGATGTGTTAGACCCTAACTTAATTATACGCCGGAATATCCCTTTAACACACTGCTGGAACAAAGACGACTTCTTTTTCAGCTTAGATAAACTTTTTTAATTTTGCACCGTTTCTGTCTTTTCCTGCAACATTGACCCTCTTTAAAGAATACTTTGTGACCCAACAATCGCACATATGATACAAATAAACCTTGAATTCCCTGTCCTTCATAACATCCTGCATCTGACCATCATCACATAAAAATTAGACATTTAATTACTAAAGAAATTCTTACTGTAATCTAACAGCCCTTAACTAAAGATTAGAGGCAGGTTTCACAGACTGAGCAGAGTCTTCCTCAGCCTGCAAATGTCCACATGACACACAAACCCAGAGCCGGGCGCACTAACCACGACCTATATATACTATCTGGCCTCCTCATCATTTATCTTACAGCGGCAGAATCAGGATAGATTGGTTCAATTAGACTGGCCTTTAATGTAATCTGTTTAATCCATTTCTATCATCAAAGCCAATACCTACCTCTCTCCTCGGAGAGCGGGATTAGCCCCTCCGAGTGCATCTCACCAGCAAGCCGGCGTCTCGGCTATAAAAAAAACGCAGCCTTCGGAGTCGCCGAGATCTCCTCCATATTTGCTCTTTACAGCCGGTCTGCGGAGCAAACACAGTGTCTGGAGTGAAGTTTTAATGGGCGAGGATTTAAGATGTTCATATCCGAGCGGAGATTGCAAACGCTGTTTGGCACAATGCACAGTTGGACCGTAAAAAAACAGGAGGAGTTTGACTTTTGCTTTCCCTTTCTTTGCACAGATTGCAGAGCTGGTTTCATACCTGGACATAAAAAACGCAGTATGTGGTCGCACGAGATAATGCGTCTTTTATTATTAAGGTTGTTTCTGCATTATTTCTTCATTAAGAACAAATATAGCGTTAAAAAACGATGAGCTCACTCACCTACGCCAGAGATATCTGGTTTTAAAAGGAAGTTTTTTCCTGCACTTTTGTAGTTTTGGTTAAGCGCTGCAGAATCAAAATGTTTGTGATACAGTTGCCACGGTAACTGTCAGCTCTTCACAATGATATAAATTCTGCGTTACAGTTACCTCGAAAGTCAAATGTCGGGTTAGCAGCGTTTTGGTTACCAAGTCAGAAAAAAGCGAAATCGGAGGCCTGAAACAAGATGGCTACATCTACGAAGAGTTATTTTTGCGCTTGCCTCATATTCAGACAAGACAAGCGCTAAAATAACTCTTCGTAGATGTAGCCACCTTGTATCCGCCTCCGATTTTGTTTTTTCTGACTTGGAAACTGAAATGATGGTAACTCGAGTGTGATGTTATTTTCAGCGCCAACATCTGACTTCCATTGTAACTCCAACTCAGCATATGAAACATTTGGCCTGGTGCTGGTTCGGGTTCTCCTGGAGCACTTTCCAAGTTTTAGGTGTTTGTTTCTTTGTTCTGTTTACATCTGACTACGCCTCCTCCTTTTAGACAGCCAATCAGCACAGTCCCTCATCAATAAAGCATCCTTGCCCACTTAGCCATGAGGTTAGAAACTGAGAGGCTGCAGATCATCATTAGAAGCTGATTTTATACATCATTTCCAGCTCACATCCCTCCAAAATATCGAAAAAGAACCGATCCAAGCAGCTTCAGATCCAATTTCAATGCCTCCTTTTCCCCATTTGTGGGTTCCCTTACTACCTTATTGAAAAAGTGTCTTTCAGGGCCCGTGGGGGACTGTGAAACCTGTTCAAAATCCATGACAAATTCCTCCCCCCAAAATGCACGGCTGTCAATGCGGCAACGAGACTGTTTTCCAAATTCATGGATTTCATCCAACAGCTGCAATCTGCTTTTACCTGCTGAGATTTCCGCGGGGAAGTGGGATTTTATTCTCAATACCCATCTATCCATCCCCCTTCCCTGCACGTCTCCGCGCTGGCGCTGTCAGAAGAAAGAGGATGCACAGGTATTTACTACTGCTGCTATTTTAGGCTGCAAATGCATTTTTCGAGACACTCTTCTTACGCTCCGTCGAGCTGTTATTTACCGGGTAGAATTTAGGATTCTTCCTCTGCACCTGCCTTGGTGACAAAAACAGTTTAAGCGCACTATTTCAGATATTTTCTGCTCCTCCTCGTGTGGGTTACCTGGGTGATTGCCTTCCAGGAGAATTCCCCACGCGGCATTAGCAACACTGCTCGTCACAGTCGATGGAAGCGCTCCCATAGCTCTTTTTACTGTGTCTGGATTGCCTGCAGATATTAAAGCAATACATGAGGCGGCTTGTCTGAGCCCATTGACTTTGTGTTTTTAATGGCTTCCCTCTCTCTCTCTCTCTTTCTCTCTCTGTGTGAGGCACTTTAATAAGACTTGTTCGGAAAAAGAGTGAAGTCTGGGTGGGCTGAAACATCCTCCACAGACTGTGATTTGAGCAGAGCTGACAGGTTTGATCAGAGTTGATTGATTTGACGATTTGAGGCAGGGCTGCGCGTAGCAACATGGCGGGGTGAAAGGGTTGGGGTCCCTGTGGCTTCTGCAACCCCCTCTACTTAGTTGACACAAGCCCAATTGCAAAGCATATCTGACAGGGGTTATTGATTAGGCGAAACGGGAAGGATCAATGCTTGCTGATTGGGCATAAAGTACGGGGCGAAATCTGTTCATGGGAGGCCGACACACATTGTTTTATTTATAGATGCTGAGGAACATATGCTCAGTGACCTTAAATATTACTGGTATTGATCTCTCGTCAGCAATTATTCCATCAACGTTTCACCAGATCAACCTGAGTTTCATCAGTAATTAATGTAACATGTATTCAAACCCTTTTATGCTGAACAAAAGAGGACCCAGAATAGAGCCTTGGGGAACTCCGAACCATTTTCAATTGTTAAAGCTCCCATAATATGTTTCTTAAGCCTAATAAGACACTTTCTACTAAAACTAAATTCCAAAAGACTGTTAAATAAATGGATTTTTGCTGTTTAAATGCAGAGGACTTTATTCTTGTTTAATCAAAACTAAATCTTGTTTAATTAAAAAGTTTTCTCTCTGAGGTTGAGGCTTTTTCCTTAAAAGTTTTTTCCTGATGCAAATTTTCTTTTTTTTCCTCACAATTAAATGGTTTAGTACAAAAATTACTTTATCCCCATAAAACTATGACTGCGTTGCCTTAACATTACGACCAAATTTTTGAAATATTAGGATGTTAGTGTAATAATTGCGGCTTTTCTTCATAAAATAACAAAATAATTACAGCTAAATATTATAAAATTATAGCTTTGGTCCTAAAAATATAGTTTTTTTTTCTTTTTGAGTATATTTTGGTCAATTTTTGCAGCTATTGATAGGACAGTGTGGTAATATGGGAAGATGAAGGGAGAGGGGGGAGGACATGGAGCACGTGGTTGGGGCTGGACTTGAACCCACAACCGCTGTGAGGACCATGGTTCCCATACATGGGGCGCACTAACCCGCTATGGGTCATCTGTGCACTCCTTAAAGTGAAAAAAAAAGAAAAAGAAAAAAGGGAAAAAGAAAAAAAGAAACAGAAAAAATGGGGGAAAAAAAGAAGAAAAAAGAAAAAAAAAGAAAAAAGGAAAAAAAAAAAGAAAAATGGAAAAAAAGAAAAAAAAGTGGTTTTAGTTCTGTAAAATTATGGCTTGAAACCCAAAAATGACATCTTTAAATTTACAGGTTTTTTTCCCCGTAAAATTACGGTGCCTTTCTTTAAAATTTATGATTTTATTCTGATAAAAATTTCAGCTTTAGTCCCATTAAATTACATTTTTTTTCCTTTTAAATTACAGCACTTCTCCTTTAAAACTATGACTCATTTCCTCTAATTTTACAGCCTTGTTCTCACAATATTACAGCTGTAATCCCTTTAAATCAATGACCCTATCCTCATAAAACTATGACTTTTTTCCAAAAATCTCTACTCTCAACATTTGAGACAAGATGAATTATTTTTTTTAATCATAGTAGTCACAGTTGGAGTCAAAACTGACTGTTCAAACAAAGTTAAATGAATTTTTTTTTAACATTTTTAACCATTAAAACCACAAACTGAATTTCTAGAGTTGTCTGTTTCCCAGTAGATCCCATTCCAGACCTCCACTGGAAACTCAGAGTGGGAAAAAAAATGAAAGGAGCAGCATTAGGCAAAGAAGCTTTTCAGCTTTTGACCAAACCTATTCAAGACTGTTTAAGGGATTATAACTGAAATAATTCCTAATATGCTTTGAACTGTATGCTTGACATTTCAATAATAACTCCAAAATAGATTTATGACTATCTGAGGGGAAATTACTAACACAAACAGACAAGCTTTAAAATGAGAAGAATTGGCATCATTTTTGTGTATAAGTTAATCAGACGTATATTTTTACCCACACACTTCCTCGCTGCGAATACCCATGTGATCATGTAGCCCAAGGCGAACACATCAGTATGCCAAAGAAAAGCATGCAAATGGAGATTAAACAAGGGAGTGAATTGATGATCTCAGTGCAGGAACTGATATCAACCCTGAATTCAGCTGCTCTGGATCTCCTATTGTTGATTTGTATGCTTTTACTGCCACCTGCTGGTATGAGTGAGTAAGTGCGTGCAAAAAAAATTTGGAAAAACCAAATTCATCCAGGTCATGGTTATCTACTTCCTCGTTAAAAGGGTGACTGGACTTGTTTGAGGTTGTTGACCCGGTTTCTTCAGGTTTCATGATGTTGGATTTCCATGACAAACCAAAGATTCAATCCTTCAATCATAAAGTCCAGCTGTAAACTCTTGATTACTTATTGTTGGTTATGGTAGTCCGGCATGATGATGCGTATCTGGTAGTTAATGTGTAACTCTGGTGCTTTTATAAAGAGCATACTGAAGTGCAGAGTCATTGTTTTCTCTCAGTTCGGCGCTTCGGCACAGTTTAAAAATGCCTGTGCAGCTCTTTGAGGGGAAAGATCACGCAGCAGCTTACCTGCAGTACAGAGTGGCGCCCCATGAATTAATCAGCAGGATTATGAGCTTCATGGAAAAGGGGGTAAGTGTTCAGGTGAGAGGTTTAAAAGTTTGAACAGGGTGTGCATATGAATGAATCGACACTGTCTGAGCTCATCTGTGGATGAGGGAGGATTTTAATAGTAATTTACAACAAAATCAGTTTTTCAGTTAGATTTTTTAAAATATCAAGTTTTGCTCATTCATTCAGTATTTAGAAGTTGTGTGCATCACCTATGAAGGCGAACTTTGACCTGAGCTTGGGTTAAAATATAACTAATAAGTATTATATCATCAGTGGGTGATAAGATAAATATAAAACCAAAAAATCAAAATGTCCTTAATATTAAACAAATATATACGTATATATATATATGTATATATATATATATATATATATATATATATATATATATATATATATATACATATACATATATATATATATATATATACATATACATATATATATATATATATATATATATATATATATATATATATATATATATATAATACTGTATATATATATAGAACATTTGTCATACTCAAGCTGATATATCCAATACTATACCTTATATATCTATATCTATATATCAAATATTATAATATGAATATCTAAACTCAAATGTATACACACAGAACAATATAAATATATTTATATTTAAATATATATTTATTGGTATTTTCAGACATGTATAATTCAGATTATTTACATTTGTCTGTGGAGCCTTAGACTGAAGTTTCAGGACCTTAATTCTGGTGCACTGTCCACATCAAACTGTAGGAACTAACTTAGACTGGTTGTTTGCTTCCTCCCCATGACATGTGACCAACAGGTCCAAACCAACTGAAATATTATCCCAGACATAACTGAATTAAAAAAGATTTGAATTGCTTAAATATGACTATTATTGGTGCATAGAGACAGTTTCATGAATGACAAGACTCTCATCCGAAAGCTTATAAATGCATAACTATATACATGTTACATTCTTCATTTCAGAAGTCAAATCGGTTCAACTTTGCAGTAGATGTGGGCTGCGGTTCCGGTCAAGGGACGGTCCTCCTGGCTCCGTATTTCACCAAGGTTGTCGGCACAGACATCAGCCAGGCCCAGCTGGAGATGGCACAGACCAATAGTAAACCTCCAAACGTGTCATACAGGTGATGTGGAGGGGCCTCATTATAAAAGTGTCCATGTTTTGTGTATTTTTTTCATCTCCTGGTTCCTCTTAAACAACCTTAAATACCACTTTCCAGGCAGTCTCCTGCAGAGGAGCTCCCGTTTGCGAACAGTGAGGTGGACCTCGTGACGGCCATGACAGCAGCCCACTGGTTTGACCGCCAGAAGTTCCTCGTGGAAGCTGACAGGGTGCTGAAGCCTGGGGGCTGCCTGGCTCTCCTGAGCTACACCATGAACATGGGGCTGGAGTATGAGGACAAATCTGAGGCTCTCAATGACATCTGTAAAGAGGTAAATGAGTTTAATTGGAGGTTTTAATGATAAACTATAAACACCTGGAGTTACCCAACAATCATCGATGCGCCTCATTGGCAGCATGTCCGAGTCCTGAAACCAAGGAAAAGGTCAAGCTAAGATAAGACGGACTTTATTGCCCCAAAGGGACATACCTGTCTGTGCAACAGAGTTCCTGGAGGCCGCTTAGATAAAGAAATTGTTTGCAAGACCCTGACTTGCTGATCTTGTCTTCGTCAGTTTTACGCCGCCCTGCTTCCATTTCGAGATCCCTACCTTGGAACCGACTCGGGGAAGATCTACTCAGACATGTTCGAGTCCTGTTCTTACCCAGACAAGGAGTGGTGAGTGTTTTAGACTTTGTTTACAAAAGGTTCTCACTTAACTGGTTGGCTGTTTGTTTGGCGGGTTGATTGGTTAGCTGGTAGAAAAACTGATAGGTTCATTGGTTGATCGATTGGGCTGGTTTGTTGATTGGCTGGTAGGTCAGGTGGTTAGTAGGTTAGTTTTTTGGTTGGTTGGTTAGTAGATAGGAAAGTCGGTCAGGTGGTTATTAGGATGGTTGACTAGCTGGTCAGTTAGTTGGTTGGTCAGTAGGTTGGTCGTTTGGTTAGCTGACTAGCTGACTAGCTGACGTATCGGTTGGTTCGTACACAGGTAGACTGGTTGGTAGGATGGTTGGCTAGCTAGTCAGTTGGTTGTTTGGCTAGTTGATTGATCAGTAGGTTGATTGTTTGGTTGGTGTTTTGGTTGGTTGGCTAAAAAAACTAAAAGATTGATTGATTGGTTGGTTGGATGTCCAGCTGGCTTGCTGGTTGGTTTATTGATTAGTTTAGTGGGTTGGTTGGTCGGTAGGTTGGTCGTTTGGTTAGCTGATGTATCAGTTGGTTAGTACACAGGTCGGTTGGTTATTAGGATGGTTGGTTAGCTGGTCAGTTGGTTGTTTGGCAAGTTCATTGATTAGTAGGTTGCTTGTTTGGTTGGCGTATTGGTTTGTTGGTTAAAAAACTAAAAGGTTGATTGATTGATTGATTGATTGATTGATTGATTGATTGATTGGATGTCCAGCTGGCTTGCTGGTTGGTTTATTGATTAGTTTAGTGGGTTGGTTGGTATCTATAGGAAACTTAGAAACCCCCCTGATGTTGTTTGTAAGATTAAGTAAAGAAAACCTTGTCCTCTCTTCCTTATCCTCCCTTTATCTTATTTTAGCACTGTCCCCTTCAATTAACTAATTAACCCGTTAGTAAATACCTACTTTTTGGACAATATGAATACTCTCACACACACACAATACAGTTTTTGTGAAGACCTAATCCCTAGTTTATCTAAATTGACACTTCTTGTAAAATCCTTGTAATAATTTGGAGATTATTGATGTGAAAGACTTGAAGAAATCCAGCAAGTGAATACAAACAAGGCAACCTGATTCGAGGAATGAAACAGTTTTTTTGCTGTGGCTCCGGTGGAGCATAAAAATCAGACGTATACACACTCTGACATTTGGGAGTTATCTTCAGCAGAGCAGCTTAAACGCCAGCAGTCGGGGGTCTTCCTCAGGGGTATTTTAGGATAAGAGAAGAGTGGTTTTGATGCCTTACACCACCTAGATCCAGACAAACAGCCTCTTTCTGTCGGTTTGACTATGATTATAAAGACGCCGTTTTAATGAGCTTCTGTTTTCCTACAGGAACGAGAGCTTTCATGTTAAAAAGACCTTGCCTCTGGACAGCTACATCGGCATGGTTCAGACTTTCTCCTCCTTCCAGAAACTGCTCAAAAAGGACCCCGAGGAGGCCAGACGTCTCTCCGACGACATCAGGACCAAGTGAGATATTAACCTCTGTTTCCATCCCGGAGTCCAATCGTTAACTCCCGGCCCCGAGGCCCTCACCTCGGCTCGAAGCTGATCTCCTAATCTCCCCCTCGAATTCATTTATCACCATCAAAAACTGCTGAAAGTTGGTCTTTGAATACTGTCACAGTCTGGGGCATTAATCAGAAAAGCCAAACATTGCTTGACTAAGCTTAACCGTTGAAGGCTTTTACTGCTTTGATAATATAGACGCCATTAATTCCCCTGCCTGTGACAGGACAGAATAGCCCAGCAAGCAAAATATATGGAGGGGAAGTGCTGAGCCATAACTTTCACATGGATCGAAAAAAAAGTATGACATTGTATTTAATTACTATCACACTCGGAGGAAGATTTACGCTCGGCTCTGCTCTCCGAGTCCACCTTTGTTCAGTCTTGTGTGGTCCAAAAGAAAGACAAAGGAAGTTTCGACTCATTTTCTTTTCTGTACTTCCAACAGGTTGCTCTCGGCCATGAAGGTGTCATCTCCTGAGACAGAAGTGACGGTGGTTATAAAGTATTTTTACTGGTTGGCGCGCAAACCATGACCTCCAACAACTTTTGACCTTCTGAAGCAAACTAAGCCACCTGTAACTCTGGAAAGTGTTTTTACAACCAAAACAGCCTGAAATGATCCAATTAGGCACAGAAGTTCTCGATTCTGTGAATTAGATTAGAAAATTGGTTTAATTTCGAACCTTAAAAGTCCAGTTTCATTGGTTGGTAACACTTTACAATAACCATAACTTATAAATGGTAAATAGACCATTGTTAAATGGTAAGCAGATAGTTTATTAATTTTTAATCATCATTTATAAATAGCCTATAGACCATTAAAAAATGTAAATTTTAAAAACCTAACCCTAACTTTACAATAACCATCAAAGTAATGTTTATAGGTGGTTTACAAACTAAATAGTAACCATTTACACACATTTTAATCTAGATGTTTTACAACCAATATGTAAACCCTAAATAAACCTTTAAAAAATAGTCCATTAATTATTCATAAAAATTATTAATCATAGTTTCATTGATTGTTGATGGTAAAGTAATTATTAAATTACATTAATAAACTATCTATTTACCATTAATAAATTATGGTTTTTATAAAGTGTTACCGATTGGTTCAACATTAAAGACACACACTATTTAGCGTCCTTAAAACAGTGGAGGAAGTTTGATCAGGATTTGACTCAAACCTTGAAAACAAAGTGTAAGAATTTAACTCTTACATTGAGAGAAACTCAAAAACCCAAAGTTGGATTGTAATACCCAAACATATGACGTTTAACTCTGAATACTGATATTTAGGGTGTACTCTTACTGTTAAACCACCTCCAGCATTGGGAGATCTGGCCCCTCTATGAGTGGGAAACCCCCCAGTGTGAACACTAGATGGAGCCCTGTCATAATTTATCAGTGACCACTTTGAGCTTTATGTACAACCAAAATCATGTCCATATCTTGAATTAAACCAATTACTCTTACACATTAACATTATTTTCTAATCTTCTAACATTTACATATTGGAACATCAATAATAAACTCAATAAAAGACCCTGACCTTCCCTGTCCAGACCTCCTCATCCTGTCTTTCCAAATTTATAACAGTCATTCATCCAAGTCATGGCTCCTCCCTGAGAGTCCTCCTCTCCGGTGTTATTTATGTGAACACAGACTGTTAAGGGCCAGGAGAACAGATGGTAATTAACATGCATGGCCTCCAAATTCCCCTGAATCACAAAGACTTTGTTACTTTCCCCCCTCCTCCGCCAAACTCTGACAGTAATCCGCTACAAATGACTGCGCACATAAATTATCATTTCATAGCAAAAGAAGCTTTTATTACACGTTAAGGCAACGAGGTCAACTGCTTTTTTTTTCCATTGCAATTCATCATATTCACACGGCAGCTGCTCTCCAAGTCTGAACGCTTGTAGCTCAACATGAAAAATCTAGTAAACTATCAGTATGTTGCTCTTGTATTGATCAGTGATAACAAGTATCCGGCGGCACCAAAACATTAACATATGCTACTTTAAATTGTTCAGACAACATCCTCGCAGCTCAAAAATGTAACTTGATCTGATGCTAATGGACGCAAAACACCTTTTCAGTTGATAAATAAAAAAATAAACAAGCAAAAAGACTTTAAGATGATTATTTTCACATGATCTGTCTCTGTATAGAGTCCACATGTACGTCCAAAATCGGACTTCATAAAACCCCCTCTGTGCGTTTACTCCTCCACACCACCAGGGCGGTCATGAGCAGAGTGATCAGCACCGGCACTGCGATGAACGGGGCGAGGATGGCGATGGGCGGGTCGTGGAGCTGCCGGCCGGTGAGGGCGCAGTCGTGAAAGTAGTCCCGGTGAACCTGCATGAAGAAGCGGTCCACTATCTGATTGGGCCAGAAGCAGTCGACCCTCAGCGCCACCTGGAAGGTGCAGTTTGTCAGTCCTTCGTAGATCCTAGAAAACAAGATAATGGTGAAAATTTCACTAAATACAGTCTTTGGATTCGACCCAGTCTCCTGTACTGTCTTTGAACGCCCTTTCAGACTGACACCAGAGTAGAGATTCCTGCTGGCAAACAAGCGTCTAGAATTACCAGTGGGCTTAAGGTGGCTAAATATAACTGCTAGGTGGAAGAGGGCAGGGGAAAATGGAGATGCATACCAACAGGGCAGCAGAGATTCAACCCCGCATGGCAGCAGAGGCAGGTGGTCGGGGATTCATGTTAGCAACCATCCAGTTTTAATGTGCATCTAAAATGTCAAATTCAGGCAGGAGAAATGTCACTTAAATGACATCAATCACCACCATCTGAGTCATCGCAGCAAAGAGGCAGCTCAGTTTTTCCATTATACCCCTAAAGTTTATAGGCATCTCATTCACTCGATTTAAGTTGATCTCTTTGAGTTAATATGGTCAAGAATTAAACTTGCATTTAATTGCGAATAGTCCTGAAGCTCAGAATTATTCTTCATATGCCAGATCCTTATATGTGTGCGCTTGATGCCTGTGTTTGTACTCCCTCCTGCTTGAGTATTTCCCTTCTTACCTGAAGCTGTTTCTGAGATCTGCACTGCAGTGCTAACGCCACGGATCAGGTTTGGGAATAAACACTGAGGTTAAAGTTTAAGATCTGGACTCACGCTTCAGGTCACGAGTCAACACTGTGAAAAAAAGGTTGCTCCCAAAGACGTCAACAGTCTAATTTGTTTTCTGCCTTTCATATCTCACCAGGGAGATTTATCTTGAAGTACGGCTGCAAACAAACACAATATTTACACCTCCGGAAACTTCATAACTGTTAAACGCTCATACACTCCAATACAGACACTCCAAATTAACAATTCAGATTATAGATGATTCTCCGACTATAAAACGTTTTAATCTGATTGCTAGATCAAACTTTGGTATGAAAATCGCATGTGCTAGTTACACCGAACGCTTGAGCCTAATTTAGGAAATCCTGCATAAGAGGTTTATTTTAATACTTCAGGAAATGTAGACAAAGTGCCCTCTGAATGCCTTTCCAGTTTTAAAAAAAGTCAACAAAGTCTCTTGTGGCTGTTCCTTTAGTGTGTTAGACATAAAAAAAGTTTACAGTGTACTGAAAGTAAACAAAGTGTCTTCTAAATGCTCTACCAGTATGTAAGATATAGACAAAATGCACTCTGAATGCCCTCTAATGACTAAAATGTTAAAGTGTCTTTTAGGTGCCCTTTGAGTATGTAAGATATAGACAAAGGGCCCTCTGAATGCCTTCTAATGGCTAAAATGTAAATAAAGTGTCTTCTGGATGCTCTACCAGTATGTAAGATATAGACAAAGGGCCCTCTGAATGCCCTCTAGTGGCTAAAATTTCAACCAAATTACTTCTAGGTGCTCTACCAGTATTTAAGATATAGACAAAGTGCCCTCTGAATGCCCTCTAGTGGCTAAAATGTTAACAAAGTGTCGTCGAGGTGCCCTTTCAGTATGTAAGATGTAGACAAAGTGCACTCTGAATGCCTTCTAATGGCTAAAATGTAAATGAAGTGTCTTCTGGATGCTCTACCAGTATGTAAGATATAGACAAAGTGCCCTCTGAATTCCCTCTAATGGCCAAAATGTTAACAAAGTGTCTTCTAGGTGCCCTTTGAGTACGTTAAATGTAAATTAAATGAATTCTTGATGACTTCCCCGTGTGTAAAATGTAAACAAAGTGTTTTCTGAATGCTTTTTTGGTGTATAAATGTAAACAAAGTACCACCTTGATGCCCTTCTGCTGTATAAATATAAACAAAGTGGCCTTTTTGGTGTATAAAATCTTAGCTCGATTCCCTTTAGTTGCTCTCTTGGCTGCCAAATGTAAACAGAGGGCCCAGTTTGAATTTTCACTTGATTATATGTTCAGTATTTACACAAGTTTGTGTCTTCAGTATAATAATCTAAAATCATTTATAGTGAACAGCAGGTACCCTTAGATTTTTTTCACCTTTGCCCCTCAAACATCCACTGACCTCAAGGTATGGAGAGACTTTTTGAGTTTAGAGGCAAGCAAAATGGGAAAATGAAGAGTAATCCTCAGAGAGCTAATAAAGAGGAACCATGATAACATCTACCAGTTTCAATGGCCGTAACATAAAAGGATAAAAATATCCTTTACCTCAGGAGCTGCTTTTAAAGACAGAGCACCATCAGCAAAGAACAAAAGTTTGGATGGATCCAAACTTCTCACCTCAGTCAGAAGCTTCAGTAGCTGTAGTTTGTTTGTATTTAGAGTTAAAACTTCATGTTATGTCAGGAGTTAATAAACTGAACATCTAAAATTGGATCATAACTGAGTGTTCAGCTCTTTAATATGGAGTTGATCTAAACATTTCCTGGACTCATGCCTCTTGAAACCTTTTAGTTTCACTTCAAATCCTGCAGTTTCATAAATAAATCGACCTTTCATCCTCCACTTGGCAGCCAGAGACCAAACTTGGAACAGATATACGGCGTTAGGTGGCTTTTAATGATACCTAGAACTCCTGTTTCTATATTTATCCTGGTGTGAGTTTAGATCTCTGATGTGTGGCTGTCAGATTATCAGACAAACCTCTCCGCGGATTACTCACTTTTGCACATGCACAGATGTGAGTGTTTATTTTGGATTTCCCACTTGGCTAATTAGAAATATCCACCAGATAAAATGATACGATTAAAAAGGACTGATAGTTAAACAACAAAATTTAATGTACTGGCCCCGGTTAATGTTTACATTCTTTAAAGTGGCGTTACAGTAAATTGTCGCTTCAAAAGTGTAGGCTACTTACTTTGAACTGAGTGCGTTGGCAACAAAAACTATCTTAGTTTTTTAACGAGACAAAGTATGATCCTTAATCTCCTAATTTATTATTCTTAGTCATGTTTAAAGCAATTTGCTAGCATGAGTGCATGCAAAAAAAGTTTGAAGGTGTTACTTTTTACACGGCTTTGTTATGTCTTTGTACACAGAAAGCATCTGAGGCTAGCTGTTAGCACCCCATAACTATGAGCGGATAGGACAAAGACAGGTAGGGAACAGTTTAAGTTTTAAACACATCTAAGGAATTTCACTCGTTATGTTAATCAGGCCTTTCCTTTAAATCCAGTTTTTCGCTGACAGAAGGTGGACTGTTTGAGTCCATCTTGTCTTACAGTGATAGACTTGTTGTCTCTTAATTGGTTTGCACCCTCACTGGCCTCACTGGCGTTCCTGTTTTCTGCTCTGCATGCCTTATTTATCTGTTGCAAAGCCAGCGCTCTCACGGACCTCGACGATGGCGTCAAACATTGTTGCCAGGGGTATTCGTGACGCAACTGCCAAACCCGCCGTACGCCTGTGCAAATTCTTCTATGATGAGTTACAAATGCACACAGACAAGAAACCACACACTACCACCAATTATGAGCTGGACGGAGAGAGCCAGGAGGGAAATCACAGTTTTGACAGCAGCTTCTTCTCCTGTGGGCCTCCTGTCTGACTCATCCCCCGACTGCCAGTATTTGGAAAAGGCACTGCTCAGAGACAGAATCTGACACAAACACACACAATACAGTGTTCAGCAGAGGCACTTAAAGGCCGTGACCGTGCAATGCGGTTGTTGGAACGTAGAGTGGAGTTTGCGATGGCCGAAAGGCAAACAGAAACAAATCAGAGAGTGTCAGAGCAGCATATTGTGGGTTGCATAAGTCAGGGCGAACAACATTATTCCGACACAAACCGTGTCCTCCAGGGAGAGGGGCTTACAGTGCTGACAAACCCGGTTGTGTTCTGCATGTAACCGACCTAATTTATGTTTTATTCACTCCCTTTTTGGTTCAGGCCAATCACAGAAATGTGGGGCATTTACATCAATCATAAACAACTCAGATGGCTGCCGCTAAAACTGAACTTTTCTGGATCTGCAAATGAAAATTGAGTTGATGACGATGTGCAAAAAAGTGCAGTTCCACTAGTGTCCACTTGAGGCTGACTCCAAAAACACCAAGCAGGAATAAACGTGTTTGCAGCCATGTACAAAAATATATATATATATTTTTTCATGAGTAGCCTTTTCCTCTTTTACATGAATATGAATTTGTGTGTAAATTTCATTTATGACTCACTTATTTTGAGGCTTAAAATTTAACAAAATTATGTAACCCCCAATTTCCACCGCATCCTGAAAGGGGTACGAAAAGGCCATATCCACCAATCATGGCTGATCAAAATTCGCCTCACTAACAGATCCAGTAGGAATTGGCGTACGGCGAAGATCGCTGCTGTTCCAGATCGGAGCCAGTCCGGATATGATGAAAATTGTGGGTTAGTCTGATTAAAAGTCAGGCGCATCGCAGCAGCTAGCCAGGAGGCTAAGGGCCGGCCTCAACTGAAAGTTAGGATGAGTTAGCATTATTAAAGCGGCGAATACCATTTTTGGTCTCATGATTCCGCCTTTGAAACAAATGGGTATTGTCCCTGTAACTATGACCATGTTTTGTGTAGACTATCGTTGAAACTAGTTACCAAACTGGGCAGCCTTTAACTACAGAGGTCGGATTTTTAATTCGGGGGATTATTTCTGTTAAATCTTTGCAAGGTGGTTTCCCCAAGCTCGCTCTTCCTTGGTTTTGATGTTTGTGTTATTGGGGGGCGTGGTCTGTTCCCAAACCAAGTACGCCTCTTGAGCTGCAATAATCCTTAACTGTTGTCCTACCTTTGGATTTTTCTTTACCTTCTTTTTGAAAGGGAACTCCGACACTAAATGTCTTTCTTTTGTTTCAAACCTGCTGAATTTGTGTTGGTGGTGTTTGCTGGGGAACAGGAGGATTGGTGTTGAGTTTTAGAAAAATGTAGGCAGAGAGTTTTTTGGGACTTCTGTTCACATTAAAGAGTTCTCTGTGGTGATATTCATGTAAACATATTTCTACTCTCAGGATTAACTGATCAAAAACTCAATGATCATCTATAGTACCTTCAGACCCTTGATTACGGCCCATCTTGTAGAGTGTTATGCTATAAAATATTTGGTTCTTGGTCATGATTCGGTCTTGTCTTTTGCTGTCTGATGGAACTTGATGAATTATGTGTTTCCTTTGACTAAACTGGACAGGAGTGTGGGTTAGTCACCCATTTTCAAGGCTTTTTCCCTCTTATTTTGCATGACTCAAGTATCTCAACTCACTCGTCGGTGTCTGGCCAGCTGCACCACAGGTCTTGGTCCAACCCTGCCATGTCGAAGTTGAATTTCGCAAGGCAAAAGTCGTTGATCATCCTCTCGTAGAAACCCCCGTTGCAGCTGGACACTGATGGCAGGACTTGAGCTAAAGCGGTGAAAGGAAAGAGAGACAGAATAAGAAACAAGCCGAGTGTGATATGAGGTGATCGCTTTATTTCAGCATCATTGTAAAAGATTTTTCAAAGCTCTGCAGAGGTTATCTGCGGGGCTCAATTAGGATAATTAGGAATATGTTAGTGCAGAAAACAAGGTCGTGTCCTGGCATTGCTTATTCCTGTCGGACCATTTCTCCCCTATTAGGCTGTTACTTTCACTAAGAAACGATTTTAATTTGCAGTCGGATCCAAATCCCATTTGTTTACTTCAGAGATGCGTGTAAACAGCCTCTTAACGTGGAGGCAGACCGCGGCCGTCCCGCAGGACTCCGGGCTGAATGTAACACCCCTGAGCAGTACAGTAAGAGAGAGAGAGAGAGAGAGAGAGTTTTATAAACAGGCGGAAAAGGCCCTCGCGGAACAAACAGGTTGGTTTTTTAGAATCAAGAAACACGGTGGATCTCGAGTCTGCGCTGGACTGATAAGGGCCAACTGTGAGCCCGTTATGTTTGCTCTGTCTCAGCTGGTGCTCAAGGCTCTGAAAGACTGAAAATGTTGACAAGAGGATTTTGAAAGAGATGCTACAGACAGAAGAATCAAAACCGGAGACCCCGTCAGCCGCACACTTTTGAACATCCTCAAACAAAGACTCGAGGTGCTTTAATGAAGAGCTATGGATTTGTAAAAAGTGATGCCCGTGGATATGAGATGATCTTTCCACTCGTGTTTAGTCATCTGCTGCGCTGCTCGGCATCAGAGGCTCATTTTCACATCCTCACATTCATCTCAGAGTGAAAGTGGAGCCCGGTGATAGTCGCTTTTCAGAGGGAAGGGACACATATTTAAGATTCCCCACAAACTGCCAAAAGACACGTTAGTTTGAAAGCATCAGTTTCTGCTGTCCTTGACGACGCCAAAAGTCCATTTTATTGCCAAAACACTGTGAGATTGTTTTATGGTTTTTGAGACAGCAAGGTAGCGAGGTAAGGCCAGAACAAGCTTGATTTGTGTCTAAGCTGTTAGTCAGTGCGTTTACATGCACAGCTGAATCGAACTGAGCTCATAATTAGTTTTTTTTTTGCCAAATCGGACTTCTATCCTTGTCTGCGTGTCCTCCTCCCCAAAACTAGGGGGCGATATGGGTCTGTTTCTGACGCCATACAACCGTCAACAACAACAGCAGGTCCGTGCCAGACGTCACAAGTGTCTACAACTGCTACTGGATATTTTCGAGCTAGAAGATGGAGTATCTTACAGCGTTGCTTTTGTCGTACATGATGTAGCGCTACTTTCTCTGCAGATGAGGTGCACGCTACTCGTCTTCTCTGGTGTTTTTGTTCTGGAGTTACGGGGGCGTAGCGCACACGCACATGCATTGTCCGATCATACTCCAACTACGCTGGTTACATGGTAGTCTTAATTGGACTTCTCTGACTCCAATTATAGTCGGACTAAGGTGCTGACATGCACTTCAGTTGTCAGGTCCTCATCGAAGTAAGGCAATAATTCGGTTTTCTCAAGTGTCAATGTACTGACTGAAACCTCAAGCTGTTCCATCTAAAAAACTAGAAAAGCACTCGGAGAGCACAAACCTCCTCCAAGCAGCTCATGTCCCCCCTTAAACAAGAAATACCCTGACTTGGATTCAGACCCAGGACTGGTTGTGAGGCAACAGTGCTAACCACTACACCACTGTACCACCTATCTACACCACTGTGCCGCCCATTTGTTATCTTTCAGAATTGAAAATTCCAACGACACCCTTATTTTTGTGTGTTCTGGATCACAGTATCCAGAATTTTTAGGTCAATCCATCTGTGACTTTCTCTGTAAAGTTGCTAACAGACAAACAAACAAACAAACAAACCAACGCTACCGAAAACATAACCTCCTTGGCGGAGGTAAAAATCCCCATGAAGGCCCAGACCTACATGTTGTAAGTAGCATAAAACCAGCTAATATAGCAGAAGCTCCATGCTAAATGGTCTAAATGGAGAGCTAAGTTGCTGCTAACAAATAGCCTTGGACTTTTCCCATGAAGGTACAACTTTGTGACTATAAAACTGTGTACAAGGTAACAACCACAAGCATGGGTGTCCCGGTCCAACTTAAAATGAGCAGATAGGGTCATGAGACCAGACCAGAGCGCCAGCACGGTCCCAAGTTGACTCCAAACTATCGTAGGGTGACCATTAAGAGGACATGACCACACAGGGGCAGAGTCACAAAATCCCACCAAGTTAACCCAAGCCTTTTACGCGCTTCTAACTCAGTAATTCCCCGTGACACAAACTGAAACTTACGTACAAAACCACGGACATTTGAAGGATTTCCCCGGACAAAGCCAGACAAACAGACTTTTTCCGTATTTTAACTTTGTGTTATGTGAATTATTACCACAAAAGTTTGATAAACAAAAAGTGAAAATACCAACAATCGAAAGAAGTAAGAAAATACAAAAGGAATTCAGGTATCTCTAAGTAGTAGCCTCTAAGCTCTAGTTTCTAAACAAACGTACTTCTGCTAAATCCTTCAGAATGAAACCTGATTAGCATGACCTGAAATCTACTTGAACTTACCCGCCAACATCAACACAAGTCCCACTTTCAGGAGTGACGAGCCCGTGGAAGCCATGCTGGAAACCAACCCACTTCCTGGAGATCAGCCGCACATATCAGTACCTCACCTCTCCTTCAGTTTTCAAGACAAAGTCAGAAACTACACCAGGATGAAACGAGTGAATAACTCATAACTCGGCCGTGTGCGGTGGACACGAAGGCGGCAACTGTGCGTAAAAGCCCCTTGACCTTCCACCGTGACCGCCTCCTTCCCCCATCACAGCCCTAATCATAGCAGCTCTGCCTGACATCTGATCTCCTTACGGCGTGGAGCTGCTCACAGGGGACAAAACAAAGTCAGAGAGCAGATTTACAGCCGGTTACAATGAAGTCAGGCCTCGTTTTTCGAAGGGTTTAATCTGGACCACAATGATCTGGATTAGGAAGAATCTCACTTTTTAAAAAAAAATCTGAGACCACTTTATCAAGTTTCTTTTCTACCACATTTTAGATTTTTGTAGATTACTTAATTCAGATTATTTGTGCTATCAATTGGACTTAATGTGATAGAGTGGAATAATCCATCTATCTTATTCCATTCATTGTTTTTGGATTAAAGTTTTCTCAAGTTTTGAACAAGTTTTGAGGGAATTTTATCCAGATTAAACCAAACTAGGCTCAGGGTGACACATGATTGAATACAGATTATAGTGGGGTCCTCTATAAAGTTGAAAAACAACCCATAATCTGTATTCAATAAATACCCAACCTGTAATCTCCACCCTAAGACTGTGACTTTAATCTGTTACACCTGATCCATAATCTGTCAGAAGTGAATTTAAGGCCCAAACCCTGAATTTGTAAACCAGAGTAAATAATCTGTAATTCATAATCTATAATCTGTGACTTGGAAGCCTAAATCTGTAACTGACAATTCTTGATCATAACCAGTATTCTGTGTTCAGAAACCAAATATCCATAATCCGAAATCGATAATCTGGGTTTTTCAATCAGAAACCCATAAATGCAACCTTTAATCTATAATCCATAATCTGTAATCCATCATCTGAAACTCATTACCCATAACCTGTAATCTGTAATTAGTGACCTGTGAATGGTCCTCTCTGTTTCTTTATCTATAATCCATAATCTGTAACTCATAATCTGTGTTTGTGACCTGAAATTTGAAATTGGAAACTTGTTACCTGTAATCTCACCAACAACCCATAATCCATGATTCATATCGGGTAGCCTGTAACCTTTGACCTGTAAACTAAGTCACCATAGGAATGCAATCTCACGAAGAGTTAATCTAAGAGATTAAAAGTCTGCAGAAACTGTAATTCAATAACTCAAATATTAAGAAAATCAATTATTCCAATCAGTAATCTGAAATTGGAATACCATGCGCCCTAATTAGCATGATTATCACCGCAGAGACTTACTGTAAGATATCATATCACTCGTCTGATTACAGTTTTTATTTAAATACCCATGAGTTGATTTTTTTCTCTCCTTAACAAATCCACAATTAACGCTGGATTATTTGGAAACCCCCCCACCTCTGAGAGCGGTTCCAATTAAACCCACTCTGGACTCACATCGGGACCCATTTCAGAGCACAAAGACGAAATTTCCCATCGCCATGTCACAGTGGTATCAGCGCCGATCTCCTGCTCAGCTCGGTAATGTCTCTAATTGAATGTTTTATCTGCAGATTTCTGAACAGAGGGACGCTCATTTGTATTCTCAGGGCCGCTTTGCGTTCTGCTGCCACCCAGTGAGGCTGTCTGAGCTGCTCAGAGAGACTAATCCCACAGCTCACATAAATGTTTTTATGTTTCTCTGATAATATGCTGTACGGCGTCGGGAAATATGTTCCCCTTAAGTGTTTATTAGAGGAAATTTGCTGGGTTTAGGAGCGACAAAAACGAGGTTGCAGACAGATCTCTGCTTTTACACTTTTTAGCCTCAGTTGACATTTAAGTCATGAACTTCAGAGAGTGGAGAACTTAACTCCAAGTGGACTCCGTCAGTGAGTTTCATTTCCACACGGTCCCTTAGCTCAATTTTCAAAAAAGTGATCTGACCCGAGGTGGTCCACAAATTTCATCTTCTTCTTCTTATTATTATTACTATTATTGTTGTTATTATTATTATTATTATTATTATTAGTATTTTTGATATTGTTCGTGTATTATAATTTTCTTTTGCTTGTCTGACAATTGTAATATTTATTTATTTATTTTTTTTTCATTATTATTCACATATATAATACACACACACACACACACACACACACACACACACACACACACAAAACCACAAATGCTATTGTTTGTTGTATGTCTTGTATTGTCACACTGCACAAATATTAAAAAAAAAAAAAGTCAAGGACTACAAAAAAAAAAAAAAAAAGTGATCTGACTTCTTCCTGTATCCTCATGAGGGTAATATTTGTGAAAAACCACAATCTGAAATGTTACCTCAACCTCCCCTGAACAGCTTTATGTACAAACTCTGAGCAGGTAGAGGACTCATAACTGAGCAGTTCCTCTTAAATTCCCCTAGAGAGCAGCAGAGGACACGGAATAAACCCCCTCTTTGGCACCGTGGGACCACATGAAGCATCATCCTGGTTGGTTCAGCCAAAACAGTGAGGTAGTTTTCTTAAAAAATCCACCTTACACGCATCACAAAACTGAACCCCGTTGTCCTTGGTGACTTTTTGAGGCCGGTTTTATACTTTCACGTCAGTCCACAGAGAGCAGACGAGGGGGGGGTACGCTGGCTTGTAAAAATGAGCGGCCCTGAAAGTGGAGCTATAGTGTTCACTGCAGCCCTATTAGAGTGGCATCATCAAAGTTTATCATGTGTGGCGGCTGCTGGTGGGTGTTTGCTGAGGCTGACCCAGCTGGAAACTCACTCTTAATGTAAGTCTAAATAGAATATCTATGATTTTTAATTCTTAATTCCACTTAAACTCACATTTTCTCCCAAGATATTTGTCTCTTTAATGAATAAATGCGCAATAGTGATTAAAAAAAGGATGACACTTTGGATTATGAGGGTTTATTCGCGGAAAAGAGTCGATATCTGTGTTTTTTTTCTGAGCCCCACAGGTAGCAATTTCGGCTGCACACCTCCCAGCAGGAAACCAAAACAAAATCTGCTCCTGACAGGTGCACTGACAGCAGCAATGCCGCCAAGTAACCAATCAGGAGAGGTGCTAAGTGAGGTGGGCGGACTTCCAAAAAGAAGGAACAAAACGCTCCTAATCTTTTTGGATGGCACGTTTAATTCGCTCAAGGAGGTGTCAGTCACGTTAAGGAGGCGTGCTCAGAGCACCCCTGCGTCCCAGCTCACATTCGCGCACACTTCAAACCCTCCCTCCCTCCTCTTCCTCCTCCTCCTCCCCCCCCAAGCCACCGGCGCTATGGCAGTGTGAGGAGTAAATGGCTCAGAGTATCCGTGGTGGAAAGCGACCTAAACACTGGTCTGGGAACTGATAAACAAACACAACAAGAGCGAGAAAGAGAGAGAGGGAGAGAGCGAGAGGGAGAGGAAAAAAATCGCGGTGCGTAAAAGCTCTCCACGGCGCACGGACACTGTGCCAGCTCTCCAAGAAGCCAAGAAGAGTCTTGACGTTATTTGTTTTTTCCTGGTTGATTATTTTCGCGTGTTTGTGTGTGGGGAAAAAAACGAGGATATCTTAATTGGACATGTGAGTTACGGGAGATAACAAGACAAGCAGCCCCCCTGTTTTTTTTTCCAAGATGAAGTTCCTCGCCTGCGTCCTCGTCACTTTGGTGGTGATTCGATCGAGTGCAGCGCAGTCAGGTGAGTGCTCGGATGTGGACACACTTTAATACCTGGGTCCAAACACCCCGCTAGAATCACCTTTTTGTGTTTTAGACAAACACCTGCGCACTTCACGACAAACCTGTTTGCTGCACGGTGGCTCATTAGCGCCACATTTTAGCACGTGTGTTGTTAGCTTCTCTGGCGTTGGCTGAAAAAAAAAAAAAAAAAACTTAACACAACTTTATACCCGAGCTGTCTGATCGTGATTTGAATCATGGCAGCGGCTCTCACACACCTGCAGTCTTGAGAGTGAGGAGAGCTCTGCGTAAAAATCTCAAACTCCCCCTCGAAATGTTCGCTCTTTTTCCCAACCACCTCAAGATTATTTAAGAGAGAAACCCCCACTTCGCTTCACTCAGAAATCTTTCTAAATCCCCCTAAAGAAAGATAGCTCGACTCTCTCCTCATAGCGCAGCTCCTCTAACTATGAATGAATGCACCATCCGTTTAATTTCACCCTCCTAAGCGGGCATTGATGGAGAGAGAGAGAGAGAGCACCGCGGCTATTTGTGCAGATTTACATGAATTTATCTCGCTTGCACCAGTGGCACAGTTTGCACCCTTCGCTGTCTTTGAATAATTTAGATGTAGCAGATATACTGAAGGCTACACAGGCAGTGGGAAAAACATCTCGCTTTCATCAGTAGGACCCCTGCGGTGTCAATCCCAGGACGAAAAGACCACTTTAATGTTCCTGCAGTAATCTTATTAACAGTTGTAATGTCTTCCTGATACTCAAGAGTCAGTTTATATGGGAGGTAATGGTAATTATATTTATGTTTGCATGTGAGGTGTGCAACAATTTCCCCCCTTTAGCAGCCCTGCTGGATATTTGCACAGTTTTGCAGTGATGCTGCAACATGCAGAATTTGAGCATTCGCCGCTGTCCATGTCCATGTTTATTTTCATGATGCATCTGATTTATTCCAGTGATGAAGTTTAAGGAATAGTGCTGCTTAACTTCTTCATTTAGCGTGCTGATCAATCTGGACTCTAATGTGCTTAAGTATTCTGTTTGGTTTGGATCTGGGAGCAAAGACTGCCTTGGAATCGGATCAGGTTCACTTGCACTGGGCTGATATGCATTTCCTGCTGCCAAAATATGATTTGGTTTTGGATGTGATCAAGCAAAAGTTACGCTGAATTATGAAAACAAGGGTTTGATGGTGTCTTTTTGGCCCGAGAATTCCTCCCTTCGCAGAGGATGAGTTGAGTTTTGGCGCAACCTCTGGTGGTTTGGTGCTCAGGCAGAGTCGGGGAAACAAACATGCACTTCTCTCCCAGCTGAATGCGCGGTAGCTTTGGGAGGGAAGGCGCTGAATGCTGCCTTTCTAAACAGGAGTGGAGGGATGCAGGGATGCATCGGTGTCAGTGGCGAAGGAG